CTGCGCCAAAGGCAGACGCTTAACTGAAGGAACCACTTAGGCTCCCCCAAAATTCTAGTGCCCTAACCCTGAGAAGTGCAGTTACATCATGGTGATAATGGAGAATGATTATATAAGACCTGATATTAATGGGGTTTATTAGCTCTTCCCACTTTGAATTTGTTCATCTTTTATATTTTTTAAAGTATCACCACATTTAAAATTACTTAACTCTTTTAGAATTTTTTTGGAATGTTGAGGAGGACTTCAAACCTGTTCCAGAGTGCTGGATACCAGCGAAAGAAATAGAACAATTAAATGGGAATCCGATGCCTGATGAAAATGGACACATTCCTGGTATCATAAAAACTTTTCTAAAATGCATAAGTAGTTTTTCTGGGAATGGGGAGATTTTTGCAAGTGTGCTGAGTAGAAAGATACCCCAGAATAAGGTTCAGTTCAGCAGGTGTATCTTGAGTACCTATAATATGCAGAGTAGTCTTAGGTTCTAGTAATACAAAATGAAGATTAGAATCTTATCCATGATCTTTTAGACACTAGGGGAAATCTATCAATATTGGTATGATTTAAGAAAGAACTAAAAGGAAAATATACAAAGGGGATAGTCAGGAAAAGAGGAAGAATTCTTGTTAGCCTGTGGTAGTTAGAGGAAGCTTCTAAGCAGAGAGGACATCTGTACCGAAGCATAAGAACCAGGAAGTTAGCTGGCAAGGAAGAGGGAAGGTCAGCTTAAGCAAACTTGCCTGAAGAGGAGCAAAATGGAGTTGTGGGAATTTTAGGTGACATTTCTCTGTGGCTGGAATGTTTAGGGTTGGAGGACATTAATAAAACTTGATGCTGGAGAGGTGGAATGGGCTCAGATCTTAAAGGAGTTTATATTCCATTTAGAGGAGTTTTAAGTTCATCCTGAAGATGATTATTAAGCAGGGGTACAGCAGAATTAAATTTAAAATTTTGAAGCAAGATTATGATAAAAGTGTGGTGGGTTTCCCTGGAGACTAATGGACTAGAAAAGAGGTTATTACAGTTACCTGAGTGAGTACTGAAGGTCAAAGATGTGACCAAAGATGGTCACAATGGCATATGTGTCCTAGTTTTTGTTTGTTGATAAAGAATTGTTCACATGAGGGAGCCTATCTGGTAACATAAGTTAGGAGAAGAATAGCAATAACCTTCAGTACATGTGGAATTAATACATTGTTCAGCAGATATTGCAACGGTACAATAAATTGTAGAACATTTACTGCATAGGTCTATTGTTCCTGAAACTGGAGAGATGGTAGAGAGAAACCTTTAAAGAAAAATGAAAAAGAAAAGAAAAAAAAGTTTTAGTGCTGTGTTTTAGAATGGTATTCGGTTCTTACTAAAAAATTTTCTAGAAAGGAATGCTGAATATTCTGTAGTGAACTGTCAAGCAGGTTGATTTCTCAATAGAGTAAAAAGTAAAAATAACCTTAGGATTAAAAGAATGATTAGGATTAAAAAAGTAAAATTGCTAATGCTTCCACTGATTAAAAAAAAAAGTTATCTGTGTGATTAACATCCAGAAAACATGGAAAATCTATAACAAAATTAAAATTGCTTCAAGTCTCAATCCAAAGAAAAGCAGTGTCCTGACAGTTTTTCCTTTACATGTAGGTTGGGTACCAGTGGAGAAAAACAACAAGCAATATTGCTGGCATTCCTCTGTAGTTAATTATGAATTCGAAGTTGCCCTGGTACTGAAGCATCATCCTGATGACCCTGGGCTTTTGGAAATTAGTGCAGTGCCACTCTCAGATCTCCTGGAACAAACACTAGAGCTTATAGGAACAAATATTAATGGAAACCCGTATGGTGAGTGAAGCCTTTTTCCTGCTCAGTTATAGTAACTGTCATTTATAAAGAGAACTTCCTAGGCTTAACTTAAAACACATACACTAAAGAGATGACTAATTTGAGTTAAACAGCTTCCTAGAATTATAGCCATTGCTGTTTATGTCCATGGAGAAATTGATGCGGGACTCAAACCATTTTATTAACCCAAAAAGTTGATTTTAGCCTCTCATTCTTTCACATAATAACACTATAAAACTATGTATGAAAGGGAAATATTCAAGTGTAACTTTTTGTTGCTTATTAAAATTTAGGTGAAATGAGTTGAATGAAAATCCTGTGTTTTTTCATGGCTAGGTATTTAGCATTAACAGCTAAGAGTAAATTAAGTAAAGAATTGACCATGAATCGAGTATTAAAATCTGTACTACAGTGAACTGAGTGCAAGTCCAGAGAGCACTGTGGAAAACACTGTTGATAGGAAATGGAGACAGACCCAAGGACATTAAAGCTGCGATAGCAAAGTCCTATATAGGGATCAGAAGCCGACTGATTGGTAGTTGGAAAGAAGATAGTAATTATACAAGTTATCAGAGGTACAGAGTGGCTGTTTGGCAAACACTGAATGATAGTTGAACTTGGCTAGTGGTATAGATCAGGGATTGGCAAACTTTCACTGTACAAGTCCAGTAGTAAATATTTAGGTTTTGTAGGCTGTAAACAGTACTTAAAAGAATGGGTATAGCTGTGTTCCATTGAAACTACAAAAACAGGCATCTGGTTGGATTTAGCCCACGGGTTATAATTTGCTGACCCTTGGTACACATTATATGAAGGTGAAATTTATATTTAATGGGATATGGTGGCAGTTTTGAATGACATCACCACTTAGGAAACCAACTAAGTTTTTTGGTAAGTTAATTGCTAAATGTCTTCAAAGGCTTTTTTTTTTTTTTTAAGTAAATTTTCTCAGTTTTTAGAACTTTTGTATGGCTAATGAAAATTTTTAACATTTAGGGTTAGGAAGCAAGAAGCATCCATTACATCTTCTTATACCACATGGGGCATTTCAAATCAGAAATCTACCTTCCTTGAAGCACAATGACCTATTATCCTGGTTTGAAGGTTGCAGAGAGGGTAAAATTGAAGGAATAGTGTGGCATTGCAACGATGGCTGTTTAATCAAGGTAATGACAGAAAATAGCTTGTGGTATGATATTGTCCTCCTAAAAGGAGGTAGAAGTGGCACTAGAATATTCTCTATAGATTGCAGAAATTCTGATGTGTCGTGAAGAAATTTAAATTCCTCATCTTACAGGCCACCATTCTTTATATAATAGTGTTTCCCAATGTGTATTCATTCTCTGGGGCATTGATTTTCCTAATGTACTTCAGAATTAAACTGATGAAAATGTTTGGAAAGCTCTGCATATTACATACTCCCTTCTTGGAAATTAATGTTGCAGATGAATGCCCTCTGAGATAATCTGTACCAGCTTATTTTAACCCAGCATTCCCCAAACTTACTTGACTATAGAATTTGAGTTAAAAGTGCCAAGGTAACAGTTAATATTTACCAAATGAATTTTTAGACTTTGTGCCCTTTCTGGCACTTGGACTATTTGATTTCTCACAGGTTTCTGAAATTAGTGATGTTCAGAACTGGACCTTAAGTCATATCAACCCCCTGACTCCCAACAGTTCAAAAACGGAAATGCCATTTTTAACCCCTCTCTCCATTACTTCATAGATAAAATTATTTAAAGATTCTGATCTGTTGAATCTATACTTCTTCCCAACCAGCTGGCAGTTAATTTTCATTTTAATTGTAGCCAAGATTCATGCTTGACCTGTTTATCACCCTCCTAAATGTTCTTTTTCAGTCTTATCCTTATTCTGTCCATTCTTCATAGTAAGTTAAAATGTTACTTTGTTGCATAAAAGTGCTTAGTGACATTAAGAATATTCATGATCTGACCCTTGCTTCACTTTCCAGAACGGCTATATACCCCTATCTGCCAAATATACCCACACTGTATATGTTCTAAACATATTTACATAATTGTAATCAGAGTAAAAAGCACCATTCTGTCAACGTGATATTTAGAATGCCTCCCACTCATATTTTTTAATTGGCTAGCTTCTGTACTCAGCAACAGACTCTACTCATTAAATTTTTATGGAGCCCCTGAATATGTTCCTGGCATGTTTCCAGGTGCTGGAAATACAGAGTCAACAAAACAATGTCTCTGCCTTCATGAAGCTCACATTCTAATGGGGAAGATAGACAATAACAAGTAAATATGTAATATGTCAGGAGGAGAACAGCTATGAAAACAAGAAAAAGGGTAAGATAAAGTGGAGCCTTAAGTAATGCTTGGCAGATGGTAGGCATTCAAAATACATATTTATAAGTGAATGAAGGTCAAAAAGTCTAAAGCTAATACCTTTTTTCTCTCTTCAGGTTCACCGCCATCATCTTGGTTTATGCTGGCCAATTCCAGAGACTTACATGAATTCAAAACCAGTTATTATCAACATGAACCTGAACAAGTATGACCATAGCTTTGATACCAAATGTTTGTTTAGTCTTTTTTCAAAAATAGATAATCAGAAATTTGGTAGACTGAAAGATATAATACTTGATATAAACTAGAAATGCAGTTAAGAACCAGCTTTATTGTTATCTTTGAATCTTGAAAATTCTGCCATATATGGAAGGTAAAAAAATCTCAAGGTTCCATGTCTAATAGAGCAGTAATCTTCTAGCATTTGAAGAAACGAATTTCTCAGTTGCAAAGGTCTATTCAAAATTTTATTTAGAACCAGCAAATGAATTTAAGCCACTACTGCATTAAAAATGTAGTAATAAGCTCCTTACCTTAAATGCAGCAATTAAACCAAAAATTCTGGATCATCAACTTTAAAGAGTTCAAGATGAATTTATTCTGACACTTAACAAAACTTATGGCTATAACATCATACCTGTTTATATACATGTACACATATATAAAACTAGAGTCTTAACACACATATAAATAAGTATATTTATAAACCCCAGCTTTAAATATTAAAGTTCACCCCTATACTCTTTAAAAAACTTAAACATTAGGTATAAAGAAATTCATTGTTATATCTAGTTATATGATCTAGTTATACCTTACACTAAAAGTCATCAAAAATACTTTAAAATTTCATATAACTTTATTTACTAAAACTTCAATTTAATAAAGGTACAGGGTATGAAGAAGGAAATCATATAGGTCAGAAATCTGTGTGATTTCCAGATGGAGTTTTGACTTATAAAGTAAATAGTTAAATAAAATTACAGGTATAGGTAGTTTAATAAATGGGAAGATCAGCAGGACTTTCCTCTTCATCTTCAAACTGTTCAGAATCAGCAATAGGACTAGTTAACTCAACTCCACATTGTTCAGAAAGTTTTTTTAACTTCTCTTCTAAGAGAATATTCTTCTTCACTTCTTCTTTATAATTATACTTGAGATCTTCAATTTCTTCAAAAAATGAAGGATCAAAGTTTTCCAGTTCTTTTTTCAGCTTTTTTATTTCCTCCTAACAGAAACATAGTATCTTTGAAAGGTATGTAGGAATATAATATATTCTTTAGATTTGAAATAAAGAGACTTAATTATAAACATAAAATCCAAAGTAACCTGAATAATCTAATACATTTATATACTATATAGGCAGAAGTATGTTTTTAGAATTTCGCAAACAAGGTTTCCTTGTACAGCAAAAATAACTAACTTGTTCGCTAACAAATTAAGTTATCCCGTAAGTTATGTCCTACTTTTTGACTAAAATTTATCAGTTCTTAAATGGAGATGGTGTTTAATCTTTCTCCAGAAGTATATCAGATACTCTCATTGAGGCAATCAAAAAGACTTGGCCAATCACAACATAGGTTATTTTGGTTAAGATTCTTTGGTTTAGGGTTCATTTATGTTTTCTTCATAAACACTTATTTTTAAAAAAATGAATAATAGTCAGTTTCTTATATTTAGAATTAGGGAAACTCTAGGACTTCTACCTGGCGAAGAAGCATCTGGTGAAGAGACAATTTGGACTTTAGAATAGCGAGTGATCTACTAGTTAATTCTTCAGCTTATGCTCTTTTATTCTGTTTATAGATTCCTTAAGAGATAAAGCATGGCAGATATCTTTCTTTAATAAAGGGAGCTATTCCTGAAAAGAATTTCAAAAGGAAATAAAAGGGGGCGCATGGGTGGCTCAGTGGGCTAAAGCCTCTGCCTTCGGCTCTGGTCATGATCCCAGGGTCCTGGCATTGAGCCCCGCATCGGGCTCTCTGCTCAGCAGGGAGCCTGCTTCCTCCTCTCTGCTTACTTGTGATCTGTCTATCAAATAAATAAATAAAATCTTAAAAAAAAAACAAAAAATAATAAAAAATAAAAGTTTTCCCAGTATGACCCAAAACTTATATTAAAATAATGAGCCATATTTGTTGAGAATCAAAAAATAAACGTCTCTTTAATCCTATTTGTTTTGTCTCGCATTTTTGTAGCTCTCGTTTAATATTTTTAACACAGATGAATATAATGAATTCTGCAGTATCGAGGTCAAATGTATACTCAGGAATTTTTAGGATACATACTTAAAACTCAAGGGTGGTGTTCATAGAAGTTGTCTTTAACAGTCTTTAACACAAAGCATTTATAATATTATAATTAGATAAAATTACCTTCAAATGCTGCTTTTCTAAATCTGAAGTTTTGAGCTGTGTCTCTAAATCCTTTACCTTTTCCTTGAGTTGATCAGGATCTGCCAAAAAAGTTAAAAAATCAGATTCTGCTTTCCCTCACTCTGACAAAGAGTTTATTTTAGAGCGTAAGTAGAAAACTAAGAAACTAGAGCCTAGGAAATACGCATTTTATGGCTAAAACGCTTTCCAGACTGAATACTGTAATCCTACCTCTATCCGGTATTGCAATTCCACAGCAGACCAAGAGAAAAGGTATGTACTGGGTATCAGAAGTATAGAATCGGGTTAATTTTTTACATGGAAGAAATTATTTTCAGAGAAAAAAGGACAACAAAAGAATAAGTAGACTGTTAGGTAAGTGGCTACAACCATAGCTGGCTAAATGTTCCTGGTCCCCAACAGTACTGGCTGTTCATGTAGGTCAGTACACCTTTACTGTGTAATTACTACGTGAAATACATGCCAGACAGGGTGGATAAAACAAAGACAAATAAATCCTGATACTATGGTCAGGCAACCCTGAGTTACACAGAGCACAAGGGCTTTAATTTACTGGATCCTTAACTACCCCCCTTTGGAGTTAACATCTCTCTAATTTTATAAGAATCAGTGGATAAATGGGATTTTTTAATTTAATTGCCATCTTTGCTAGAAACATTTTCTTTAAATTAAGCAAAATATAATGTGTCCTGTCATATTTTGTAGCCACTGGAAGGTAAAAGTTAGAAGTAATACTAAAGTTTGAGAAAATAACAGGCAGCAAGACACATTTTGATGAGTGAGACAGGAAGGTTTCTGTTCTATTAAGGTTCCCTTGATAGCATTTCCTAATTAGAAGTTGGAGACAAGAAATATTTTCCTCATCCTTTTCCTTTAGGAATAGTCACCAGAACCTATCTTCCTTTGGAAAGCAGAGCAAAATCATATTTTTCAAAACTTCCCCTCACCTTTGTAGAAAGTGCTAATTATTTTTTATAAATTTGGTTCTTAACCACTGTAATGCTATGTTGAGTTGACTGTCTTAATCAAAGGGATGCTATATGTTACACAGATTAGTAATGACATAGTGCAGTAAAAGTGATAATTATGTATTTCACTTTCTGAAAGTTAGCTTAATGGTATCTGATTGCATGATCAAAATGGCAAATTCTGTTTCAAAAGATTACACCAATTTATACCTGAACAACCTTTGACTATTTCATACAGCTTTTTCAATATTCTGCCAGTCTTGTTGCTACTTTATTTAAATAGTGCTTTAGAATTACCAAGACAGTCTGGTTTGATTTTGAACCTTAACAGTCTTTGATAGGTATCCTTAGTCTCCTTTAAATAGATGAGGAATACAGGGTTCTGAAATTCCCTCTCAGAAAACTGAGATTTAGAAAGAAAGTACTTGCCGAATATCAACAGCATCAACGGGTCTTTGGGAATGTGCTAGTCTGGTACCCTGAGCTGGCTGCTGTAAGAGATACCGTTGAGAGACTTACATGACTGTTTTAGTCACCAAGAGGTAGGTAAGGCAGTTTCCGTGGTCAAAAGCAGGACCAGGGAGGGGCTTTGGAGTTCCACAGATTGAGGTTTCATCCTGCCTCTCTCACTTTCTAACTGTTGTGATCTTGTTACTTAACCTCTTTAAGGTGAAGATCATAGGTAAAATGGAAACAGTAGTACCCACCAAACAGTGTTTTAATGGTTAATTACAAAATGCTGGGGTGGTGGTGGGGGGGGGGAATACTATAAAATGCTTGTAAAGCACTTAGCATATTGTCTGGTATAACTCATACATGATAGCTTTAATACAAAGTAGCAACGAGAATACATCCTAGGATACTGAGAAAGGTATGTGAAATAATCAAAGATTGTTCAAGTATAAATTGATATAGTCCTTTGGAATAGAATTTGTTATTTCCATCACACTTATCAGATATATATAACAAATGATTCTTGTTAACAGTGATGTTCTCAAAAGTCAACACGAACAATGGATTTGTGAATACTGAACCATTCATTGGAAAAACATGTACATATACACATACTCATATCTCCACACACAGTGTAATTTTAAGTCCTGGAAACAATTCATCCTGGTAGATTCTATCCTTTGATGAAAGAGAAAACAAAGTTCAGAAAACAAGTGACTCCTGAGGCCCCGCTCATAAGTGTCCGAGAGTTGGGATTTAAACCCAGTCCAACTGGCCCCAGAACCAGAGCTTCTTGCCCTGTCCTGCACTGCCCTGTCCTGTTTACATCCTCTAGTCATCTGTATGAGAGAGCTGAAATAATTCAAAGCCTCACTTTGTTGGATCGCATCTGGAAAAAGGTGAATCAGAACTTAAATTTTTCGCTGCTGTTGTATCTGCAAAAGCACCAGGAGTACTGGTTTTGGGGTTATAAGTAAATTTTAGTGAGTGGTTGAATTCACAAATACAGACTGAAAATAACGAGGATCAGCTGTTAATTATGTGTATGTGTATGTAATTCATATATATGTATACATATGCATACATATGCACATAGCAATAGAGTGATTAATCACTTCTGAATGAAAGCATGGAGAGGATTAGACTGTCTTACTTTGTAAAAGGGAAAAAAAAAGTAGGCGAGTTTACTATATGTAGTTTTTAAGTTAATAATAAGAGGATGGGGTACCCGGATGGCTCAGTCGGTTAAGCATCTGACTTTAGCTCAGGTCATAATCCCAGGAATCTGCAACAGGCTCCCCACTCAGCAGGGAGACTCTCTCTCTCTCTGCCCCTCCTCCTGCTCGTGCTCTCTTTCTCTGTCTCTCAAATAAATAAATAAAATCTGAAAAGATAATGTTACAGAGGGCTTAAAAGGGCCTATACTTAGAAAATGGAAACCACAGACCTAGTTTTCTTTGCTTAGCCCTGTATCATGATTAAATGTAACACCCACATGGAACATAAAAAGAAAAAACTTGAGTACCTGCTATTATAAACAACTCTGTTTTATGAAGGAAAGAGCTCTGGAATCATGCTATCAAGGATCTGAGTGTATAGGAAGACAATCATCAGACATCTGAATAAATAAAAAAGGCAAACCCTAATTCAAAAACAGGTTAGCTAACATGCTAGAAGAATAAAACACTTTACCAGATACAGTGCTTTCAGCTCCACTCTGGTCTTTGTTAACTTCTAACTGATGGATTAATTCTGCTTTTTCTTTTTCCAGCTGACTATTAGCTAATCTAGAACACAATGATTATGTGTTAAGACAACAAAAAATAGACATTGCTTCACAAAATATATGGTTATTTCTTATGAACTTTGTAAATTGCTTAGAACTTGCTGATAATCTATAAAGGTAAACATTTATTCATTTACTCTCACTGTTGCAATGCTACCATTCTCAAACTGAGATCAGAGAATGAAAATTCTTCATGCTTCTTAAAAGTGTGACCAGAAAGTTTAAATTAGAAGCTTGAGACTTATATTAGGATCTGGTTTACCCTTTTTTCAGTATCTGTTATGTTAGAGAGTAATTGGAATTAAAAGGATGAAATAAGACTGATAAGCTTGTTAGGCCACAAGATTAAAAAATCCTAATCTCTAGATGTAGCAAACTTGGTTATATTATTATTATTATTATTATTTTTAAGATAGCCTTATAAACAGACAATGTACCTTAGAACTTGAAGCTCCCGCTGAAGGCTTTGCTCTGTCTCAGCACCTTCAGGAACATGTTTGAGAATCTCAATCTTTGGGCACAATGAAAAGTTGGAAGATAAAGTCAGACATGGAAATATGTTTTATAAAGATGCAGATTTTTAGTAAAGCATATTAAAAGTTGGGTTTTCAAAAGCATGTAAAATATGAGTACATATCTGTCATGTTCTATTCACTATTCATTCCATAATTACTGAGTGCCGCATGCAGGCACTGTCCTAGGCACAGGGAATATAGTGATGGCAAAATCCCTCACGGCAGGGTCCTTATGTATTTAGAGGGGGGTACAGGTGGGGGAAGACAAAGATAAATAGTAAGCTTGTGATGTAATAACAGTGCCAGATGAAAGGAAGGGCTATCAAGAAAAATAACTCAGGGTAAGAGGATGGAGAGTCATGGAAGGTGGTATGGGGTTAAGGAAGGTCTGAGGAGTCTCTGTTTAAGCAGAGACACTGTGAGGCAATGAGCTGTGAGAATATTTGGGTGGAGAGTATTCTAGACAAGGGAAATAAGTCCAAGATCTTAAAGCTTGAATGAGTTTGGCCTATTCGAAGGACTGAAAGAACATTCATGTGATTAGAATACTGTGAATGAGGGGAAAGTAAGGATGAGGCTAGAAAGGAAACCAGATGCCAGACCATGTAGGTCCTCACAGGCTATGAAAAGTACTTTAGAATTTTATTCTGGGGTAATGAGGAACCACTGGAACACTGACGCTGTGATATTTCTTTTTCTTTTTTTTTTTTTTTAAATGCTTAGAAGGGTGACTCAGCAGCTATGTGGAGAATACATTCAGGGATAGGGAGAAGGTAAAACAAGGCAAGAGTGGAAGCAGGGAGACCAGTTAGGAAATCACTGCAACAGTTCAGGTGTGAGAGAATAGCTTAGACTAGACTGACAGCGTGGGAGGTGCTGCAACATCATCATATTTGGGATATATTTTGGAAATATAGATCTGATGTGATTTAATAAAGACAGTAGGGTAAGAAAGATAAAAGAATTGATAATCTAAAGGTTTGGGCTTAAACAAATGGTTGAATGGTGGTACCATTCACTTTGATGGGCCTTTTAGGGGAGGTGTTATCAAGTGTTCACTTTTATCTACATAAGACAATGCCAAGGAGTAGCTTGAAATTACTTGCCTGTTGCTCAAGGTCTTCCGTGTATTTCTTAGCTTTCTGTTCCCTCTCTGTTGCTTGTCTTACAAGCTGTTTAAGATCAGTAAGGCTTTGGGTTTTTTTGGCAATATCAGTCTCCAGTTCTTTCAACTTGGTTTCGTACATTCTAAAAGTGAAGGGAAAAAAATAGTGTAGACATGGAAAGTAATTTCTCTCATTGATTTAAAAGCCAATTCAAATTATTGCACTAAAAATAACAGATTATCTTACACTGTTTCTTCTAGTCAACTCTAGTCAAATTCTAGTCAAAACTAGTCCATTTCTACATATTTATGTAGCATTAGGTGACAAGGATTAAGTATCCCTAATTAACAGGCTAATTAAAATAGAAGATTTAGGTGTTACCAAGGTTTTAAAGAAGGATGGAGCCTGAATTTGCCATTGTCAAAAAGCTTAAATATAGTATCTTTTTCAGTCACAAAACAAAACAAAAAACAGTGTGATTCATCCATGAGAATATCAAATTCTGTATTATTGGGTACTCTTATGTATTTAAAGATCACAAATTAAAGTATTTCATATATACATCATGTATACACACACAGAAGCATAACCAAAAAAAGGACACTATTGGGAGAAGAAAAATATGTGGAGGCACATGGGTGGCTCAGTGGGTTAAAGCCTCTGCCTTTCGCTCAGGTCATGATCCCAGGGTCCTGGGATCGAGCCCCAGATTGGGCTCTCTGCTCAGTGGGGAGCCTGCTTCCCTCTCTCTGCCTGCCTCTCTGCCTACTTGTGATCTCGCTTTCTCTCTGTCAAATAAATAAATAAAATCTTTAAAAAAAAAATGTGTGAAAGCATGGGTGAAAAATTTGCATATGATATAAAAATCTGAAGAGATTTGTAACCTTTAAAGAAATGACCAATAGTTGAAAAAAAAAAAAAAAAACCCAGACTCCAAAAGAAATTTTTAAAACATGAAGTCAAAATTTTATAAGCAAATCATTCCACCTTAAAGGGAGACAATGCTTATAATATTCAAACTTCCCAGAGAAAGGAAAAAGAATGCTTTGGCAACAAAACTAGGTAAGGACAGTACCAGGAAGGGAAATTAGTATTTCAATACATTCAGTTTTTGATAAATCTTGGAAGCTATGATTAGAAAGCATTGTTCTTAATCTGACAGACTGTCCACCAAAGGGGTGACATATCAGAAGCTTACTCCTTCAATTCTCTCTCTGCTCAAATGCCCCACCCAATCAGAGGGCTCCAGCATCCCCAGCCTGTCTTAACAGTCCATGTCTGGCCTGATAAAAACAGATGTCATTAGTTTGTTGAGGAAATAACAGAGTAACTGTAAAGATTTCAGCATGAGGAAGACCTAATGTGTCATGGGTCCCGAAGAGATTTCTAAACTACTTTAATGAGCTGGGTGTATAATGCCAGTGGCAGATCTTAGCAAGTTTTCTGTTTTGTTTTGTTTTTGGGTTTAGGGAGCCTTGAGGCCAAGGAAGAAGAATAGGGAGGATCATCTCCACAGATGAAAAAACAAAACAAAACAACACTTGAGCTCACAGAAGACATGTAATTTACTTAAGGTCATAGTGAGACTTAAGTATTTCTAAAGCCATGGAAACCAGCTGGCTCCATGGGAATGAGGCTAAGTAGGCCATTTAGAGGTACACCTAACATGAAGCAGAGAATCTGGCATGTAGCATGAACTGAGTAAATTATCTGTAGAGTAAATCTGAAGTAACTCAAAATCCTTTCTGAACCTACATGTGATTGTAGAAGGAAATAAAAGACCAATCAAGCAGTCCACTGAGTCCACTCAGTCCACTGAGAGTTGCTGGTTGAGAGCCTCTGCTGGGGTCCAAGCAGACGAGAGAACCCCTTTTCCCTGGTATTGTCACATATCGTTTCATTTAAGCCTCACGCTAGCTGTCCTGCAGAGTTAAGAGAGAGCTAGAGAGGGGAGCAGTGGACTCTGAGTACTCTCAGGATGGTGTTAGGAAAGGGACCACCTAGCCTGGCCACCTAGGCCACCTTCTAATCTGCCTGCATAGCCTTCCTCCTTGAACACGTACAGGGCAGGAGACCCACGTGGGACTTGCTACAGCCTCATGGTGCTAAGGCTTGCATCCTAGTGGTGGTAGTGATGGTGACTACTGATTCACCCCTCAGCGAGCCCATTCTAAAAAACAGGGAGACATTGAAGGGGAGACTGGAGATGCACAGACCTAAAGAACTCTGTGAATATGCTAAGATAAAGATGAGTTTGCCTTTAGAAATGAGGCCAGCAGATGTAAAGAACCCAGCTTTATACAGGATGACTTTAATGGGAAGACATGGATAGGCTCTTATTATTTTCCGACTTCTATACTCCTTGAAGCAGCTGCTTAAGACTGGAAATGAGAATGGCACCAAAGCCTTTAAATGACTCACTGGAGTCATTACGAGCCACCCATGATGACAGTGGCAATAAACAGGAATGTTTACTAGTGAGTTTCTAACACCACTTTGACAGCTACAAAGTTTACATGACAGGTGAGAATTGCACCTGTAGGAAAGGGTCACAGGACAGGAGAAAGTCTAGTGCCAGAAAGCAGAGGCCAGTGACACACTGAAGCTACCATTAAATTCATCCGTCAGGGCTGTCTGAAGAACAAGCTGCGTACAAGAGAACTCCAAAATCGGTGCCTGGGCAGCTCGGTCAGTTGGGCAACTGACTCTTGATTTTTGGCTTGGGTCATGATCTCGGGGTCGAGATCAAGGCCGGCATCAAGGCAAGGCAGACTCTGCTCAGCGGGGAGTCTGCTTGGCATTCTCTCTTCCTCTGCCCCTCTTCCCGCTCATGTGTGCTTGCTCTCTCTAAAACAAATAATCTTAAAAATATATATAAACCTCTGAAATTGCTGTAGAGCCCAGATCTAGTATGCCACAGGTTGTGACAAGACAGGTAAACTGTTCCTGGCTTATGCTTGAGGTAGAAAATGAATGTAATACAGAAGCTAAATCACACTGGAGAAAAGCAACACCCAGGAGAAGCTGGGCCCCATCACGCCCGGCTCAACGATGCCAGCTGCTTCCTGATGTCTACCAGCTGCGACACCCTGAGCCCAGCCCCAGCTCTGCTTTGTCCTATGCACTGCCACCCAAACTAAATACATGAAGGAAAAAAAAAACACTTTTCCTGTCCTAGCATCAGCAAAAAGTATCATATTAAAGCAAACAATCAAACAGTTCATCAAGGAAAGAACTAAGTTAATCAGAGTAGTATCATATTCTTTTAAAACAATGACATTAGAAATGATTAAACTTTGCGCAAGTTTTAAACTATTTGTTCTTACCTTGTGACAACAATTGATTTCCAGCTCTTGCTGTCAGCACCTTCAAGCTGTGGGCCTCTACTCTCTGCCAACTGTAATCTCTTACCAGTCTCTTCTAGTTGAACTGTCATCTTCTCATTTAATATCTCTAAATTATTCTTAGCTATCCGTAATTTTTCTGCAGCTTCAGTCTCCTACCATTAAAGACTAATTAGTACAGGATAACAATACTGTTCTCATAGATGCAATATATTCAAAATTACCACTACAAATTATAAACAAAAGCAACCTGGCACTGTAAAGGCTGATTAAAATTCCAATAAAAATCTAATGTTTTCTTTAAAATAGCAATATGATCATAATAATTAGAACAACAGATCATGTAAGCAAGGTTAGAAGAATGCATTGCAAATATTTGACACTAGTGGTTACTTTACATTTGTCATCTTTGTAGTATTTACAAATAATGGGATAGTTTATGTCTTAATACACTTTGAAGATGTTTTGCTTTGACCAATACTTGAGAGATCTAGCTATGAGCATCAACTATGTGTAAGTACTATGAACTATTTCCACTATTAAACATCCATTCAAAGCACACTATACTCTGGACTCACGGTATATTCTGATACTATTGTAACTAGTTTAAAAATCTCAATTTCAATTTATTCCCTGGATCATCCCTATAACTAACAACACCTATTTGTGGGGCAAGGAATATATTTTGCAACTTAAATAGAAAGGAATTTTACTGTTTAACAAAACAATTTCACTCATTCCTTACTTTATATCAATCATTGTTCTGAGCCATGTGCACAAATACTAACTCACTCAACTCTTGCAGCAGCTCTGTGAAACAGATATATTTATTACTCCCAAATTGATGAGCAAATTGAGGGATAGAGAGGGGTCAGTAGCTTGCTCTTATTTCCACAGCCATTAAGTAACAGAGCTAGGATCCGAATCCCAGATGTGTAACTTCTATACTATACTGCCTCTTATTTTTTATTTTCAATGTACCTCATGGCGAAAGGATGGCAGCCATAAAAATGGAATTCCTACATCTCTTAACATCTACTCTAAATAGACACTCTCTTCAACTTTTTCATTTTTTCGAAGATACATTAGTTAATTAACATAAAAAGTAATTATTAATCAGTAATGAAAGTCATACTTTCTTAAGTTCTTTACGGAGCCTTTCATTTTCAGCAACAATCTTCTCTGTGCCTTTGGTCTTGGATTCATAGTGCATGCTTAACTGACGTCCAAGATGAACTTTAAGTTTTTCTAATTCAGCCTAGTTAAAAAAAAAAAAAAAGCCTTTATCAAAACCAGGAAATAAAAGATGACCCTATAAACTCATAAAACTTAATTCAAAGCAGTTTTAGAAGCCATTTTTCATAGAATGAAAGCCTTCCCTTTCATACTGGTCATCTAGAGCAGAGGTTCCCAACCTTGCCTACACAGTAGAATGAGCTGATGACTTAAAAATCACAATATCTGGGGCGCCTGCATGGCTCAGTGGGTTAAAGCCTCTGCCTTCGGCTCAGGTCATGATGTCAGGGTCCTGGGATCAAGCCCTGCATTGGGCTCTCTGCTCAACAGAGAGCCTGCTTCCCCCCCCCCGCCTCTCTGCCTGCCTGTCTACTTGTGATCTCTCTCTCTCTCTCTCTCTCTGTCAAATAAATAAATAAATAAATCTAAAAAAAAAAATCACAATATCTATGGTAGGACCCACCCCAAAAGATCAATGTCAGGACTGGGGGCTTATGTCTGTATATTTGAAAACAGAACAGGTAAGTATTTATGCTTCCAGAGTGAGAACTGCTGGTCTTGAAATAATAAAAAGACCAGTGGAGCTACTCTAATTATTCTCAGCCTTGTCTCCAACAAGTTCTTCCACATGTATAAAACAGTCACTGCATCCATTAAAGCCATTTCATAGTAGGAGTATATTTAAAATCTTCCTTAAAAAATAAAAACAGTAAAAACATTCCATGCAAATGATCACATTTAAAAATTACCTTCAACTTTTCATTTTCCAGTTCAATATTAGCCATTTTTTCACTGGTCAGTATTCCTGATGCTTTCTTCAACTGTTCATTTTCCCTTTGGACTTTTTCAACTACTTTTTTCATTAAACCAATGGTTTTTTCTAGTTCTGGGATTGTCTTTCCACTTCTACCAGACTACAAAAGAATATATTAACTTTTTATCTAATCAAACATCTTAGAGTATATAAAACACCAACAACATAACAGGCACAGTATTATACTCAGTGTTGATTCCTAACATTTGAAGCCAAAACCTGTATTAAATTCATCACTACAATAACCCTATGCAATAGGAATTATAATTCTTACTTTAAATACAAGCAAATCAAGACACAAGAGAATTTGATACTCCTACTCATGCAGCTAATAAGTAACAGCTCAAATACTCCAGCCTTGATGTCTGTTCCAAATGAATAAACCTTAGAACCTAAATATTCTATTTAGCTAATGTTCTTTCTTATATAGCAGAATTTCCTTTATATGAAAAAAACCCACAAAAGTTGTGTCATTGAAGAGTTCATGAGTTACCAAATTTGAATTGCAGCATAATAGAAGTGATTTTCTCTAATAGCCATTGATTAGAAATTCAGTTTCTGTCCAATATAAATACAAGAGACATCTGAAATAAAAAAACCTAGTGTAGTTATCAATAGAGATGGGTCACCAATTAATAACTTTAACTGCCTAATGCTTTAAAATAAGGTTTTCAACAGTTGAGCAAAAGAATCTGCTTACTTTTTTTTTTTGCAATTTAGTCAGTATTCGCACTATGCAATGAATAACCCTACAGTACATAATATATACTTTCATAATTAACTTGGAAGAGGTTGAATTAACATTTTTAATTATGAAATTAATGTTGCTGTCAGTGAAAGGTTTGTTCTGAATACTTTTCTAATAATAACTGTTTTCAACAAATCTGTCATATATTTCATATTATTACTTGATTAAGTTTTTATTATCGATGGCTTCCATTGTGCCACTTGCTAATGAAATCATTAGGGGCTTAAATCTTTGGTCGGGGCCTCAGAAGCAGCATTTATTCACTGTAAAAGGTGAGTAGAAAATAACGTGGGAAGAAAAATACAAGGATAAAAAAAAATTTGGGAAACATATGTACAGAGTGTTATACTAAGAAGCTCCAAGGAAAATAATAAAAAATAGTTATAAAATGTTAGAATTGGACTAAGAGCAGCTAGTAGTTACCTTCATGAACAGAAGGATTCCTAGAACTTAAGTGTTTTCAAGGGGTGAAGGGATATACAATGAAGAAAGATGATGTCGTATCCCAACAAATAAAATGCATGTAAGGTGTAACAGATGATAAAATACACTGACTTGAAACACAAAGAAAAGCTTTATGATGTTTTACATTGTAGACACAGCAGAATAAAAACCAAGACTACAGGGCCTGGTAGTAAAAGCATATCACTACTCTTAGGACATATACAAACTTGTTTTTTTTATTACCAACTTGGCACTTCTGAAACCCAAACAAATATATGGTATGTTCTCACACACTCACCCCTCTAACATGACCAAGTTTCCGCTCAACTTCTGCTTTTCCTTTCTTAAGAAATTCACACATTTCCTTCAAATCCCTTACTTGACTCTGAAAAATTAAAGCACAAATGTGTAACAGTTTAACACAGCTATAGTCTCTGAAAAGGAAAGGCAAATATTTCACATGAGCTATCAATCTCTTCAACTATAGAGCCAAACTGAACAAGATGGTCTCCACAGCAATAAGGATTTTGAATTAAGATATATGTTAAGTTAAAATTTAATACAAGGATATTTTACATATGAATTTCAAGAAATATTTTTCACATTACTGCCTTAATATAGAGTTTAGAATTCTGATTTTAACCATCCCATAAATTACACTTGTAGATCCTTAGACAGATGATAGAAACAGTATTGGTTCTAACAATGTAAAACTCAGAATGCTCTAGAAGCAGGACATAATTATATCATTACCAGTGAAATTAACAGATTGTTACTATTCTAGGTTAGAAAATAGAACTGAAAGAATTAGCCAGCCAGAAGAAAAAAGATTCCCATAAATAGGATGAGATTTGGAAAACCAAAGATAAACTATTATAAACACCAAAATAAAATTCCTAAAAGAGATAATTATCCTAATTGTTTTAAATGTAAAGACTTATTTTTTTTTAGGTATCTTAATATTTTAAAGATTGATGATTGTTACTGAAATACAACATCCACTCTCTTGCCTCAGGGCTTTGAACTTGCTATTTCTGTTGTCTAGAACTCTTTTTCCAGTACCTATATGACCCACTTCCTCATCTGTCCCCTAGCTCTGCTAAAATATCATTTTATTAAGAAAACCTTCCCCTATACCCCAGTTTAAATAGCTATTCCATACACTCCCAGATACACACACACACACACACACACACACACACATCTTTCATACCAACTGTGCTTTTCTCCTTACCACTTAACATCAGCTGACATTCTGTATATTGACTTTTTACTTATTATCTACTTCCCCACTAGAACATAAGTTCTACGACTGCAAGAAATTTTTTGATTGCTAAGTGCCTCACAATGAAGTAGGCTTTCAACGAATAATTGTTGCGTGAACAAATGTAGAAAGTGTAACACTACCATATTTTATGAATGTGAGTTTCTGACATCTTCATAAACTAATATGAAGAGGGACAAAAAGGCTTTCAGGCATTAGGTTTCCTAACTAGAGTAAAGAACATTAAATTTACCTTTAATCTTGGCAAATCTTTATTTGCTTGTTCAAGCTGAAATTTTAGTTCAATATTTTCAGATGACAACTTCAGATTTTCCTTCTGAAGCTCTTGTTCTCTTTGACAATGATCATCTGACTCTACCTCGGAAGTCTTCGGGAAAGTAAAGTTAGAAATATTTTTAAGTTTTAATAATAAAGTAGCATAAGACTTAACAGGATAAGAAAATACTAGCTAAAAGGGAACATTTTTTTTTGAGGAAAAATATGGAAAGTTGGAGAGCTCTAGAAAAAAATTGCCCCAAATTAATAAGTTAGAATATAAAAATGGCAAAGAAAAGGTAATGCGTTTTAATTAATAGAGAAAGCAAAATCAAGTATGTCTTAACATCCACAGACATAATGTCTCCATGTATACTCTCATAATGACTAAACTAATTTGTGCTAATTTTCCCCGTCGAAAATTATGGTTATTATTTGTTATGGATTATATTATGTCCTAAACCCTACCCCACCCTCAAATTCGTATGTTGAAGTCCCAACCCCAGTACCTCAGAATGTGACCTTATTTGGATACAGGACCTTTTCAGAGGTACTCAAGTTACAGTCATTAAGGTGGACCCTGACCCAGTAGGAGTGGTATCCTTATAAAGAAGGGAAATGTGGATACATAGGTATGCATAGAACAATGTGAAGAGACAGCGAGAAAATGGCCATTTACAAGCCAAGGAGAAGGGCCTGGCATAGATTCTTCCTTCACAAGTTAAAGAAGTCATCAACCCTGCCAAGACCTTCTTTTTGGACTTCAGGCTTCCAGAACTGTGAGAATAAAATTTCTGTCAGGCCACATAATTTGTGGTGCTTTGTTAAAATAGCCCTAGCAAATGAATACACAAACCTATAAAAAGAAATGCCATAATTTCTCTCTCCTTCTTCGGAAAGCTCTTCTTCATTCCTTGAGCAAAAGCAATTACTCCCTCCTCTGAAACCCAATTACACTATGTCTGCATTTCTCTTGGCACAAATTCACCTTGGGTTATTATTTATGTTCATTTTTACTTCTCGTTCTAAGCAACAAGTCATTCAAAAGGGAAATAAGTGCTTGATTACTTTTTTCTATACAGTGGGTAGAATACCACCTACCTCACATGATTATTACGAGCATCATATGAAATAATTTTGTGCAAGCACTCAGCATAGCTTTAGTGTGTCCTCCCCTCATCCCTTTCTCTCTCTACTGGTTTGATGGACTATCAAGTCAATAACTCCACAGACATTATTGTTTAAAAAATACAGTATTAGAAAAATACATCCATTATACATGGCTCTATACCATCTTTTTAAATTAGCAGTATGTTGAATATTTCACATTCTGATACACTTCCCCTTGAGTAATAAAAACAAAAGTAAAATAAATTAAAGACACTAAAAAACAGGATACAGAAGAGTAAAGAAACTCTAGGCTGTTGGGTTCTGACCTGAGGGCACAGAACACCACACGCCTCCCCCTGTGTCTATTTGTTCAAAGCAACGTGCATGTATATGCACATATACAGCGGCAAGAAAAAGAAGACAGATGTGTTTGCTGGTGCCTGTAACATAGGAACATGTCTGCGCTTATTCTCTGTCAAATCACCCCAGTATACATTCTATTCTGCTGCGGTTAGGTTAACACCAGGCAAATCATGCCACCTGCAAGGTCCTCGGTTCTTCCATCTTATAAATGAAGGCATAAGATGGGGTCATTTTTAAGGCCTCTTCAGACACAGAAATCTGTAATGCCCTGTCCCTGAGCGCTTCTGTCCCCCTCACTTCATCTCTTCTGTCTGTGGTAGTTGTTTAACAACTGATAAACACCTATCAGCACTGCTGATAGACAGACATAAACCATACTAAGTATCACTCACAGAAGAGAGTACTTCTACATTATCATCTCAAATCAGGGTTTTTGGTTTTTTTTGTTTTTGTTTTGTTTTGTTTTGTTTTGAACACGATTCTCTCCTCACTGCAACATGGTGGCAATTATTTAAGTACATATGGATCATTCTTCCCATTTCTCAAAAAACAAAATTAAAAGTATTTGTTGAAACTGTCCAAATGTCTGGAAAATAAATTCTAATGAAACTCTATTCTGTAAAAATAATATGAATAAAACTCTTACATATTGAATTTTATGAGATTTCCAGTTCTTGTACAGAAGAGGAATCCTGCTAAAAGGGATACACTGCTAGGGGCATGTGGGTCGCATTGTCAGCAAAGTGTCAGACTCTTGGTTTCAGCTCAGGTCATGATCTCAGGGTTGTTGAGACTGAGACCCGCTTTGCTCTGTGCTCAGTGCGGAGTCTAAGATTCACTTTGCCTCTGCACCTCCCCACCGCATGCTCTCTCTCTCTCTAAAATAAATAAATCTTAAAAACAAAAACAAAAACGGATGGGGGATACACTGCTAGAAACCAAATTCTTAGTGGGTGGGAGTTAAAGAAACACACAGTGGATGTCTCAAACTTTTAATTATTTATTATCAAGTAAAAAGAAAAAGTTTTATGAACCTGGATAAAGAAATGAAACAAGAATTAAGTCACTTTCATCCATTTTCTCCTCACATTTAAATGTCTGTTTTTATTGATGTTTTTAGGACTTGGGTCTCTGGAATATATAGGTGCAAGGGATAAAGAAAAAAAAAGATAACTGCTATTTGATTTCAGCTGGGGGCAAACATGTCTTAGCCTGTACTGCACTGTGAATGGACCAAAAAGTAGTGTGTCAAGAGAGATCATGAACTAGAGAGTCAGACCCGTGTTTAGATCCTGGTTCTGGATCACTAGAGATATTACTCATGCTCCAAGTTGCCCATGTAAAACAGAAATAATACTCCGCAAAGCGCTATGAAAATTAAACCTAGGCACAACATTGCAACACAGGCAAACTCCCTTCTTTCATTATAAAAAAGTGTATGTCATAAACTATGTGGCAAAAAGATGACCAAAGAATGTCATACGGTATCGTAACATACTTTTACTGATCGTATTCACTGTAGTAAAAGTCTGTGATGAGACTTCAGAGCAACCTACATTAGAAATTTCTAAGGCAACATGAACATCTCTATAGGGCCAGATTTTTGTCACCCCATAATGTAATCTAATTCTTTTTAAGTGAGTACTAGTGGTAAAACAGTGAGTACTAAAATGAATTAGGAAATGCATAACCATTAATTTTTGAAGGAACCAGCTTAAGACACATTTCTTAATATATATATTACATATAATATATATATATCATTAACAATATAGTTAATATTCTTTACGAATCCTATACAACGTATTTCCATTTGTCCCACATGTGTATACCACTTGCTACAGGAAGATTCCGCTAACACACACACACAGGACCGCCATGGACTCAAACCTGGGACACTTCGTCTCTTGGCCAGACTGGTCCGTCGGAGTCAGAGTTTGCCTGTGCGCCCTCCTCAGCACACCGACTCAGTGCGGCCGCAACTGTGGCATAATCAGGGTCCTCTCTGGTGGATTCCTCTGGATCCCAGTGGTGGTTGTGACCCACAGCTTCAGCTACTTGTCCCTCTCCTTCGTCATTCTTGCCTAGCTCATTCTCTTCCTCGTTTTCATGTTCCTGTTTATTATTTTCACAACTGTCTTGATTTATTTTCTCAATTTCGGGATCTGCTTCATTTTCAAAATTGGACTTAACATCTGCCAAGGTACCATTAGTTGACTTAAATGGACTTGACTTATGTTTTGGTCTTGTCTCAGATTTATTTAACTCCGTAGGCTCTACAGTATCTTCTGCTGTGTGTTTTTCTTCATTACTGGGATCCCGTAGAATATCTTTAGGTACCTGATCATGTAAGTCGTCACTGGCATCTATTCCCTTCCCATTTTTAATTCTGAAAACTGTTACAGGTTTTTTTTTGTTCCTGTGTAAAGTGTTCTTTTTGTAAAAAGTATTGTGCCTGTATTTATTAACACTGGTAGCAAGGGTAGAAAGCGTAGTTGTGTCACATAACAGATTCTGCTTGAAGCAGAAGAAAGAGAAGAAACATGAAAAGAAGAAAGAAATAACAAAAACATACACACCAATTGTTTTAAAGTAAGACACAACAAACAATTCTGTATTAGTGACTTTTTATAAAGAAACCTAGAAATATATAACATGTCTGAGTGGAAACAATGCTAAATAGACATATTTTTCTAATTTACCCAATTGTATGTTCTTGCCGCAGCAAAACTCAAAATGATAACTTCATTTAAAAACACATTTGTAATAAGATTTCATACAAAGCCTAAGAATCTTAAGTTTACTTATGTAAGGAGGATTAAAGAAGTTCACATACATCACTACCTGGTAAAAATAAAAGTTGAATTTATTGCATTAATATTATAAGAGGGATCTAATATTCTGGCTCAGATAAAGGTTTCTACCTTTATATCACTTTTAAACTTTAAAAACAGAAAAACAAAAAGGTGTATACTTACTGAAGTTCTAGAATATGCCTCCTTTGAAAACTGTTTTTCTAAAACATGAAGTTTTTCTTGGAGGTATCTATTTTGTAAACGTAAATCTTCAATGACAGAATCTCTAGGGAGAGCTTGGCGTGTCCTATGAGAAACAACAACAGACTCTTTACTATTCAAACTTCAACTCTCCACAGCTTTACTCTACCAACATATAGAAAAGAAAGAAAATATGTATTATTAATACAGTATTTACTTGAAATTCCACAAAACTTGTAAGCTTTGCAAAAATCAAGACATGACTCTACAGTATAAGTGATCCTCTACAGAGGATTCGCTGCAGGGGTCTTTTGAATTATGAGTTAACAAGTGTATTTTGATTTATGGAAACACATTTTATCTTTAAAGACCATGCATCTACTTATATGGAACTGTGTAAGCCAAATCAAAATAGCCACTATTTTTAAAACATTATATAACAATTTCATAACATCTGTGTGCTTCTTGAAAAGCTCAAGGATTCACAAAAGGCTCTTAGTGGTGCCAGATAATCTGTTATTCCAGGTCTCATGAGCGTGGCCTCCAAGGCCCTCCATAACCTGGCCCCACTACACCTATTCAACCTAATTGTCCAGGAGTCTACCTTTACTAAGGCAAAAAAGTCTACCCTTACCCACACATGAAAGCTTTACTCCTGCCACTATGTCTCTGATAGGGTTCTGCTCTCTTGGAATGTCCCTCCTCCTTTTAATATCTAGATCGATTCATTCAACTTAGAAATTCAAATTGAGCTGAGAAAGTAAGTTCCATCTCTTCTATCAGATCTTCTCCAATTACTTCAGCCACACAGATTCACATTATTAGGAAAACAAAACAAAGCCTCTAAAAGCATTAAGTTTCAAAACTAAAATATTTTGATCCTTGTGAAAACTGCAAAGGAGAAAAAAGGGTTTAATGTTGTTTTGAACATATGCTTAGATCAAGACAAAGAAGGGAAGGCTGAGATCAAACAGTATCTGTACAAGAGGTGTCGAAAGAAAGAATTCTTCAATCGCTTTTTTCTTCTCCATCATGAAAAATTCTGAGGGATTTAAGAAACAATGACTTAGGAAAAAAAGAAAGGAAATGTAGATGCTCAGGAGTGTTCCCTTAAAGGAGTTCACATTACATTAACACTGACACAATCACAGGCATTAATAAAGAAGCACTAATGGTAATTTTTGAAGATTAACAGAAAGGAAAAAAAGTATGATAAATTTAGGAACAGCAAGTATCCTCATATACGAATATGACAAGTAGGTAAGACCTTAAAAATGATCATTAAGATGATTCTGGACATCTTGTAAGTACTTAGTAGAGAAGTGACAGATTATGTAAAACTAACTGAAGTTCATCTAAGAATAAATGAAACAGATCATTACAGTTTCAGTTGTTGTTAGAAAATGATTTTATTTGGTTTTGCATGACTGATTATATCAGCATGGAAAGAGAGGACAAAACAAAAAAATTTCAAAGACTCTGCTAAAGAAATGACATGGCGGGGAGAGGGAGAGCTGGTTCTAGGTACAGGGGAGTAAACATATCCAATCTTGCCTCTCTCAAATGCATGGAACAGCTATTTGAGAACTCTGAAAAGTTAATATTTTACAGACTGGGATAGCATACCAGAATTTGAAGTATCAGCAAATAGGCAGTGATTTACCTTTCCTTTTCCTCTGGTGTTTCTTGGCCTGAATACAACACTGTTTGAAACCTGAAGATGAGTGTTAGTACTGAGGGAAAAAGCCCCAGATTTCCCTCAAAGTACCAAAAAGAGGAGCCCTAGGGAAATGGAAAGTATTAGGGAGATCAAAGAAAGGGAGGAACTAAAAAAAGGGATCTTATAAAGTCATTTATGAACTTCTGGGCTCACCACAGAGCGGTGTGTGCATGGATCTGATCTTAGGGTAGCAAAGACTCACCCCACAGAAAACAGTTCGGAATGTAGGCCTGAACCTATCCAGACTGGCTGCCTGCTAAAACAAAAATATCCACATTTTCTATAGAATTTAACCAAGATCCAAAGTTTCACCACATAATATTCAGAAGATTCAAGAATACAATCCAAAATGAGGCGGCATACCAAGAACCAGAAATATCTTAACTCACATAGGAAAAGACAATAGAACCCAAGCCTAAAGTAATACACATTCATTACATCAATTACTGTGGGTCAGTTTTTGTCCTTATAATGGGTACCACATTTTCATGAAACAGCCTACCTCATATATGAAATGTCATTTTCTAAGTCAAGATTTCTTTTTTTCAATTCTTCCAACTCCTTTTCTGACTCCAAAGCTCGCACTCCCATAACTTGATCAACAGTAATGCCAGTTGTTTTTAGTTTCCTCTGCAAGGTAAGTTTCTCTTTGTCAGCTCTGTGGGATTTAATGTAGCCTCATGAAAATATTTCACTGTTTTGCATTCAATTTATTAAACCACAGCTTACTCAATTACAAGCCCAACATAAAAAAATTAGATCTTTCTGTATTTGCTATGAGCTAAGTTATTTCAAAATTATAGTAAGCCCATTTACAAATTTTTTAAATACCCTTTTTTTTAAAGATTCTATTTATTAAAGAGAGAGAGAGAGAGAGAGTGCATACAAGTATGAGGGAGAGGCAGAGGGAGAGATAGGCAGACTTCAAGCCAAGCAGGGAGCTGACGTGCCACTCGATCTCAGAACCCTGGGATCATGACCTGAGCTGAAGGCAGATGCTAAACAAAGTGAGCCACCTAGGTCACCCAAGTTGTTAAAATACTTATAAACACATTTTAAAGAAAATAAAAAGTGAACTATAAACAATAACTGATAATTAAAAGTAGGAAAATTTTCAAGTATGATATCAAATATGATAAAACAATATAACTTCCAAATCAAGATTTTGCACATAATTAATTAGACTTATCTTTAAACTCACTTGGCAAAAAGATCTTTCAAAGTAGTCAACTGCTTTGTTAGAATATAGACTTCTCCCTCTTTTTCCTTCAACTTGTTTCTAATTCCCTCTATTTTGGTTTGCCATTTTTTACCTTCTTCCCACCTAATTAATTCTTCTTTAGCACTCTGTGAATAACAATGGAGAAAATTACCAATATTGTTTTTTAATTTCAAGATGTATCAATTACAATTTACTAGAACAATGGTAAACCAATATTTCTTAGAGATTATGTAAATACATTCATTTTGCTATGTAACTTCTAGACTCTTTAGACATGCCAAGCTATTAACAAAAATCCCCTTCAGTATAGGGTTCTGTATTCTATTACTTGACAGATGATATTCTAGGGAAAAGTCTGGACTAAGGCCAACAGACTTAGGAGTCTTTAAGATTATTTATTTATTTATTTACTTACTTATTTATTTTTCAGTGTTCCAAAATTATTGTTTATGCACCACACCCAGTGCTCCATGCAATACATGCCCTCCATAATACCCACCACCAGGCTCACCCGACCCCCAACCCTACTCCCTCCAAAGCCCTCAGTTTGTTTCTCAGAGTCCACAGTCTCTCATGGTTTGTCTCCCCCTCCAATTTCCCCAAATTCACTTCTCCTCTCTATCTCCCAATATCCTCTGTGTTATTACTTATGCCCCAAAGGTAACTGAAACCACATAATTGACTCTCTCTGCTTGACTTATTTCCTCAGCATAATCTCTTTCAGTCCCGTCCATGTTGATACAAAAGTTGGGTATTCATCCTTTCTGATGGAGTCATAATACTCCATTGTATATATGGACCATATCTTCTTTATTCATTCATCTGTTGAAGGGCGTCTTGGTTCTTTCCAGTTTGGCGACTATGGCCATTGCTGCTATGTACATTGAGGTACAGATGCCCCTTCAATACATTTGTATCTTTGGTATAAATACCCAGTAGTGCAATTGCAGGGTCAGAGGGTAGCTCTATTTTTAATTTCTTAAGGAATCCCCACACAGTTTTCCAAAATGGCTACACCAACCTGCATTCCCACCAACAGTGTAAGAGGGTCCCCCTTTATCCACATCCTCTCCAACACTTGTAAACTGTCCTGTTAATTTTGGCCATTCTAACTGGTGGAAGGTGGTATCTCAATTGGTTTTGATTTGAATCTCCCTGATGGCTAATGATGATGAACATTTTTTCATGTGTCTGTTAGCCATTTGTATGTCTTCTTTAGAGAAGTGTCTATTCATGCCTTCTGCCCATTTTTTGACGTGATTATCTGTTTTTTGAGTGTTGAGTTTGAGGAGTTCATGACAGACCTTGGATATCAGGCCTTTGTCTGTAGTGTCATTTGCGAATATCTTCTCCCATTCCAAGGGTTGCCTCTTTGTTTTGTTGACTGTTTCCATTGCTGTGCAGAAGCTTTTCATCTTGATGAAGTCCCAAAAGTTCATTTTCGCTTTTGTTTCCTTTGCCTTTGGAGGCACATGCCTTGAAAGAAATTGCTGTGGCTGATGTCAAAGAGGTTACTGCCTATGTTTTCCTCTAGGATTTTAATAGATTCCTGCCTCACGTTGAGGTCTTTTATCCATTTCCAATTTATCTTTGTGTATGGTGTAAGAGAATGGTTGAGTTTCATTCTTCTACACATAGCTGTCCAATTTTCCCAGCACCATTTATTGAACAGACTGTCTTTTTTTTCCACTGGATATTTTTTCCTATTTTGTCAAAGATTATTTGACCACAGAGTTGAGGTTCCATATCTGGACTCTCTACTCTGTTCCACTGGTCTATGTGTCTGTTTTTGTGCCAGTACCATGCTGTCTTGGTGATCACAACTTTGTAGTAAAGCTTGAAATCAGGCCATGTGATGCCCCCAGTTGTGTTTTTCTTTTTCAACATTTCCTTAGCAATTCAGGGTCTTTTCTGGTTCCATAAAAATTTTAGGATTGTTTATTCCAGCTCTCTGAAAAATGCCGGTGAAATTTTGATGAGGATGGCCTGCTTAGGAATGATTGGACCAACCAGGAAATCAAAGAAGAACTTAAACAATTCATGGAAACCAATGAGAACGAAGACACTTCAGTCCAAAACCTATGGGATACGGCAAAGGCAGTCCTAAGGGGGAAATACATAGCCATCCAAGCTTCCCTTAAAAAAATTGAAAAATCCAGAATATACCATCTCTCTTTACACCTTAAAGAACTGGAGAATCAACAACAAATCAAGCCAACCCCATACACAAGAAGGGAAATAATCAAGATTAGAGCAGAGATCAATGGGACAGAAACTAGAGCTACAGTAGAACACATCAATGAAACTAAAAGCTTGTTCTTTGAAAGAATCAATAAGATTAATTAAACCATTGGCCAAACTAATCCAAAAGAAAATAGAGAGGACCCAAATTAATAAAATTATGAATGAAAAGGGAGAGATCATGACTAACACCAAGGAAAAAGAAACAATCACCAGAAATTATTATCAACAGTTATATGCCAATAAGTTAGGCAAACTAGATGAAATGGATGCATTCGTGGAAACCTATAAACTTCCAAAACTGAATCAGGAAATAATTGACAACCTGAATAGACCAATACCTAGTAACAAGATTGAAGCAGTGATCAAAAACTTCCCAAAAAAACAAGAGCCCAGGACCTGATGGATTCCTTGGAGAATTCTACTAAACATTCAAAGAAGAAATAATCCCTATTCTCCTGAAGCTGTTTCAAAACACAGAAACAGAAGGAAAACTTCCAGACTCAGTATGCAGCCAGCATTACCCTGATCCCCAAGCTAGGCAAAGACCCCACAAAAAGGAGAATTTCAGACCAATTTCACTGATGAATATGGGTGCCAAGATTCTCAACAAGATCCTAGCTAATAGGATCCAACAGTACATGAAAACGATTATCCACAATGACCAGGTGGGATTTATCCATGGGATGCAAGGGTGGTTCAACATTCACAAATCAATCGATGTGATAGAATAAATCAATAAGAGAAGAGAGAAGAACCACATGGTCCTCTCAATAGATACAGAAAAAGCATTTTACAAAATACAGCATCTGTTCCTGAATAAAACGATTCAAAGTATAGGGATAGAGGGAACATTCCTCAACTTCATAAAATCTATCAATGAAAAACCCACTGCAAATATCATTCTCAACGGGGAAAGGTGACAGCCTTCACTTTGAGATCCGGAAAGCGACAAGGATGTCCACTCTTGCCACCGTTGTTCAACATAGCACTAGAAGTCCTAGCAATAGCTATCAGACAACAAAAAGAAATAAAAGGTATTCAAATTGGCAAAGAAGAAGTCTTTAAGATTCTAATAAAGATGATCATGACCAAAGTAAGCTTCTAACAAAGAATGTATATGTACAAAGGATCAACCCAATTTTAACCAAAACAGCAATCTTCTAGCATCACAGCACCTTCAAATCTTCAATCCACATGACTTCTCTTATCGAATATATATATAGTGCTACTCATCTGCCAAATATTACTCTAGGTACTAGAAGTAGAAGCAATGAATAAACCAGAGAAAGAGCATTATAGTCTAATTTATGATGGTTGGGTGGATTAGAGAAAGGGAACAAAATATAGACAAAAAGAAAAAAATATTTTGTATTACATTAGCTGGTGATAAGTGCTTAAAAAAAAAGAGCAGCGAAGAGAACTAGCTAGTGGCATTAACAATGCCATTGGGACATACAAACTTCCAATAGGATACATTTGTATCAGTCTGCATTTGTAGCTCTGAATTTCTACTAATGCTACACTACTTCATTATATTTTCTAATGTAGCATGTCAGAGCATTTTCATGTTGAAATATGAGGAATATAGAAATATCTATTATTTTATAAATTATTTTTTCTTTCTCCTTTATATTTCATTTATAATGATTATTTTGAAATTACACATGTAAGTAGATTCTATTAACTATAAATTTCATGTGGAATAGCACAGAGGATGTCATGAAACACTGTATTTATTACAAAAGGCAATGCCGGGGCTGAAAGAGTTAAAAGACATAGTTTAAAGTCAAATGCTCAACTAAGATAAGTTGCCCTATCAAAACTGTCTTCTTTGACACTGGCCAATTTTTTGCCTTATTTATTTAGTCCAGTTAACAAGTATTCTTTTAAAAAATGCAAAAACTTCAGTGTTTGATCATTATTAATTTCTTTTTTTCCTGAAATATATACAAGGAATTTTGTGACTTCCAGAATTATAAGTATTTGTTTGGGCGTAATGGTATATAAGTAAATAATTCTGCAGCATTGGCGTGCTTTGTAGGGATTGGGCAATTCTATCCTATCTGACATTACCCTTTGAATTAAGACTGAGCAAAACAAGGCTAAAACAACTTAAAAATGAACCACAACAACAATAAAATAACAAAGACAAATGTCACCAAGGATCTGTTCTAGATGGGGGAAGAAGAGAGGATACAGAGAGAACTTCTCTTTTCATATTTTCTGTACCAATAGCCACTCAGGCATGGACTTCAGAATAATGTAATTGCATTTTAAATTTTTCTTTCGTTTAACAAATACCAAGCATCTAATACATACCAAGTAGTGCTGTAGGTGGTGGGGATACAATAATAAACAGAACAGGCAAAATTCCTGCCATTAAAGCTTATAGTCCAAAAGATGAACACATAGATAAGTACATCTCTAGTATGTCAGATAATAATAAATGCTATGAAGAAAAGTATAGCAACAAAAGAAACAGGAATGCAAGGCATGGGAGTGAGTGTGGTATCTCATATAGATAGGCTATAAGAAATTGACAGAGAAAAGGTGTAGAAATTCCAATATAAGAGCATTTTTTTAATATAAAAGCATTCATGAATTCAAAATACCCCATACAGCAGAATTTGAAATAATGCTCTTACTAGATTCCTGGATACAAATTTGATTAGGGTTGCTCTTTGTGTTCTCTTTTCATAATAAGTAATAATACTATACAGTGCTATGGACTGGATGGCTTACAAAGGACTTGCACATATTGTTCCATTTGTTTTTGTTGTTGTTGTTGTTTTTAAGATTTTATTTATTTATTTGACAGAGAGATCACAAGCAGGCAGAGAGGCAGGCAGAGAGAGAGGAGGAAGCAGGCTCCCTGCCGAATAGAGAGCCCAATGCGGGACTTGATCCCAGGACTCCGAGACCATGACCTGAGCCAAAAGCAGAGGTTAACCCACTGAGCCACCCAGGTGCCCACATATTGTTCCATTTGACTGTCAAAATAATCTTGGGAAACTGGCAATGCAAGATGTATCATTTCAAATTATCAGGAGAAATAAACTGAAACACAGATGAGGAATCCAGGCAAAGCCACAGGCTACTGAGATATTCTTTAGGAAATGGCATCCAAGGATTAGACCTATGCCCAAGTGGGGAGGCAGCAAAGAAAGCAATCTGGTAGAGTAAGGACATTTTACCTTGTGATTTTTAAGAGCAAAGCTTCTGACAACGAGTACTGTGTGGTTCAATGTATACAAACACAAACATTTTAATAATAATTATAATAACACTGGTGAATTTTCATAGGTAAAATGAATTTTGGAATATATTATATTAAGGTATTTTAATTCGATTACTAATCTCTATTCAGTGGCATTAAAGACACTTTATGTTCATGTTACTGAAAATATTTTATAGATATTGACATTTTCTGGGTAAATTTTACAATAAAAATTTCCCTAATCTTAGCTCCTTTATTGTGATTTTCTACAGGGGCAAACATTACTACTAACACCAATATTTCCCAGGTCTCTCACGATATTTCCAATGTTACCCATATAAATCTTCAGCTTATTTGTAATAAGTTATATGCATTTTAGCAACCGATAATTCTTGTTAGTAATTTTTATTACAAAATAGTTTACTAGTTAACCTGTTAGCTAATTTTAAGCAACTTTTCTCACATTTCAGAGTCAATTTATGAGTAGTTTGGTTACTGATTACTACAAATATTGAAAGTGAAAAAAATTTTATTCCAAATTATTTTATTTACCCTGAACTAACAGTCCAGTCTACCGAAGGATAAAAAGGGCACATTTGGGTCTAGGTAGCAGACTAAAAACGCCCAACTTTCTTTCCCAAAATCAAAATCACCAATTTATATAAAAAATTAGGTTGGGGAGAAGTTGGATAGGTAAAGTTTGAGGGGATTTTAGAGGTACTATAATGTCAGGAAGAGGACATGGAGACATTCTAGTAACTTCTGAGTAAGAGTTACATTTTAGGAGTCTCCCATAAATACCTTTAAAAAAAAAAAACTTTATTTATTTATTTGATAACAGAGAGAGAGATCACAAGTAAGCAGAGAGGCAGACAGAGGGGGTGGGGGAAGCAGGCTCCCTGCTGAGCAGAGAGCCCCATCTGGGGCTCCATCCCAGGGCCCTGAGATCATGACCTGAGCTGAAGGCAGTGGCTTAACCCACTGAGCCACCCAGGAACCCCTGGAGTCTCCTATAAATTCTTAAAGGCAGAAACTTGTTTTAGACTGCTCTACACAATTTGATACATTTATAGTATGTATTAGGCCCACAAATTAATATAGTTGATCCTCTGTTCATTAGCTATATAATCGATCTTATTCTATCATTACTTTAAATATATTAATCAGTATGTTTCTTCACATACCTTTTCTTTCACAGGCTTTATTTCTGCCTCATCCACCTTTCTTTCCAGTTGGCTTTCTAGCTTTTTAATTTTCTTTTGGAGTTCTTCAATTAAACTTTGTTTATTATCTATTAGATGTTTCCCCTGAAATATAAGATGTATTTTTACATTTTACAAGTAAAAAGCTATCAACAAAATACACAATAAATATTCCAATTACAGAAATTTTCTGAGGCTATAGCAATCTCTTCTAAATGCACTACTGATACAGATCATACTTGCTACCTCTGCATTTTAAAGATAGGCTACTCTAAAATAACAGATATGACAGAGAGTCACTGAAGGAATCAGCTATATAATCAAAGTGATCTGGAAAGCTAGTTTTAGCAAATATTATAAATGAAATTAAAAAGGTAGAAATAAACCACTACCTATATATTTTAAATCAAAGACTTCATCACAATTAAATATAAAATCACCTGTAATCCACTGGTTAGTCTTTTAATTTGCCTTTTCAGCTCATCATTCTCTTGATCAATTGCATCTTTCTCTCTAAGTATTTTATTATAGGCTTTTTGTTTCTTTTGCAGTTCATTGGTTAAGTCATTCAAATTATCAGTTAGTGAGTTTTCTTTGTTTTTACTTGTTTTAAGAGCTTCTCTCAATTTTAAAAGATTTTCACTTAAATCCTCAATTTGTGTCTGCAAGAAAGGTTTAATTCATAAATCTTCATCAAGTATCAACAACAAAACAGAATATATCCATTACTTAATAAAAAGGCTTCAATCTAAGTATTTATTAAATTATTAATAATATTTATGAAAAGGGTTTAATGCTTATTAAATTAAAATTGGTTAAAACTAAAGTTTCAATCTAAATTTTGAAAGTTCACAGGGGGTAGAAAAACCCACCAACTACATCTATTTATCTAACTTCATTTCAAATGAACCAAGTCTACTTTGAGAAAAACAAAATGTGACAAAATAATCTACAGCAATTCATCTTCAACAAACACCCAGAAACAAAATTTTATCAAATAAGCAAATGTTTTATTATGGCTAAACTAACTTATTAAAGGAACAAGTACATACGAATGTACATGGTTATGTTTTAAGTGCTATGAAGCCTAAAAGTAGAATAAACAAATTCTCTAACTTGTAGTAGTTTTTAACCCATTTTGTAGAGACAAGACATAAAAGGGTAACTCCCTGTATTTGACAGTATATTTAAAGCCACTATATAGGAGTGTCCAGCTGTTCCATATAGTAACTGTGATGGAAATACTGGTACTTGGTTGTTTTGTTGCATAAATGACTACAGGTCAAAAGTATTACTAATAACACTAACAAGAAATTAGTACTACTATAATGCAATTAGAAGAAACACATAAGCTGTCCAGGAGTAGTCAGAAAAGGATTTGAGAAAAAGGACTTTAAGGCTATTAAGAATTTAGAGATGATGTTTCAGGCAAAAAGAAAGGTAATGAAGAAGATACCAATAAAGGGTAATTCCTGTTTATATATTTATTTACTTAATGAATTTTTGGTACTAACTATGCTCATGAACTTGATAGGTACAGTGGGAGATTTAAAAAGGCTAAGTAGAGACACCTGGCTGGCTCAACTGGAAGAGCATCTGACTCTTGTTCTCAGAGTCGAAAGCTGGAGCACATGATGGGTGTAGAGATTATTAACTGAACAATAAATGAAAACAACAACAACAACAACAACAAAAACAAAACCCTAAGTAAAATCCAGTCCCTACACAGTTCAATGGTGGTGAAGAGGAGAAACAAATAAATTCAGTAAATCAAAATTACAAACAAAACATAAAACGTGACATTTTCATTTATGCAGAATGTACTATGTAAAACTGTGTAAAGAAATATAAAACTCACTATGAAACACATATGTTTTGTAAAACGATTTTAAATTACCAAAACTAATGATTGCTCGGTAATGAAAACAGTAAAGTACATTGCCAAAAAATAAATAACTTCAAAAAAGGCTTCAGAGTCAGGCAGCTCTATGAATTACATGTCAAGGACTATATAATCTCCCTAAATTACTGCAGGGACAAAAAAAGGAAAGCTAATTAACTCATATTATGAACTAGCAAAATTAGAAAATTCTGACAAAGCAAAAGAAATAAAACAAAGAAATCTACACACCGACCTCACATCAACATAGAAACAAAAATCCTAAGTAAAATGTTTCTTAATTCTGTTAGGAAGAAGTAATTAATAAGGGCCTATCCTTTGCTAATCTCTAAGACGATAATCAGCGTATGAATATTATAAAGATTCTATTGTTAAAAAATGAATATATATATATCCACAAATAATTTATTAGAATAAATTCCCTATTCATTATCAAAACTACTATATGTCAAAGAGGCTCCTCTTCCAATAGCAATTATAAGGTATTTTGTTATATTGATGCATGTGTTACATTCACCTTTAGCTCTTTAGTATGTCGATCAATAATTTGTTGAACATTGAGATTTGCCTCTTTCTGAGATGTTGCAGAAATAATACGTTCTTCTGCTGCTGCCGTCATTTCTGCCCGGAGTTCCAAAAGTGCTCGACTAAGTGCCTGAAAATTATAACATACATGGTTTTTAAAAAATTAATATTTTATATGCGCAACACGTAATACAAAAATTTAATATGCTTCATCACTTTTAAAAATTTTCCTAAAATACCATGTGTTTAAGCAAACATAACTCACAATCTAACTGTCCTAATTTTTCCAAATGAATGTCCTTTAGTAACTGCATTCAGTTCATCCCAAACTGACAGTGAGAAACTTCAAAATCTTGACAATAATAATTTTGAGAACATAGCATTAAATCAAGACATTTATATTACAAAAACCAATGTTTTGTTTCACTATCCAAGTTTAGGTATTTATCTGAATTACTCACTTAGTACATACTTCTGTGTGAAATTAACCGAATTTATACAGACAAGGAAAATTATAGGATTAGAAAAGACTTAAAATTTGTCAATAAATTTCATAAACTAGCACAGAAAAATAGCATCTTCTAAATCAACTGAGTATATCAAATCTGAGATCAATTTTAAAAACTAATACATCAGATAATCCACTGACCAAATACTTCTCAAAAAACTATCTCTGTGACCTCCTCTTTAAACTTTCCTCCTCACTGTCATATCTCCCCCCAACTCCCCAGAATTGTTTGAAATTATTCAATTATTCAAACTGTTCAAAATAGCTTAGTAGCATAAAATCCAGTTAGAAAAGGAGAGAAAAGAATGGGATTAAGATCTCCCCTTATTTCCTATCAAAATCAAACTGATAACATAAAAAAGTGACACCACCAAATGGCTATTAAAAAGAAATATCTTGAAAAATTCTGCTTAACAGCCTAAGACAAAGCTCATACTTCTTATTACAACAGAGAGATACATGCTATCATCTTTTACTAGTCTTCTCTAAAAGCAATCTATTAGTACATGTATTTCCTAAACACTGGTAATACTCTCTTGTTACTTACTTTTTGTTGCTTCTCTTTCAAAGCTAACTGGCTCTTTAGCCGTTCCACTAGATTTCTCATTGTAGTTGTTGGAGCTCTTGAATTTGCTTCTTTTTGAGCCTGAAGTTCGGATTTTAAACTCTGTGACTCCTTTTGCGAGTGGGCCAGAAGACACCTTAAATCCTCTACTTCTGCCTTCACTTTTTTCACTTCATCCGCATGGTCTTCTTGGAGCCTAACATAAGCAAACATATGTATTTAAGGGAGTGGTTGCTGCAATTAACACTTAGATACAAATTTTATAAAGAACAAATGTTTGGTCCTAAGTATACATATGACCTAAGTCTTAACTCAAATCAAAACAAGAACAATTCTTTGTTTCACTTAACTAACTCTTAAACTTTACATAAAATAGACTTTTCCTTTTAGTTCGTCTACTCTTGATGGCAATGACTGCGTGAAGTAATTTTGTGGTCTAGACAATGAACAAAATTGCACTTTAAATACTGTGTCCTACAAGATGTACCAAAAACTGAAGTTAACTCAAATAATCAAACTGTGAAAATAGGAGGTTTTACGCAAGAAAATACACAGATCTACAATTTCCTAGGACACATTAAAATACACATGTCAATATACACACAGAATAAAAGAATAATTTTAGTTAACATGACATGGTAAGGTAGAAAATGACTCAAGTACTTCACGTGGCAAAAATTTATATATACAAGGTCATTTGAAAGGAAGATTACTTTCTGCATCCAGGAATTATATTCAAAAGTACAAGCAATTTCATATACCAAAACATGACAGAAACTTACTACACCAAAAATAACATTTCATGTATAAAATTTAATATAATGGGGAAAATTAGAGTGAAAAGATCCAAAATAGGTGCCTGGGTGGCTTAGTCAGCCTCTGACTCTCGATTTCCGCTCAGGTCATGATCTCAGGGTCATGAGATCAAGCCCCATATCAGGCTCTGCGCTGGCGTGGAGCCTGCTTAAGTTCCTCTCTCCCCCTCTAGCACACCCCCTCACCCTGCCCCGGCTCGGGTACAGGCGCATGCTCTCTCTCTCTCTCTCTCTCCTATCTCAGAAAAAAATAATAAAGAAAAGAACCAAATGCTATTGCTGATTCTCTTTTCTTTTCTTTTTTTTTAAGATTTTTTAAATTTATTCATTTGACAGACAGAGATCACAAGTAGGCAGAGAGGCAGGCAGAGAAAGAGGAAGGGAAGCAGGCTCCCCGCTGAGCAGACAGCCCAATGCGGGGCTCGATCCCAGGACCCTGAGATCATGACCTGAGCCGAAGGCAGAGGTTTTAACCCACTGAGCCATCCAGGCACCCCACTGATTCTCTTCTTTTAGGGAATAATTTCTTAAAAGTGGCAACTTCTTAATAAAGCAAAAATAGTGTTAATTTTATCAGAGACATACTGGATAAGTAGGTTAAGAATAAAAAGTTCTACTGCGGAACTTCAGAACTGGAATGGAATTACAAAGTCAAGTAGATCAACTTTCCCATTTTTTTTTCAGATAAGAAACTGAGGTCCAGAGAGACAGCTCTGTTTTTGTTGTTTTTTTTTTTTTTTCTAATTTTTACAATTTTTTAAATTATTTGTTTTATTGTGTTATGTTAGTCACCATACAGCACATTATTAGTTTTTGATGCAGTGTTCCATGATTCATCGTTTGCATATAACACCCAGTGCTCCATGCAATCTCTGCCCTCTTTATACCCATCACCAGGCTCTGTTAGGTAGAAGCCAGACAAGAGCTGTGGAAAGAATGCCCTCAGGCAGAGTCCCCAGTGCCTGAAGGGGAATGACTGAGACGTGAGCTGGAATAAGGATGGTAATAAAAATGAACAAAACAAAACAAAAAAGGCTATACATTGTAAGCCTGGGAGCTCAAATCCTGATTTTGTGGCTTCCAAGGCCTTGGACCTGGCGAATCACGAGCCACAGGTGCAGAACCTGTGCTCTCTTCTCCTACCTCTGTCCCAGGGTAACCCCTAGACTCACTATAATGTATTTGTATTGTGGGCACAGCTTCCCCTCCTACAGCCCCTTGAGAAGGGCTGCCAAGACGGTTCTGGTACAAACCTCACAGGGTCAAAAATTCCCCCTCCCAACCTGCGGGAGGATTTTCCCAAATGATTGGAAGCAGCCTCCATTAGAGACCGCCCCACTTACGTCACAGCACCTCCAAGCCCAGAGAAACCCAATAATATCCAATTTCAAAACAACCTAGGGGAACCTGCCCGCTCTCCCACTTTCACTTTAATAAACTGCTTTGTGCTTGCTACTTTCCTTGTGGGGGCCTTTATTCAACCACTGATCCCCATGCAAATCTCCTGGGGAATCCCAGGATGGAGACCTCCACTCAAACAATGCAGACACTCTCTCATTCCTAACAGTTTTACAGTGATTACAAAATATATAAATTATAAACCTATTTTAGGTTTAAAATCTATATCCTGATAAATTGGTTGAGGAATATTTAGAGCATCTAATACAGAGAATGAATCTACTGTCACTATAATTAATTAACAAAATAATGTTTCATTCAAGAAATATTTACTGAACCTCTATTATACACTAGAAACTGTAATAGGTGTGTAAACAAAAGTTTTTATATTTATATATTACTTTACAATTTTCAAATTACTCTCACACACAGTATCATTTGGCCTCCATAAAGGAGCCAGGGTAAGAACTGTCATTTCCATTTATAGATGATGAAAAGGATGCTTTAATTAAAGAGGTTAAAAATCAGATTCTAGAACAAGAATCTTGAGTTGGCTTTTGGGTCATACTGACTAGATTCAAAACATGGCTTTTCCATCTCCTCCTAAGGTATGTTACTGAGCATTCCTGTGGCCTACTTCCTATATGAAAAATGGGAAGAATAACCTATGTCATAGTCCTGAGGATAAAAATGAGATCATATACATAAAGTTTTTAGAACAGTGCACGACACAGCAAATGCTTGCATTTCTCCTCATTATATCATTATTACCATTTGCCTATTTTTATAATATGTTCCTAACACTTACCGTAACTTGATATTTTCAAATTCTTTGATTTTTAATTCAGTGATTTCTTTTTGTCTCTCTAAATCTTGAGATACTTTTTTTAGTTTGATCAAAAGTGAGGAGAGAGAATCATCTTGTTCTGCTACTGTCTGTTCCATCTCAGCCAGACGAATAAAATGTTTGTTGGTTGGAACTGGAGTAGGGGATTGTTTTATTAAATCCTAAGAAAAATGAACAATGTAGCCATGAGCATGTACAACTCAATACCATACTTATTCCATAATTTTAATTTGCTTCCTCAGATGATCAAAATATAATATCTAACCTAAAATGTAATGATATTTAAGAGCCAATATGAAGACTTAAAGAAGACAGGAAACAGAGATCTTATTCTTTGTATTCCCAGCATGGAGCAAAGCACCTCCCTGAAGTGAAGGATCAATAAATGTTGATTGGGTTCATGAGTTAAGACTCAGGAATGCCAAGATTTGCATGTTAGGAGGTGAAAGATGGGCCTTTTCACACATACAGAAGACAGAGACCAAAGGAAGCAAGGATGAACTGAATTCAGAACATGAAAAGCAGTTAGATATTGGTAAACTTACAATGAACACAACTTGAAAAGAAAGCCTGACGTCACCTTATGCAAGGTTCTGAGTACATAGCTAAGGAATATAAACATGATTTTGTAGGCAGCAGTGAGCTACTAAAGATGGGGATGTAGGGAGAAAAATGATCAGACCTGTGTTTTTAGAAGATTATTCCAACAAGAAAGGCAGAATGGCTTCTATTCCAAAAACAAAAACAGAAACATGAAAGCGAAATTTTCGATTATATGGTCTCAAAAATCAATAAAGAGTGGAACAAAGAATCTTACCCAAGCTGTTTGTTTGAATTTACTGAGTGAACTCTCAGACTGTAGTTCTAATTTATGATGAAGAATATGAAGGTCTTCCTCATGTTTCTTAACAATTTCTCTTTGCTCCTGTTTATATCAAATCAAAACTGCATTTTAAATTATGACTTAAATAAATACACATTCTAAAGATCTTACATATTTTATTACCTTTACTCTTCCAAAATCCTCATGAGATCAGGAACAATATCTGCACACAAACACACATACACACACACCAGTATGCATTCCCCTAGTACATGTTCAAGTTGATAAATCTAGCCTTAAATCACAATTTATTCTTAATATTAGAATAATATGTATCCATCACCTTTTAACTTGTTTCTAGGAAGTTTTTTAAATATTAGATTTTCCCATCAACGTTCTAGCAAACTGGATTGCCACTGATTACTGGTGTGATGGATTTCATTCTAACTTACTGCCTCAATCTTTACCTATAAACTCAACTGATTTTTTTCAAAATCAGAATGGTTGCACCAAGACAGCTATTCCTGGTTTAGTTAGTCCATGACAGTAAGACAGATATATACAAACTGCCAGTTTTACTGACAGATCTGTAACCCAATCGTGTGAAAGGAAAAATTCTGAATAGAATCCTCCGAAAGCAAGAAATGAAACTACCACTTCAGAGCAGAATAGTATTTGGCATTTGACTAAAAAACATGGTAATAAATAAAATAGCACAACATAATATAATAACATACCTCTCTGGCTTTTTCCAGGAGATGTTGATACTTCTTTAACACTTCTTCCTTTTGATTCAACCTTGCTTGCATATTTGCAATGGTCTGCTGAGCAATTTTCAGTGTGTGATGTGACTTTGGCTCTATCTCTCTTCTGCCTAGTTCAGCTATCAGCTTTTCACGTTCTGCAGTGGCAGGCAATCGAAGTCTCAGCTCATTGATTACTTGGTCTCTTGACAAAATATTTTGCTCTGCTAACCGTAGAGCAGATTCTTTTTCTTTTAGTTTCTGCAATGGTCAAATCATAATAAAATTATTAAGGTATATTTTTTCTTTTAAAAATGCTTCCATCTGAATTTTGGTCAGAGTAATTATAACCAAAAAAAGGAGTTTCACTTTATTTTCCACATCGTACTAATACTGATGATACTATATTGATATTAATAAGATTATATTTCTTATATTTCCATGGGACAGCAGTTATTTGCACCTACATTTATTTAGGAGATTATCACATGTGTTATAAACTTCACCGTTATGATGAAAATAAAATTTAATTAAGGTAGTTTATTTGGCTCTTAGAGCTTTAGAACTAGAAATGCGTGATGGTACTAGATTTAGAAAGGAAATGTAATAAATCATTCCTTTTATTTTGGCCCTAGAAGATTAGTCCATAAAAGTCAGCTGAATATGAAAATTGGAACTTCAGTGGGCTAAGTCAATAAATCACCATTATAAAATATGTAGCTTATTAAAATAAAACAGGAAAAATTATTACTCTTCAATAGGATTAAGACAGATATTTTAAATTAAGTAACTCAGTGGCAGTTCACGTAAATGTCAAATTTTACAATTATTGAAAGAAATCTTAGGTTTCTTCAACAGACTAAAAATGGACAATTTCACTTGCAAAATTTGTTGAAATGCATTTATAATTACTTTGTTTAGATGTAAACCATCTTCAGATGAAAATCATAGATGAAAGTCTTAGATGAAAATCATCTTCAGTTTATATTATTTTCTGTAAGTATAATGTAAGTGTAATGCTTACTACTACTGATCAGTGTGCCCAAAAGTGACAAGCAGTGATTAAATAGGCAGTAAATTCAAATTAGCCATAGCTGCTGTTCTTTACTGGCTATTAAAAATATTATAGTAGAGTATAGAAGGAGATTGGAATTAGCAACAGATTCATAATTCTATGCTTTACCTCTGTTGGCAAGTATTGAGAAAATTCCACAAGCATATCCAATAATATACAAATAAAAATTCAAATTCTTCTAATTACCTCTTCTAGTGATTTACAAGTTGCCCGTGTTTCTAGGATTATTCGAACATTCTCCTTAATTTTTCTTAAAGCAATCTCAAGTTGATTTGGAAGGGGCAAACTAGGGTCTGGCATTGATCCTGTAGCTTCTTCAAACTATTAAGAAATAGCATTTTTTGAAAAAAAAAAAAAAAAAAAAGGCAGTTACATCATTAAGAACAATACTGTTACAACTGTGTGACAAGGACATGGTTAAACCCCACTTATATTTGAAATATAAGAAGATAATATCAATTAAAATTCTATCTAACTTTAGAAAACATTTCATTGGTTAACACTGTAGGTCAGAGTAGCAAACAGAATTAATCATTCATACCTTTTGTGCTGCTTTTAGTATTTCATTTTGTTGATGGTCAAAAATGTCCACTTGACGTTCCAGCTCAACTTCTCTTTGGTCCCAGGCCATCTGCCTTTCTTCATGAAACTGTACCAGACACATACAGAGACACTCACCAAGCATATAACAGAAGTGTTTATATACATTTTATTTAATCCTTACAACAACACTTTGGGGTCACTATGTTCTCATTTTATAGAAAAAGAAAACACAGAGAGATTTAAGTAAGTAAGTTGCCTAAGGTCACAGAGATAGAAGATGAGAAGTCAGGATTTCAATCTCTCCAAGCACCCATCCATCCATAACATTTAATGACATGTACTATGTGCTAAGCACTTCGAGGTTATGTGAACATAATAATGAACAAAATCAAGTCCCTTTCTCCATTTCAGCATGAAACTTATATACTAGTGAGGGAAAGACAGTCAATAAATAAATGTGTTAGAGGATGGTAAGTGCTGGAGAAAAAGGAATCCCTACTTAGGGATTCTTGATGGTAATAGGATTTACAATTGTATACTGGGTGGCTAGTGAAGGCCTCACTGATAAGGTAAGACATTTGAGCAAAGACTTGGAAGCAATGAAAGCATAAACAATACAAGTATCTGAGCTAAGAACACTCCAGGCGGAAGGAACAACATAATTTCTAAGGCAAGCAAGCATGAGCTTGGTGAATTTGTCTGTCTCTAAAGTATATGTGCTTTATTCTACACCAAGCTGCCTTCTACACTCCATCAGTGAGAGCCAGTTGAAACTCCTGTGAAAAGTCAAATAACTAATATTAAAACAATAATTAACTTACCAACTAAATTTATGTATTGTTCCTTTTAAGTTTAAAACTACCATTATGGGGCGCCTGGGTGGCTCAGTTGGTTAAGTGTCTGCCTTTAGCTCAGGTCATGATCCCAAGGTCCTGGCATAGAGCCCCGAGTCAGGCTCCCTGCTTGGCAGGGAGCTGGTGCCTCCTTCACCCTCCCCACCCCAAACCCTATGCTCACACTCTCTCTTGCTTTCTCTCAAATAAATAAATAAATAAATAAATAAATGAATAAAACCTTGAAAAAATAAAAATAAAAAAAATAAAACTACCATTACAACGTAAGTAAATACCAGTTTTTTGAATGCCTTAGAAAATAAACAGTATTTTATAAGAATAAAAAAATGGGAGCTACATTCAATTAAAAAAATAATGCAATTGCTCAAGCAATATTCTTAGGTTTAATATCTTAGCAATGGAAGAGCAAAATATATATAAAATGAAACCTTGTTTTGCTGCACAATTTCCTCCTCCAGACTGCAGATGGTATTCTCATATTCAGAAATTATATTATTCAAATATTTTATTTCTTCTTTATCCTTGACTAATTCTCGATTTAGTTTAAGCTCTTGAAGACGAAGTTCTTCTATTTTCATGTGCCAATTGATTACCTAAACATTTACAAATAATAGGTACACTACCTATTTAAATATTTCTCCATTGATCCTAATAATTTTAACTGAAATTAATATATATTCTATAATAAGATAAAAATTATCCTTTGTTGAGGCACAGGTAAAATTCATTTAGAATTTTCATACTCTTCTAAAAAATATGTGTGATCTTAATATAACATTCTTCAAATGCTTCTATATGTTTACAAATAACTAAAATTACTATTTAATTAATACATATAAACTTTTCTAGAGTGTTTAAAGTTCTTCAATAGTAAACAATCTAAGCCTTTCTACCAAAACTATTATTTGGAAGAGTCTATTTTATTCTTACAAATAGACATTTAAAAAGCCAAAACTTTTAACTTACAAAATCGACATTAATAACATAACTGGAATTTTTGCCATTTAGTAAGCATTTTTCAGATAGCTACACATTAAGAACTTAAAATTACTACGTAACTCCTTTGGAAACACTGAATTGAAAGTCCATGTTTTACCTTTTGGGCTCCCCTGGCATCCTTTAGAGTGCTTATTAACTCTTCCAGGCCCTTTAACTTTAACTCCATTTCCATTGTTTTGTTCTCCATATTTCTCTGCTCTTGTTGAGATTTTTTCATCTCTTGCATTATCTTCAGTTTGTCATTTTGTAATTGAATCATTGTTTTAGAGAATTTTTCCTGTTGTGCCAAGGGTAAAGCTCCACTAAACTGTCGTCGTAGAGACTGAATTGTTTGGCGCAGATGTTTTGCCCGGTTTCTCCCTTCCAAACGGGCGTAATAGAGAGCCTGTTCTTTTTCATCAAGTTTCTGCTCTAAGCGCAAATTACAGGCCTCTGTCTTCTGCAGTTTAGATGTAACTGACTCCAACCTACCAAGAGCAGTGGCCTCACTAATTTGAAGGGAGACGATGTGTTGATGCAACTTGGCAATCAGTGCCTTTTCATCAGATTGCGCCTAACATAAAAAAGTATATATTTACAGAGTCAGTTTCAAGTTCTTCTAATGACACTTATCATGGATTTAAAAACACAGCTTACTAAATAAAATTTTAAGAAGTGTGGTACATGAGATCCTATAAAAATCTAGCCTAGCTTTAATTAAATTTTAATTATCAAAGCTTGTTAAAAAAACCACAGAACATATTTTAAATCCAAATATGGCTTCTAACTTTAAATAACAGTTGGCATTTTACTGATTTTTTCAACTCCCATATGTAAATAACAATATTGGTATAACACTAATGTGGAAAATTTTTTTTATCCTAAAAAATTTATAATGGGAGAATATGTGTGTGAAAAGCTACATATTAATACAAGAGAAAATATTGTTATCAAAGACTTACCTATTTCTCCTCAGGTCTCAACTTTGATTAGCAACCAGCACAATGTATTTGTAGGTATTTAAATGCTTTTCTGTATCATGAATGATATTTTAAATTAAAGAGTTTTTCTAATCAGGTTACAATGAACAAGCATAGGAGCTTCTGTCTGATATATTCTCTGATTAAAACTGTAAAATCAGCCAATATCTAATGCGAATTCAGTAAAAAGAAAAAGTCTGTTTAGAAGAGCCAATACTGTACCTACCTGATAGTCTAACAGTTGCATTCTGACAGACTCTATTTCTTTTTCCCTGGACTGCTGCTGTGCATTCAGAATTTCAACTTGTCTTTTGGCAATATCAGAAATCTCTCTCAGTCTAGGACGTGAAAAGATACTTTAGGAACAATTAGATACATTTTCTAAGTAAATATCAGTATTTTATATTTCCAGACTCTTGGAAAAGCCACTAATTTCCAGCATCTTAATATCAAAACTAAAGCAAAATTTCCTCAGCTATTTCATGAAATACAATTCCAGGAGAGGTTAACACATGCTCTGTTAAAATATAACTCCATTCCCAACATCCCTCTCCCCTGAAAATTCATAATACATAGTATTGTATAAAATGTTCTGAGAAATTTTAAAGTAAATTATCTCAAAGTATACATATACATACATATACAGCACTTATTATCCTAGTTTGGCAGAGTTAGAGTAAGGTATTGAGTAGGTTTATTTGACATAATTGTATAGTTAAGAATACAGAATTTAAAATTCCTGGGTTCCCTAGATAGATTAATATATGTTTTAATTTACAAGCTATCAGAAATGTGAAAAAGAGGGGTGTGCTTGGGTGGCTCAGTCGGTTACATGTCTGCCTTTGGTTCAGGTCTTGGGGTCTTGCCCCCCCACCCCCCACCCCCGGTTAGCAGGGACTGTCTGCTTCTCTCTCTGTCCCTCCCTACTGTTTGTGCTCTTTCTCTTTCAAATAAAATCTTAAAAAAAAAAGAAATGTGAAAAAGAGAGATTATATGGTTACTACAATTTAAAAAATGGGGGAAATGTGATAGTAAATAATGAATTTCCTATAAGACTACTATTATAAGAGCACAGAGGTAAAGTAAAATGCATTTTACTCTGGGCAAGAATAATTTTAGTTCACTGTGAAAGATAAGTCAGGTTTCCTCACATTGATTAGAAAGTCACACTGCCAGTTACATAAGTTTTAAAAATTAAAATATAATAAAATGAATAATTATAAAGTTAGTTTATTTCAAAAGGAGAGGTTGATGAGGTAAGAGGAAGAATACAAAATGGAATTTTCCATAGTGAAAGGGGCTGAGAATAACAGATATTCCCAAAGGGCTATTAAGGCTCCAAAAAATAACTTTATCATGGCCAAGCCATAAAACCCTTTTTATAAATAATTATTTGTACTTGACATATCAACTTATGACTCCTATTACCTTTCTACTGAATTGACAAAAATTACCCAGGAGAACGAGTACACAGCATCTACTTGGCACACAGTATTTATTCCTTACATATATTTTGTGTTCCAAGTGAATAAACGATTTCCACATGTAAAATAAAAATCACAATATTACTTTAGGATTATTAAGCATAATTACATGAGTTAATATATGTTTAATACCTAGCACAATACATACTATTCAATAAATGCAAACTGAAGCAAAATCTGAATTTTTCATACCTTTATAGCAATCTTATAGAAAAGTAGACTAAAATCTATTCTATTTCTTATAACTAAAAAATATTTTATTGCAGGGGTGCCTGGGAAGCTCATTGGTTAAATCTTTGACTCTTAATTTCAGCTCAGATCATGATCTGATCTGATCAGATCATGATCTGATCATGGTCATAAGATTGAGTCCCACATTGGGCTCCACGCTCAATGAGGGGTCCCCTTGAGATCTCTGTTCTTCTCTATCTGCCCCCACCCCCCGCTCATACTCTCTCTAAAGAAATATTTTATTTATATTTTATTAAATAAAATAAATATTAAATAAAATTAAATAAAATATTAGATAATTTAAAATTAAAAATTAAATAAAATTAAATAATATATTTTACTGCTAAAAAATGCCAACCATCATCTGAGCTCTCAACGAGCCATAATCTTTTTGTTGGTGGAGGGTTTTCCCTTAGTGTTGATGGCTGCTAATTGATCTGGTAGTGGTTGTTTAATGTGGCAATTTCTTAATATATTAATTTTGCTTTTATTTTGTTTATATTTATGTTATTGTATTTTATTCCACTATAGCTAACATACAGTGTTATCCTAGTTTCAGGTGTACAAACAGTGATTCAACACTTCATACAACACCCAATGTTCATCACAAGCTCTCTTTAATCCTCATCACTTATTTAACCGACCCCACCCCCCCAACTCCCCTCTGGCAACCATCAGTTGCTCTCTATAGTTAAGAGTCTGTTTCTGGGTTTGTCTTTCTCTTTTTTTCTTCTTTTGCTCATTTGTTTTGTATCTTAAGTCCCACAAATGACTGAAATCATATGGTATTCGTCTTCCCGTGACTGACTTATCTTGCTAAGCATTATACTCTCTAGCTCTGTCCTTGTTGTTGCAAACGGCAAGATGGCAATTTTTTATGGCTGAATAATATTTCAATGATTGGAATACTGGAATACTACTTCACATACCACTTCTTTCTCCATTCATTTATCAATGAATAAAAAATGGGCTGCTTCCATAATTCGGCTATTGTAAATAATGTTGTTATAAACATGGAGGTGCATGTATTCCTCTGAATTAGTGTTTTTGTATTTCTGGAGTAAATACCTAGTAGTGCTATCACTGAATCATAGGGTAGTTCTACTTCTAACTTTTTGAAGAACCTCCATACTGCTTTCCACCATTTGCATTCCCACCAACAGTGCAAGAGGGTTCCTTTTTTTCCACATCCTCACCAATACTTGTTTTTTGTGGTTTGATTTGCATTTCACTGTAGCTTTGATTTGCATTTCCTGGATGATAAGTGATGCTGAGCATCTTTTCATGTGTCTACGGGCCATCTGGATGGCTTCTGTAGAGAAATGCCTGTTAATTTCTTCTGCCCATTTTTAATTAGATTATTTGTATTTTGGTGTTAAGTTGTATAATTTCTTTATATATTTTGGATAACCCTTTATCAGATATAAGAAACTTAAGTTTAAATAAATTAAATGACCATCACACTTTCCTCCAAAAAAATATCACTATGTGGAAGAACTGGGCAGCATAGGGTCTGAATTCCAAGTTCAGTTCTTCCTGCACTACTATTCCTGGACTATGAGAAATATGAATCTTGGGACATTATTTCCTCTTTAGTATTATCATTTATGCCTGTTAAAAATTAATCTTTTTAATCTTATGTAATCTTGTTCTTAAAAAAAAAAGAAAAATAATGACAATCAGTATCAATTCCAAGAAGAGTATTATCCCAAACTACTGTAACTGGGTTTCTTAAAGACAAATTAGAGTAGACACATCTAATAACTGAAAAGTTTACATGAACTTACTTTGACACTTCAACTTTTAGTTCCATTTCACTCTTCTCTAATTCTAGAATCCGTTGCCTATCAGCATCACTTACTGTCTTGCTCACACTATCAGCTAATTCATCTCTTAACATCTGTTCCACCTTCTGTGCTTCCAAATTGATTTTGGTAAGCTAAGAAAAAGTAACAAAAAATGTTCAGGTTTATTAGTTTTGGGTGAGGTTTTCCCTTTCAATTTAGCTTTTACCATCCATACTGCTATTCTCTTTACTTGGCATTAGTCAAGTCATACTGAATTAGGTGTGATGAAATACTAAGAATAGATTAAAGAGGGTAAAGAGAAAGAGTGAGGAACAGATTATAGCAACTCTGGTTATATACCAACCCACCAAAACTCATTTATATTAGACAACTCAAAGTCTTATATTTGAATCCCTGATTTTCTTAAATTTCTTTGAAATGTGGTATACACATTATACTTTACTTCACTTATATTATCTATAAATATGAGTTAGTAAAATCTTCTTAATATATATTTAGTGACTCAGTTAAAATAAACAAATGGCAGGTTTAAAATACATACTATTTCTCAAAGTAAACATTACACGAGTTCTTTTTCATCATTAATTGTTGAATATTTGCAAACTGTATTTATTGCCATCCAATTTAATATTTCTGACCATATCAAAAAAGTCTAAAACTTACTATTAAAATGTAAAGTCCTGAGAGTAGAGATTACTGTCTATTCTGTTTCCTGTCCTAACACTAGCCCCCATACAGTATCTAGCATGTGATAGGCACTCAATAGATACTTGTTAAATGAACTGATGATAGTGGAAGGCAACATTGTTATTAAGCAAATAATACCTTTTTGCATTAACTCTAATGTAATGACTGCTGAGAAAAAAGAACTCATTCACAGAAATACATGCTTTCTTATTAAACATTTCAGATTTAAAAATACATCTTTTATTTACATATTACATGGAACACAAGCACTATATTGTTACTTCAGAAGTACAAACTAGTCTCCCACAAAATACAATGTCTAACAGACATGGACATATGTCTAACATGACTAATTCTTACTCTTATTACGTGATAAAAATTGTATCAAACCTCAGCAAATTTGGTTTCCAATTCAAAATTACGTTCTTCCATTTGCTTTAATGAAGTCCTGACATGTTCATACATTTTTTGAGAGTGTTCAGCCCGCTGCCTTTCATTTAATTCCTTCATCTCCAGCATAGTGATTTTTTTGGAAATAGAAAGAATTTCACTGTTGGTTATTGATTTCTTTGCCTTATCCATGTTCGATTCATTTCCTATATACAACAATACTAAGTCAATCTCAAGCTATTATCAAAATCATATCCCAAATATTTTAGCCATTATAGACAAGGATGCAGTAATAACATGGTTCAGTGGAAAACACAAGAGCCTTATGAATTATGACAGACCTAGATTCCAGCCTTAGCTCTATTCATGTTTGGATACTGTCTATCCCATTTCATCTCTCTGGAACTTATATTCTTCATCAGTCAAGTGATCGTAAAAATTATTCCTCATAGAAATTTAGGAATTTCTATAGGAAATCCAACACTTATTAAAGAGGGATAAGGTAAAAGGTACAGAGAACTTACCACAATTGTATGTAATACCTTTTTTTATATCTTAGGATATAAGATAACTTCTTTCATGTGGAAGCTACATGAAAGTCAATTCACTTTCAATCTCTTAATGAATTAAAAAGACTGCATTTCTAAAAGTAGCTTATTTTAGATAATGTTAGGCCCAATGTTAGCCTTCACTAAAGTACATGTCCCAATTGCTAATTAAGAAAAAAAAATAGCTCTGTTTCATAACAGAAACCTTGAACAGCATTAGAGCTCTAAGTGCATTAGAAAACATATGAAAACACTTTATCCAAAGGAGCAAATTTATGTGAAACTTATAAAGCACAATGCTAGTAAGATAAAAAATTATTTAAGTGCCATGAACTAGGATAACCATTTGAAAAACTGATACGGAAAACCCTAGCAGAAGCCACAAAGATTTTAAGATCTTGTGAGACAGTAATATCTATGTTAGATATACGTGAATATGTTCACTACAGTACCATAAGCAACAGAAAAATAAGAAGACCTAGTGATTTAATCACTGAAAGAGTAAGATACTGTGTGAATATACTATACAATGTTAAATACAGTTAAAGTATATATTTTTTTTCCATTAGAGTCAAACTTATACTTTATTTAAGTTTTTATTTAAATTCCAGTTAGTTAACACACAGTGTAATATTAGTTTCAGGGGTATAATATAGTGATTCAACACTTCCACACAATACCCAGTGCTCACATAAACATGTATAAAGTGATCTAAAAAATAATAATAGTCAAACTAGGGCTATATAAATTCTCTGCAAATTTTTTTGATGTTTTATGGTGACCTTTTAACTTAAATCTATCAAATGATGCATTCCCAATAGTACTTTAACATACAGTGGAAAATTCCACACACTACCACCAAGATACAGGTATTTAAAAATTATCACCAATCTTGATTTGTTAAATTGTTCAAAATAGCTAATGCTTAGACATAATTTTTTAACATATATGATTTCACTTGGAACAAATCTAATTAAATAACTAAAAACCAAATTTTGGTAGAGATTAGCACAGGATATTACTCATCAACTGCGTGCTAAATTAAACTGTTAAAGCATAGTTCATTTTTATCAAAATACTTCCTTTTCACCTGATATAGAAAAGGAACTATAAAAAAAATATTCATTATTAGGTCTTCATTACTTTATATTATCAGAGTCCTCATACTTACCTACTTTAGTTTCTTGCTCCCAGGCTTGTTCGATAGTGTAAAGCTTTTCCTTGGTAATCTCCAGTTCTTTATTTATAGACTCCATTTGTTCTTTTAGGGATGCATTTTCACACTGAATAAAACAAACATCACTGAGAAACTACATTGTAATTCAGACTAATACCATAGCAGTGATATTGCTTTATATAATATCTCCTTAAACTCACAATCTAAAATTTTTTAACAAAATTAGGAGCTCCCCTACATGTAATATATACATACGAACACACACACACACACACACACACATACATATAGAAAATAATATTTTAAAATAATCATCAAAATCTCTTGTGTATCCGATCTGTGGCTTCTGAGCATTAGTTTCTGCTGTGTGCATTTTGCCCAGCTGGAATACTTAGAATTTCACAACCTTCACAATGAAGGTTGCTCACGTCCCTTTCTCACCCAAATAGTTACTGAGCATCCCTAGCATGCTAGCAGTGAGGTGCTGCATGTCTACGGTAAAAAGAAACATAAAATTTTGGCCTTCACAGGCCTCACCATTTGGAGTCTGTGGGTACGTTTGTGTGGCAGGAGCTGGGGAGGGTGTGGAAGGCAGCAGTGAACAGGTAAGCAAACAAAACAATCATTAAAAATGTAAAGATCTGAGAAACAAACTGAGGGTTTCAGAGGGGAGGGGTTGGGGGGTGGTTGAGTCTGGTGGTGGGTATTACGGAGGGCACACATTGCATGGAGCACTGGGTGTGCTGCATAAACAATGAATTTTGGAATACTAACAAAAAAAAAAAAATTAAATTTAAAAAAATGCAAAGATCTAGGGGCGCCTGGGTGGCTCAGTTGGTTGGGCAGCTGCCTTGGGCTCAGGTCATGATCCCAGGGTCCTGGGATAGAGCCCCTCATTGGGCTCCCTGCTCGGTGGAAAGCCTGCCTCTCACACTCCCCCTGCTTGTGTTCCCTCTCTCGCTGTGTCTCTTTCTCTGTCAAATGAATAAATAAAATCTTTGAAAAAAGAAAAAAGTAAAGATCTAGAAAGATACAGAGTATGAACCCAGAGAAAAACAAAAGAAATCAAATCAAGATAAAGCAGTTGAAGAAGGTATTAACTCCTGAAGAGGTGGTATTTAAGCAGAAAGCTAAGGTATTAGAAGGAGCCAGTCTCGAAAAGAAACCAGCCAGGGAAAGAGCTGATGCACAAACAAATCCAGATGCTCTGATGCAGGACTGAGTCTGGGGCGTCAGCAAAAGTGAAGAGTGCTATGATGTAAAAGGGGAGAGATAACAGGGCCAGGCATGGTATGTCAAGTTAAGGAACTGGAATTTAACTTAATATATAATAGGAAACAAGTTAAAGATTTTAAGGAGGAAGTTTTAAATAATCATTCTGAAGGCAATGTAAAGAATATATAAAGAGTGCAAAGGGAAATCAGAAATTAGGAAGATACCGCAAAGTTCTGATGAATAGGGTCCCAGCAGTGAAGATGGGAGAAAAAAGGACAGATATGAATGAATTTTATTTGGGATATTAAAATGACAGGGGAGAGAAATGACTAGAAAGCAACTCTAAGGTATCTTCCCTGAGTAGGTAATAGTAGCACCTATTGAAACAGAAAAGACTGGGAGAAAGACAGACATCAGGAGATTATTTGGGATATGTTAAATTTAAGATCCCCTTGAAACAGGAGTTGTAAAGTAGGTAATTCCATTGCAGCACTGAGAAGTCAGGCTGGACACATAAATGTAGGAGTTGGCATACAAATTTAATATGCTCATTTTTTGTTATAACAAACAAAATGCTTACTGTATGTCAGGTATTCTATGCCCTGGACTTTAATGATAAACAAATGCTATCCTAGAACTTGTGTTTTGGTGGGGGAGGGGGTGCGTAGTTGGTAAGGAGCCAATATATAATATAATGTCAGGTAATATGTGCTAAGAAGAATGTAAAACAGGATAATGAGGTTTTCTTTAAAAGAGATGTTATAATAAGAAGAAAGGCAAGATAAGGGAATAAAACATGACTTTCTGGTAACAGGCATAATTACAACCTGGTCTAGGTCCTATAAATACACAGGAAAACAACAAAATAGGGATTAGTGTTTTGTAACATCTTTCTACCCTTTTTCCTCTTACTTCCTTTTTTTTTTTTTTTTTTTTGCTTTTTAAAAAAATTTTATTTTTTCAGTGTTCCAAGATTCATTGTTTATGCATCACACCCAGTGCTCCAGGCAATACGTGCCCTCCTTAATACCGACCACCAGGCTCACCTATCCACCTACATCCTTCCCCTCTAAAACCCTCAGTTTGTAAGAGCCCACAGTCTCTCATGCTTCGTCTTCCCCTCCGATTTCCCCGAATTCACTTTTCCTTTCCTTCTCCTAATGTCCTCCATGATATTATTCCTTATGCTCCACAAGTAAGTGAAATCACACGATAAATGACTCTCTCTGCTTGACTTATTTCACTCAGCATAATCTCTTACAGTCCCGTCCATATCGATACAAAAGTTGGGTATTCATCTTTTCTGATGGAGGCATAATATCCATTGTACATATGGACCATATCTTCTTTATCCATTCGTCTGTTGAAGGGCATTCTGGCTATTCGCAAAGTTTGGTGATTGTGGCCATTGCTCCTATGAATATTGGGGTACAGATGCCCCTTCTTTTCACTACATCTGTATCTTTGGAATAAATACCCAGTAGTGCAATTACAGGGTCAGAGGGTAGCTCTATTTTTAATTTCTTAAGAAATCTCCACACAGTTTTCCAAAGTTGGCTCCACCAACTTGCATTCCCACCAACAGTGTAAGAGGGTTCCCTTTTCTCCACATCCTCTCCAACACTTGCTGTTTACTGTTTTGTTGATTTTGGCCATTCTAAATGGTGGAAGGTGGTATCTCAATTGGTTTTGATTTGAATCTCCCTGATGGCTAATGATGATGAACATTTTTTCATGTGTCTGATAGCCATTTGTATGTCTTCTTTAGAGAAGTGTCTGTTCATGTCTTCTGCCCATTTTTTGACATGATTATCTGTTTTTTTGAGTGTTGAGTTTGAGGAGTTCTTGATAGACCTTGGGTATCAGCCCTTTGTCTGTAGTGTCATTTGCGAATATCTTCTCCCATTCCAAGGGTTGCCTCTTTGTTTTGTTGACTGTTTCCATTGCTGTGCAGAAGCTTTTCATCTTGATGAAGTCCCAAAAGTTCATTTTTGCTTCTGTTTCCTTTGCCTTTGGAGGCACACGCCTTGAAAGAAGTTGCTGTGGCCGATGTCAAAGAGGTTACTGCCTATGTTCTCCTCTAGGATTTTGATAGATTCCTGCCTTACATTGGCCTTTTACCCATTTCCAATTTATCTTTGTGTATGGTGTAAGAGAATGGTCAAGTTTCATTCTTCTATATATAGCTGTCCAATTTTCCCAGCACCATTTATTAAAGAGACTGTCTTTTTTCCACTGGGTATTTTTTCCTACTTTGTCGAATATATATTTTTTTAAGATTTTATTTATTTATTTGACAGACAGAGATCACAAGCAGGCAGAGAGGCAGGCAGAGAGAGAGAGGAGGATGCAGGCTCCCCATTGAGCAGAGAGCCCGATGCGGGGCTCGATCCCAGGACACTAGGATCATGACCTGAGCTGAAGGCAGAGGCTTTAACCCACTGAGCCACCCAGGCGCCCCTGTCGAAGATAATTTGACTATAGGGTTGCAGTCCATATCTGGACTCTCTGTTCCACTAGTCTCTGTGTCTGTTTTTGTGCCAGTACCATGCTGTCTTGGTGATCACAGCTTGTAGTAAAGCTTGAAATCAAACAATGTGATGTCCCCAGTTTTGTTATTCTTTTTCAACATTTCCTTAGCAATTTGGAGTCTTTTCTGGTTCCATACAAATTATAGGACTGTTTGTTCTAGCACTTTGAAAAACGCCTGTGGAATTTTGATCAGGATGGCACTGAAAGCATAGATTGCTCTAGGCAGTATAGACATTTTAACAATGTTTATTCTTCCAATCCATAAGCATGGAATGCTTTTCAATCTTTCTGTGTCTTCTTCAGTTTTTTCATGAGTGTTATATAGTTCCTCGAGTACAGATCCTTTACCTCTTTGATTAGGTTTATTCCCAGGTATCTTATGGTTCTTTGTGCTATAGTAAATAGAATCGATACTCTAATTTCCCTTTCTACAGTTTCATTGTTAGTGTATGAGAAAGCAAGTGATTTCTGTGTATTGATTTTGTATCCTGCCACATTACTGAATTGCTGTATGAATTCTATTAGTTTGGGGGTGGAGTCTTTTGGGTTTTCCATATAAAGTATCCTGTCATCTGCGAAGAGAGAGAGTTTGACTTCTTCTTTGCCATTTTGAATACCTTTTATTTCTTTTTGTTGTCTGATTGCTGTTGCTAGGACTTCTAGTACTATGTTGAATAACAGTGGGAAGAGTGGGCATCCTTGTCATGTTCCTGATCTCAGTGGGAAGGCTCTCAGCTTTTCTCCATTGAGAATGATATTCGCTATGGGTTTTTCATAGATGGATTTTATGAAGTTGAGGCATGTTCCCTCTATCCCTGTACTTTGAAGAGTTTTAATCAGGAAAGGATGCTGTATTTGTCAAATGCTTTTTCTGCATCTGTTGAGAGGACCATGTGGTTCTTCCCTCTTCTCTTACTGATTTGTTCTATTACATCAATTGATTTGCGAATGTTAAACCACCCTTGCATCCCATGGATAAATCCCACCTGGTCATGGTAGATAATCTTTTTCATGTACTGTTGGATCCTGTTAGCTAGGATCTTGTTGAGGATCTTGGCACCCATATTCATCAGGGATATTGGTCTGAAATTCTCCTTTCTGATGGGGTCTTCACCTGGTTTGGGGATCAGGGTTTAATGGTGGCTTCATAGAAGGAGTCTGGAAGTTTTCCTTCTGTTTCTTTCTTTCTTTTTTTTTTTTTTTAAAACAGCTTCAGGAAAATAAGGATTCTTTCTTTTTCGAATGTTTGATAGAATTCCCCAGGAAATCCATCAGGTCCTGGGCCCTTGTTTTTTTTGGGAAGTTTTTGATCACTGCTTCAATCTTATTACTAGGTACTGGTCTATTCAGGTGGTCAATTTCTTCCTGATTCAGTTTTGGAAGTTTATAGGCTTCCAGGAATGCATCCATTTCATCTAATTTGCTTAACTTATTGGTATATAACTGTTGATAATAATTTCTGGTGATTGTTTCTATTTCCTTGGTGTTAGTTATGATCTCTCCACTTTCATTCATAAGTTTATTAATTTGGGTCCTCTCTGTTTTCTTTTGGATTAGTTTGGCCAATGGTTTATCAATCTTATTGATTCTTTCAAAGAACCAGCTTCTACTTTCATTGATGTGTCCTTCTGTATCTCTAGTTTCTATCTCATTGATCTCTGCTCTAACCTTGATTACTTCCCTTCTTGTGCTGGGGTTGGCTTAATTTGTTGTTGATTTTCCAGTTCTTTAAGGTGTAAAGAGAGCTGGTGTACTTGGGATTTTTCAATTTTTTTTGAATGAGGCTTGTATTGATATGTATATGTATTAGGACCGCCTTTGCCGTATCCCATAGGTTTTGGACCGATGTGTCTTTATTCTCATTGGTTTCCATGAATTGTTTAAGTTCCTTTTGATTTCCTGGTTGATCAAAACATTTTTCAGGAGGATGGTCTTTAGCTTCTAAGTGTTTGAATTCCTTCCAAACTTCTTCTTGTGGTTGAGTTCCAGTTTCAAAGCATTGTGGTCTAAGAATATGCAGGGAATAATCTCAATCTTTTGGTATTGGTTGAGACCTGATTTGTGACCCAGTATGTAGTCTATTCTGGAGAAAGTCCCATGTGCACTCGAGAAGAATGAGTATTCTGTTGTTTTAGGGTGGAATGTTCTGTATGTATCTATGAGGTCCATCTGGTCCAATGTGTTATTTGAAGCTCTTGTTTCTTTATTGATTTTTCTGCTTGGATGATCTGTTACTGAGAGTGGCACGTTAAGATTCCTCACAATTAGTGTATTCATATCAATATAACTCTTTTTTAAAAAAATTTTATTTACTTATTTGACAGACAGAGATTACAAGTAGGCAGAGAGGCAGGCAGAGAGAGAGAGAGGAGGAAGCAGGCTCCCCGCTGAGCAGAGAGCCCAATGCAGGGCTTGATCCCAAGATCCTGGGATCGTGACCTGAGCCGAAGGCAGAGGCTTAACCAACTGAGCCACTCAGGCACCCCATCAATATAACTCTTTATTTTGGTTAACAGTTAGCTCTACATAGTTGGTTGCTCCCATATTGGGGGCATAAATATTTACAATTGTTAGATCTTCTTGGTGAATAGACCCTTTAAGAATGATGTAGTGTCCTTCTGTATCTTTGACTACAGCCTTTGGCTTAAAATCTAGTTTATCTGATATGAGAATCACTACCCCAGCTTTCTTTTGAGACCCGTTGGCATGAAAGATGGATCTCCATCCTTCACTTTCAGTCTGGATGTATCTTTAGGTTCAAAATGTGTCTCTAGACAGCACATGTCACTTTTTGTTTGTCACTAGATAAAACACTTGTTGTTTTATCCAGTCTGCAACGCTGTGCCGTTTTATGAGAGCATTTAGGCCATTCATGTTGAGAGTGATTATTCAAAGATTTTATTGACATCATGTTGCCTGTGAAGTCCTTGGTTCTATAGATTGTCTCTGTGAATTTCTATTCTATGTCACTCTTCAGTTCTTTCTTCTTTTATAGAACCCCCCTCAATATTTCTTGTAGTGCCGGCTCAGTGGTCACATACTCTTTTAAACCTTGCCAGTTCTGGAAGCTCTTTATCTCTCCATCCATATTGAATGTCAGCCTTGCTGGATAAAGTATTCTTGGCTGCATGTTCTTCTCATTTAGTGTCCTGATTATGTCTTGCCAGCCCTTTCTAGCTTGCCAGGTTTCTGTGGACAGGTCTGGCATTATTGTGATGGACCTTCCTCTGTACATAAGGAATCTCTTCCCCCTAGGTGCCCTTAGGATCTCTTGTCTAAAATTATGATTTGTGAATTTCCACAATTAAATGTCTGGAGGTCTTTCTAGATTCATTGATCTTGCAGGGTGTCCTTTCTGCCTCTAGGCATGAACACTTGTTTCATTCCCCAGATTGGGGAAATTTTCATCCAGAATTTGTTCAACTATATCTTCTAGTCTTCTCTCTTTCTCCGCCCCCTTGGGGATCCCAGTAATTCTGATGTCGGAACGTTTCATGGCATCATTTATTTCCTTAATTCTGTTTTCACGACTTATAAGCTATATGTTCCAGACCTCCTCCTGATCCTTCTTTTTTATCAGTCTGTCTTCTATATCACTAATTCTATCTTCTGCCTTGGTTACCCTAGCTGTTAGAGTATTTAGATTAGATTGGATCTCATTGATAGCATTTTTAACTTCTGTCAGATTGGCTCTCATTTCCACCCTTAGAGATTCTATGTTGCCACTAATGGTTTTCTCCAACCTAGCCATTGCCTGGGTAATTATTACCTTGAATTCCCTTTCATAAGTCCCTATGGACATACAGTTTATTTCCATATCCAATAATTCTGTGGCAGAGGGCATGGTCTCTGAATTTCTCCTCTGTTGGGTGTTCCTCCTCCTAGTCATTTTCGTGAGATGTGGTTGAGGGGATATATAGCTGAATATATCAACCACGATCCAGCTGAATATATCAACCACGATCCAGGCAAGGTGTATCCAGAATTCCCATTCTCCTCTCCCTGTGCCCGTGGCCAGAACGTTTCCCCCCACTTCCTTTCTTGGAGAACTTCGGTCTTGTTCCAGATCCTATTCTCACTCCCCTGCCTTGGCAGCAAAGGCACACTTTTACCACCCTCCTCTCCAATCTTCAATCATTCTCTCCCTATTTGTTCTAAATTTTCTTTCCCTCTCCCCTGAAACTTCACTGGTCTCCTTTACTTAAAAGAAAAAAAAAAGTTGATAAAACAAATCTTCCTCTCGATTCTACCTCAGCCCGTATCTACTTCTCTTTTCTTCTGTCATCAAATTTCTAGTTTTTCTATTGCTTTATCAGCCATTCATTTTTTGCATTTCCTTATCACCCACTCTATATTCTGAAATTTGATTTTCATCACCTTTACTCTCAAGAACTTCACTCTTCACAGGCATCAATGATTTCCCAATCAGCACATCTGATGGCCTTTGCACCATGGCTCTACACCATTAATCACTCTCTCAAGGTCAACATTTATTAGGTTTAACTGTGTGCCAAACAGGAGGCACTAAACACACAAAAATGAAATAAGTAGAGTTCCTGACTCAAGAAGCTTATATTCCAGCTGGGGATGCAGACGATCAACACTCACAATATGATGTGATATAAAGAGCAGAACTACGTATAAGAGAACTAATAGAAACAGAGGAACTTTATTCAATAAAGAAAGATGTTTCTGGAAAAAAAAAAAAAGATAATGTGTGAACAAAGTTTTAAGCATGAACAGAAATTCACTGAGCACATAAGCTGAGAGAGGGGGGAGAGCTCCTAGACAAGGAAACAGCAGGTATGAAAGAACATATATAGGGAAAAACACTGTGTTCCAGAAAACTAGTAGTTCAATGTCAAAAACCTAACTTGTAAAAGTACTTAGAGCATCACAGGAGATGACATGAGTTAAGTGGGGCCTAATCATGAAAGAAATTTGATTTTTACTGTTTAAGTGACTAGCAGCTGTTGATAGGTTTGAAGCGGGGCATTGCATGGTCAGGTTCATGTTTAGAATAATCACTACAGTGGTAGTAAGGAGGAGGTAATATGGGAGATAGGGATAGGAGTAATGGCTACACACAATACACATAATAAAGAATAAAATTAAGACATTGCCAATAGGGATAAATATATATTCATAATTATAATCAAGATGCGGGAAGGAGAGGAAGGGATATAATTCAAATACAATTTTTTTTTTTTTAATTTTAAAGGAAGACAAAAACTATTCTTTGCAAAAATAAGTAAACGTTAAAAATTACTTATTGCTGTGTTAACCTACCTAACACATTGCTATACTGGATTTTCAAATGCTTCAGAGGAAGAGGGAAAGGACATGAAAAATGGGGAAAAAGTAAAATAAATTATTACCACACCTAAATATTCAAATTTTCTATAAAAATTAACATAATAATCTCTCATTAGCAAAAATAGTAAAAAGTAAACTGATCGTGATTACTTATAGTTAGTATTAGTAAATAACTCAGATACTTTTGTAGGAGTCATTCAAAGCTGTTAATGACATTTGGGTGTTCTATTGATTGTGTCTCCCTACACAAGTACAATCTAAAAAGCCTCAAAATTAGACCTCACTCCTGTCCTAGGAGAGGATCACAAAAGAGAGTAAGTCAAAAGACATAAGCTCTTATTTTTTATTTATTTTTTTTTAGTATATGTGCTGCCAAAGCAAGCACATAAGCTCTCATTTTTGAAGAAGAAGATGAAAAAATCAGGAGCTGGTTTTGCCTACTGTTAAAGGTATGGAAGTCAAGTGGCTAGAAGAGAACTAAAAAGGACTCTGGGCCAGATTCACATATTATTTGAAAGAAACTTATGATACCTTATCCCATTTTTCTTATCAGTACAATAAGAAAGGATGGGAACTTCCAGAGCTCATCCATGGTCCAGGAAGAGCCATTCTTGGCTACATCATCCCAAGGAACATAATAAGCCAAGGACTATGAGAAAATAATTTGCACTGGGATTAGGGGAAGAGAAAGGGGTGGGTACTTAATGATTCTTCGTCTTTTGGTTATAATTTCCCTATTTGGTTCATGCTTGTCTTTTTCTTTTTTAAGTGACTGGAAAAAAGAGGCTTGATTCAATAAAATTATGCAAGTGGACTAAGGAAGGATTGTCATCCAAGGAAGGATTGAAATCATCTGGAAGTCATTCTGCACATACCGGTACCACCACCCAAGAAAAACAGCTAATAGTACAAGGTTCAAGGACCACATAAACTTACCTCTAAATGTTCCAATTTATTTGTTCTTTGAACCAGCATATTATCTTTTTGCAAGATATCCCTGTACTTTGCAGTCAACTCATTGTATTGTTTATTGGCCAATTCTAGTTCAGACAAAGAAACACTATTATCTATAACTTTTTGGAGAGCTGCGATCTTGAAAATGGCCATCTCCTGTGTAAATAAGGATACACTGAGTTAAGTTAGTGTATTTTTTTCTGGTGAAGCATAAGACAATACATCTAAAAGCAGCACACATTTTAGAATCATTTTTTTTTTAAAAAGATTTCTCATGTATTAAAAATTTAAAATAGTTATTTTGTTTCCTATAAGAAATAATATTATTTAGAGAGTTTAAATAATAAAAATAAAGGGAATTCCTTCATAACTATCGCAATAAAACAAAATTCAATTGATTTCAGAAAAGCACCATACAAAAGAGCAAGAAAATATATCACTCAGAGTATATCCCTGGATGGCTTTTCTAAATTTTGTAAGATTAAAAAAAATTTGCCTTTAGTTAGCTGAGTGGTAAAATTAGCATCACCACATTATGATAGCTATTTCTCCTTATTACAGTTACACAAAGTAGCTTTGTAATAAGAGAAAATCTTTTGTTCACATGAAGCAAACAATACTTGATGAGAAAAAAATTTCTCTCAATCATAGCTATCTCTAATAAATAATATGAAAGACTTTCAGTTACTTGTTTCATGTTCTACTCAGCTATACAACTATAAAAAGTCACAATACCAAGACACTATTAATACTAAGAAGAAGTAATCTGAACTTTTATCTCTCTCTAAAGTAAGTTGATGAAGTAGTGTAAGGAATAACCAAATTTATAAAGTGAGGAAGATAAAGAATTTACTGTTAAAATTTCTTCTGAAGTACAGTAATGAGCGAAAAATATTCATTAATTGCGCTTCACATCTCATTTTGACAGCTTTTCTTTTCCATCTACATAAGTACACATTATTCTACCATACCCTTGGAGTTTGGTTTCACAATTTCTTTGGATGGGGAGGAGTTTCCGATTTCCAATTCCCTAAAAATACCCAATTTTGGCTTTCCAGTTGTCATGCACCAGGCCCCAAATACAGGTTGAACAATCAGGTTAAGGAGAAGAGCATTCTAGTTCTTTTTTCCTTTCTACCCCATGCACTAGCTATATGTGCAATACTCCAAGAAAAACACAAAAATAAAAACAAGAACATTTCTTAAGACTCAAAGTTTCCTTATTACATGTCCAAATAAAAATAGCTTTCATTATTCAGTAAGTTCCTTTCTACATCAGGGGTCAGCTTTAAGATCACATTGACAATGTTTGCTAGCATGACAATTTCACCTATTACTATTTTTAAAAGTGAATAGTAAGGAACTCAATTTCATTTTAATTCTACTTTGAATTCTTTTGTGTTTACATGATCCTATGTAAATTTGGACATGTAAACTCAAAATGTACATGCTTAAAATAGGCTATCTAAGACAAGATTTATTACATCTTTTTTTTAAAAAAGATTTTATTTATTTATTTGATACACAGAGATCACAAGTAGGCAGAGAGGCAGGCAGAGAGAGAGGAGGAAGCAGGCTCCCTGCTGAACAGAGAGCCTGATGTGGGGCTTGATCTCAGGACTCTGAGATCATGACCTGAGCCGAAGGCAGGGGCTTTAACCCACTGAGCCACCCAGGTGCCCTATGCATTACATCTTTTAAGACATAACGCACCTTGTCTTAAAATAGGCTATCTAAGACAAGATGTAACACAGGTGTAAAAGAGTATACAGAGTATGCAATCATTAAAAGGATAATCAGTTATATAGAGCAGGGAGGGCAGAATGGAGTCAAAAGTATAGAGACAGAAGTAAGATTTCTCTGACTATATGTTTGAAACATGCAAATGTTTTATATATTCAAATCAAATTAAAAAAAGAAAACAAAAGTACCCTCCGAGTTTGAAGACAAATGCAAAACAAATGAGCCTAACTTATATAGCAAATTTATAGCATAACCACACAAAGAAAATTATTTCAAGTTACTGTAGAATAGATTACCTTGACTATACATCCTATTGAAAGATATTCTAAAGAAAATAAGAACTATAAAGAAATTCTAAACTAAATTTGGTAACACTGCTGCTGCTGTTGTTAATACCGATGCAAGATTATCTTCAAATTAATGTGTGAATACTATAGGATAGAGCAATTATTTTAATGTTAATAACCGATTTCCACATAAGAAAAAGGAAATATGAGTACTAAATCAAAGTTAATAACAGCTCCATACCATTTCGTAACCCTACTATATTAAATCTGAATTGGAGATAACAATATGAACTTATGGTTTAAATATACACATGTTTTCCCAATTTGTCCACTGAAGGGGACCAGTAGCAATGAAACTTCAAGAACAGTAACATCTAGTGACCAGTTTTTGGTATCTAAATGCCTTTCCCACTAAAAAGAACCAGGGTTCTTTAGCACAATGGTTTATTTCAAATCTGGATAAAAGCACATAAGGTAAATCCTGAACATCTTGTGCCAGAAAACAAACCAACATTTGAAGCTTGGCTCAAAGACTACTGGATTCTCATCAAAAGGAAATGAGAGCTGGCTTTACTAAGAATTCCCACTGGCCACACTTAAGACTAACAAACAACAACTAAGTGTGTGAGTCTGTAATGATACTGAAGGAACAGAAAGCTGGGGAAGTCAGGCAAACAGGTAGAAGCAGAGTACACCAACTCTGATTTCTGAAGACTAGTCATTCAAAAGAAAGAATGAAGCTTTTATCTTGTCTTTCTAGTAGGACTATACTTTAAGATAACTGAATATGCTGGACTAATGAGGAAAAGCTCTTTATTTTACAAAAGACTATTGGATAATACATGTAGAAAACAATATAACTAGAAAGTAATTTTTGCAACTCCTAATGAAATAACTGAGTCAGATAACAACAATCATCAGTGGATCCTAAAGCCTGGCAAACAACTGGTTATTTGCATGGTACCAAAATATCACCAGTTAACTAAGTCACTTATTAATAGAAATATATGGCTATTTGCCCCTTAAGACAATAATCATGCATGAAACATGGGACTACCAGACATTCCATCTCTTGAAGTGATGCAACATAGGGTATTAAAGTACAATGGATTATGGATGGAGTATTCTTTTTATTTTTTTTAATGTTTTAATTTTTTTATTAATATATAATGTATTATTAGCCCCAGGGGTACAGGTCTGTGAATCGCCAGGTTTACACTTCACAGCACTCCCCATAGCACATACCTTCCCCAATGTCCATAACACAACCACCCTCTCCCTACCCCCCCCCCCCCCCCCCGGCAACCCTCAGTTTGTTTTGTGAGATTAAGAGTCTCTTATGGTTTGTCTCCCTCCTGATCTCATCTTGTTTCATTCATTCCTTTCCTACCCCCTAAGCCCCCCACATTGCCTCTCAACTTTGGATGGAGTATTCTTATCAATAATGTTTAATCTGACATATCCAAGGCTTCAAAGCTTTTAGTAAATACAATGAATAGAAGAATAAGCAAAATTACAAAAAAAAAAAAAAAAAGGTAAATTTTCAACATTTTCACAGAGGAAAACAAAACCCAGGAGATTCTATGAATATTAAAGACTTACTGACATATAGCATATAAATATAATGCAGGGTCCTTGACTGGATCCTGGAACAACTGAGGAAATGTGAATATGGCCTGGACATTAGATAATGTAAGGCAATTATTGTCCCTTTTGTTAGATGTGATAAAGTTAGTGTTATATAAACAAAAAAAGGCTTTGTTTTTTAGAAATGCACACTAAAATACTAAGGGAAGAAATGTCTGCAATTTATTCCTACAAGGAACAGATGAAGCAATAATGCAGAATGTTAATAAATGTTAAGTATTAATCCAGGAGATGGCTGTTCATTATATTATCCTCTCTTCCTCATATTTCAAAGTTTTTATAGAGCAAAAAAAAAAAAAAAAAAATCAGATGTACCTTAAATCGTTGCAAACGTCCAATTTTTTCACCAACTTCAGCTTCCATTGCTATCAATTCATTCTTCTGTTTCCCATTTTCTTTCCTAAGCTGTCGCTCCATTTCTACTAAAGTAGTATACTGTCTTATGAGTGACTTTTCATTCACTTGCAGGACTGTGATTTTTCTACTATTTTCTGAAATTGTTTTTTTCATTTCATCTGAATCCATCTGAAGAGCACTGAGCAAATTCTGCACAAAGACACATTTATATTACTTGTTGAATGTAGCTATCTTAGTTGGTACAATATTGTACACTGATTTTAAAAGAGTTTTACTTACATTATATTCTTTTACTTTTATAGCATCTTGTTGGATTTGATCCTCTAGTTTTTTCTTTTCCTCTTTTACTGTTTCAGATTCTATTTTCCAGGCCTCCTTTTCACTTCCAAAAAAATAAAAATGACAATATAATAAAACCTAATAAAATACTTAACTACAGGAAAATAAGAGGCATCACAGCTCCTGGTATCTGGTAAGAGAGTATCTCAAAATTCCATTTGACAAGGATTTAGCCTGGAAGTTCTATTTTTATTAAATAAATGCAGTATAAAGAAATTATTTTATCTATCAAGTTACTTTCATTATTCCATGAGTCACAACTCTACAACTGTTACAGTAGAACAAATGAAGCTGAATCTTACAACATTTTATTAAAAACAGAAAACAAATAGGAAAATAATCAACACTCCAAACTAATTCTGGAAATCAGTTCTCAATATTCTGACCCTACTCTTAAAACTTGAGGGTTAACCAGTTGCAAAATACTTAGAATATAAACAACAGTAGTAATCATTTGATTTAAATGAAGGTGTGTAAGACACTGTTCCTTACCTGAGAGACATTCTACAGTCACCTACAATCTGGCTGGCATAAACAAATTATAATGGCACCACTCTCTTTGCCACTGAATGGTTGAGACTTGAACATATGACTTGGATAGCTCATTAGCCCAATTCTGGCTAATGTGACCTGAGTCAAAGTCTGCTATGTTAGAAGGTTCTGGAGAAAAATTTTTAAACTAAAAATAGAAAGTTGTGTGGAAAAAAAAAATATGTCTCTTCTACAGTGGGCATGGTTTCCTCTTCCTTGAACTCCTGCATCTATTTTATAAACTGTAACAAAAAATAATGACAACCCTTAAACGTGGCCTACCCTATAATTAGCTTTGGGTTTCTTGTTAGATCACATAATAATTACACTTCGTATTTAAATCACCGTTAATCTGGTATTCTAACGACTTGTAAGAAAATTATTTGGTTGATATAGATGAAATAGCAGAGATAAGGAGAAAATATTAGTTACCAATGAAAATATATCAATAATGATGACAGTAATGATGAAGAATGATGCTAGCTGCTGACATTTACAAAATGTTCATGTGCCAGGACATTTGCAAAATATTCATATATTACAAAAGTTTTGCTAACACTTATACCTTAGATATTCTTTATATAATAAGCTTTGCTGATGACGAATTACTGCAAATTTTCTGTTATAGTCTTCAAGAGAATCTTCTAAGATCTTTAATTTATTTTCTTTACATTCTAGTTCCTAAAAATTGGTTGAGAAATAAGAATGCAAAAAGAATCAGAATATATTTTAAATTGGAAAGTATAAATTCATACTTTGACAAGGTTATAGAAAAATATATAAAAGAGAATATAGTTATCCACTTCATTAGCAGCACAGGTAATTTCTATAATATACGGAACATCTTAGTTTAAGGCATATTAAAGGAGGCAATATGTATAAAGAGAAGTACTATAAAACTGGTAAAATTATTTGTATCATATTTGATAATTTCAGTACCCACATAAATGATCAGATCCAGTGGTTATGAACTTCCTCTAGTCACTCAGCCTCACATACTTTTTGTGAACATACCCGTTCATGCCTCCATTCAAACAACTCTTTGCAATTACTTCATTTTATAGACAAAGAAAGGGACTTAGAAAGATTAACTCAACTTTAAAAAGCTCATAAAACTACACTTGGTAACCACTGCTGAGCACATATGGCAATCCTGGTGTCAGGTGCCTTATACACATGCAAATCCAACACTTAAAAAGTTAGTCTTGCATGGCTCCAAAGGCCTTGGCTACATCTATCACTCTTAGGGGATTGGGAGTCCAAGTACATGTTTTGTTTTGGTTTTTTTTTTAGTACATGTTTTGCTATGAACAGGTTTTCAGATCCCCAATTGGTGCTCTCTAATCTGCCAAAATGCCTTTCATTTTTTTTTTATATAAAGATGAAAAAAAGCAATGTTTTTCAAATATACAAGTACAAAAACATTTTTCAAATACAAAAACAAGTAGTATTTAGTAATCATCACTCAGGTATATTCACAAAGGGATCATCTAGGAGATGGAAACAGTAGTGCTAATAATCAAAAACATATTTTCATTCATTCCAAACACATTTTCGTAATTATATTTCAAATGAACATGATGTTACGGGCATTCACACTTCAAATGAAATAATGAAAAGTATCTCTCATTAGGCCATTCATAATGACCACAATATAGGCAGCAAAACCGACAAACCCAGGGCAAGCACTACCCTTTCTAATTTACTCATGAATTAACCAACACAAGTTTAAAGGGAAGAAATACATTAAAGACAATTTGATTTAAAAACTTTCTCTTGTAGTTAAAATAAAAAAGGAACAATTTAATCATTTCACTAAAAATTGTATCAGACTTTATTCACTTGAATTGCTTTTCCAACCAGCACTAAATAAAAGGGCTCCTCTATTTATACATTACCACCTTAGCTACATGTCATTCTACCTGTTAATCATATATTTCATGACACGTATGTGCACAAAATATGTCAGCATGCTTCTTATACAGATGAATGGAACAAACTGCTTTCATTCATAATATTCCATTTAATATCAAAATCCAATAAAAATATATCTCAATGATAATATTCTAAGAACACTCAAATGAATATATGAAGAAACATACTATCAATAGCTTTTGTTATTGAGATGCAAAATTTTTACTACCTGTAAGATATGTATTAAATATTCATTTTGAGAATTAATAATATTGGCACTAGATGGTGCTATCCCATCAGGTAAGTCCACTCCTTTAAAAACAACATTTGATCCTTCTGATTGCCGTAAAAGAATGATCTCTTTTTCAAGATGATCTACCTGGAATCAAACAGTTCATAAATGAGAGTCACATCTCTCAAAACCAAAGCCAAATTTAAGAGCCGGTAACTTTTTCTTCCTACTGAGTATTTTCAAAAAGTAAATGTATGAATGCCCTACCAGACATCAGTTAAACCATACTTTAAATTTTATTTAGAAACACCTATGTATAGACTTAGAATTTTTGTATCTTTTATATTATAAAAGGTACTTATTTCCCACTTATTTAGGAAAAATCCAAAAAGGAGTTTTCTTAATGTTGAATTAATTCAAGAAGCATTTTCTCAGTCTTTTAAAAGAAAATTAAAAGTTTCATATTAAGACTATGTTAGTAATGCTTAGCATTTTCTATTATTTATTCATATTCTCACCTTTAAATTTGCTTTTGCCAACTGCTGAGAATAACTGATCGCCTCCTTCCGAGATTCCCTGAGCTCCTGCCTTAATTCTTCATTTCTTCCAGTAAGTTGGTCAACTTGGGCTTTCAAATGCAGATTAGCATCAAAGATTCCTTCTGCGTTCTTTGATTCTATAGCCTAATAAATTTAGATTATATTGAAAAAGTGTGAAGCAAAATACTAAAATCATAATAAGAAAAAAAACTACCTTTTAAATAAAATTCACATTTAGGCATTTTACTCTTCACTGACAGGCATAATTACAAAATATGCCAAAACCATTTCTTATTTGCGAATCTAAATTCATAAAACTCTGGATTAACTTACATCAGTATTCCAAGCATAGTAATTACCTCGCTATAACATTTAACATTTAGCTAATTTTAGTAGACTGCTGGACTAGAAAAACAACTGGAAGGCAGTAAGAGGATTAGGGTTCAAATCTTAACCAATCTCTTACTAGCTCAGCAAGTGACTTAAATTCTTTAAACCTTAGTTTCCTTATCTCTAAAGAAGAGGAAATGATGTCACATCTGCCCACTTTAGAAAGTTTTTATGTAGTCAAAATGAGATAATTTATATGCAGATACTTTGAAACTATGCAGCACCCTTATTTAAAGCATGATCAGAGGACTGAAATAGTTACTACATTTAATTAAGTGAATTCTTCATTGCTTCCTCTCCACACAGTTGAAGCATATATGACAAAAAGGCAAAGTATGGTAACAAAGTATTATCCAAAACGGCTGGATAAGCAAAAATAGTATGTCAAATATTAAAATATTACCAAAAATGCTTCATTCATCCTAATTCGCCAACAATGGCATACATAACTATACATACACCCCAGTACACATCGACAGAGTACATACATATAAATATATTTGCATTTTAAAGAAATTATATATAACAAAACTGCTAACTGCAAAGTAAAGAAAGCTTCAGAAAACAAGGCAAAGACAAAGAAGGTTAGTGATCCAGTCAACTTGAGGCAGAAGTTTTATGGAAGTAAGCTTTAACCCTCAAGAGACTGAGGCAGGGATCATATGGAATAAGAAATTATACTAATTCAAAGGGGATACCAGGAAGACAGAAGTAAGTAGAAGGAGGTACTGTGACAGACATCAAGGTAGCCTTGTCAGCTGTCTTGCTGAGAACAAGCACCATGTTGTCTATGTGCCCTTTTCTTAAAATGAGATTAAAGGGTGATTAGAGGTACTGAAAAATAACCTGTGGCAACAGAAAGTGAAATGAAGTACATAATCAAGAAATATCTCAACTAAAGTGTCACTGATTCTGAAGATTTCTTACAGCAGGAATTGTTAGGTCATTTGTGAGTTACAGACAGGGCATATCAATCAGAAAAGAATGACAACCGAGGATAGAAGCAGGTGAAATCTCTAGAAACAGTGGTCCTGGCAAGACCAGAAACTCAACTGAAACAGAAGAAGTTAGAATTTCCTGCTCTATCTGTTCTGTTTGTATTTGGTCACTATGTGAGTTTCCCTTGGAAAATAGTTTGAGTTAGATACACTATCAATAGTGAGTAGCATCATAGATGAAAGATGTTCACAGAAAAAGCATAAAGAATCATTTTAGACACACAAAACAGCAGAGGCAAACAAAGTCACCAACAGGAGAAGGAACATAAAAATGAGTAACATATAAAGAGAATTAAATGGTTCTTATAAATTTTGTCAAAATGATCTTCCTGCCTAAGAAGTTTTGAACATACCAGTATCACTCTTCCTCTCTGCTACAATACAGTGCTGCTTAGAACAAGTGTTCAACTACTGACTAATTCACCATAAAAAAAGCAATTCAACAAATAACATTTTCTTAGGAAGCACAAATTTGGGAAGCAATAATATATGCTAAGTATATTCAGATTATGTAAACAATTTATTTAAATATTAATAATTTAAAATGTATATATTATTCAAGTTTATGTAATACTCAATACTGTAAAATGCTCATATCTCTATACAGTAGATATAAATAGACTATTATTTGGTGGCTAATATTTTTCCTGTACCAATGCTTAAGCATTCCTTAAGGAATGCTTAAGGAATTTACAATATTCCTACTACATCCTGTTACACTTCTGGGTTTCTGGCATAAGGTCCTACCAGACTACCTTCCCACACTTAACAAGGTTCTAGAAAATAAACAAAAGAAAGTAGATTTTGGAGAGGACTTAAAACTTGGAAGACAGAACCACTGACAAGTGCATTTTGCATGTTGGGGGAGGGTGGTGCTATAGGGAAGGGACAATCTACCATTGCAGTGACCTGTCATCTTTCTGGCCAAGAAAACCAGAGACAAAGCCCAAAGTCTGGAAAGACAGGAATTCCAGAAAGAAAATAACCAGCAAAAAGGAACTCCAAATTCTGTTAAAAACTCTGCCAGGCTGACCTTTTAAATGGAAGAATTGAGACGTTAGAGTAAAGTATCAGTGATCTTAAAAAAGATAAATAGCAATTATCCAATCAGGAGGAGGAAATATAAAAAAGATAGGGGGAAAAATGAAAAAAGCCTCAAAAACCTGTGGACACTATCAAAAGATCTAATATGTGTCACTGAAGTCCCAGAGACAATGGGACAAAAGAAATAACTGAAGAACTAAAAAGGAGGAAACTTTTCAACTGTAGTGATTAGCACAAGTAAACAGACTGAAGAAACTCAGCAAACCCCAAACAACATACACACATACAAATATATGCAGGCACACACATATCTACACACACACCAATGCACACTATAGTGAAGCCGATGAAAACCAAGTAACAAAGGAAGTTCCGAAAGCCTGATAAATCGACATGTAACAAACAGGGGAACAGTGAACAGTAACTCGAATGACTATAAATGTCTCACCAGAAACAATGAAAGCCAGAGAACAGTTGAACAACATCTTTAAAGCAGGAAACAACAAAATAAAACCTATGTGGCAAAAACTTACATTAACTAGTCTTTCAAGACTAGGGATGATTAGAGATGTTTCTCCTCCTTTAACATCAGGATCTTTTTGCATTTCCTTAATAGCTTGCAATATTTCTTTCATACCTTCTTCCAGCTGCTTATTTTCTTCGGCTAATTCTTTTACTAAAATGACATATTTTTCTCATTCAATGAGTACCTTCTTCACAACTTACACTACTCTATACAAATAACATATCACATATAGAAAAAATACCCATTTGGAAATGCCAAAGTAAATAAATGTGCAAAAAAATCACCTATAAATCCAATGTGTGATTAGTTGAATTCAATGATACACCTATTTAAATCATGTGCATATATGTTTCATTGTTGAAAGAAATCATAAACATGCTTTGTCTTCCCTTCATTAAACATCTTTTAAATTCATTTTTTAACTCCAAGTTCATTAAACAAAAAAGAAAAACGGACTCATTGATCACCACAAAAAATTCCCATTATAACTTTGACAATGAATATAGCAAGGTAAACCAAATACATGAATGAGAGACACTGAAGCTTATATATTACGGAGGTAATTAAAGTTAAAACAGACTAGAAAATAAGAATGTTTTAAAGTCCTTCTAGATCCATAATTTTTGGTATAGGATAAATAAGTACAGAAAAATAAGAAACAGTAATAACTTACATTTATTCTGAAATTTGGTTATTATTGTTCTACCTCTTTCTAAATCTCTTTCCTTTTCAATTAGTTCTCTTGAAAGAAATTCATTCTGTATAGAACACAAAGAATAAGATTGATTTTTTTAAACAAAATATCACTATAGTTTTCAAGTTAAAAAATTTTGACTAATTGAGTTATAACACACCAAAGATAAGCTATTACAGTAATAATAACAATAAAACCCAAAAGGTAAAACAGCTAGTGGTCTTGCTCCCACTTTCTCCCTTTACCCACTCCCACAGCAAAAGGCAAAGAAATATAATGAAAGTTTTTGTCTTTAGTACCACAATCATCTTTTAATAGTCTGCCTTCATACTACCTGTTCTGCCTGGGTTCTATGACGTTCAAGCTCTATTTCTGCACTTCTATTCTGTGCTTCCTTGACCAATAAATCCTGTGCTATGACTTCATTCTAAAGGAATAATTAATAAATTAGGCAAGTCAATGATTTCATGTCAAACTCGCTGCATTTTTAAATTTTTAAGAAATGTGTATAAATTTATGTTATGTGCAAGCATAAAAAAGTTCTTATTACAATTATTACTTAGAGAATTTTGTTAGGAAGTCATTAAAAAAAAAAGAGTTAATACAAAAGGTGATCTCAGTAACGGAATCTGGAGGAAAGCTCACCTGAGATCTAAGAAATACTAGTTCTCTCCGTAGCTGTTCTATAAGATTTTCAAGTGGATCTACCTGAGATGATTTTGATTGTGTAGTAATAGGCACATGGTCCGGAAGATTAACATCAAGTTTACTTTTCAAAATCTCTGTCTGCAAAGGCACTTCACTCTTTCTTAGATCTTCTTTCAAACTGGTATCAACATATTTTATCTGGTTATGAACCTGTTCATCTTCTGATGTTGCTACTTGTGATTCATCCATGTCAGCTCTATTATCATGAATTTGTTCACAAAATATTGCAGATTTCTGCCTAAGTGATAACTTCTGGATTAAGTCTGAAGCTGTTGATAAGGCCTGTAAAGATGAACTGCTTTTCTGTGTGAAACTAGTCTTCTCAAGTGCCTGACAGCTTCTTGACACTTTCTTCATAGAGTAGTCAGAAAGAGCGTATAAGTAGTCATCTATTTCTTCATGCCTCTCCCTATTAAAGCTATTGACTAATGATTCTAGATTTCTTAAAGATTGTAGACATGGTGCTTTAAAAATCTCCTTTATTGTAATGGTTTCTGGAGGTGAATTATTATCTTTTACTTGTACAGATGAAGAAGGTTTAGTTAGAGAGACAAAAGGATCCACTTCACTTTCTACACTATGTTGAAATTCAGATAACATTCTTGATAATGATCCTATGGTGACATTCTCCTCTGGTTCATTCTGATATGACTGTGGAAAACCAAATGACGGTCTCCTATGCGGCAGCTCTATTTTATCTGAACTCCTAATCTGTATTTAGAGCAAATAAAATCTCATTAATCAATCTTTGGATCAACGGGTTATTTAAACTTAAAAAAAAAAGTTATTTAACAACTATAAAAAGAAGCAATGTCTAAACTCAGGTAACTGGGGAAGAAATGAAAGCACTAATAGTAACATTTTTCTTCTATTCTCTCTGCCGTAACAACACTGTTTACCTTCGATGGAGCTTCACTCATATTTTTGAGGCTTGCAAAATCGAATTTCCTTTCTCCTATTCTATTTTCTTGAGAAAAGTTTTCGGTTAGGGTCAGGTCCTCAACAGTTAATCCTACATATAAAAAAATTAACAAATTAGAAAGATAAAGTAACTCTCTTATTATTCTAATTCTTAGAAAGTAAAATCAAGGGCTTTTTAAAAAGATTTTATTCATATATTTGTCAAAGAGAGAAAGTGAGTGAGCACAGAAGCAGGGGGAGCAGCAGGCAGAGGGAGAAGCAGGCTCCCTGATGAGCAGGAAACCCAATGCGGGACTCAATCCCAGGACCCTGGGATCATGACCCGAGCTGAAGGCAGACACCCAACCGACTGAGCCACCCAAGCATCCCAGTAAAATCAAGTTTTAACTCAAACAAAAGGTAGAATATTTCCAAAATCCTTGATCCCCATGTAGCCTATACAACCTCCTGATTTAGCTCACTTTTAATATTAATAATATGAGAAACTAATATGACTTTTATCTTCTCTTTAATTCTTTACACATTCTATACTTTAATATAGTAAGTACTGAAGTAGTTTAGAGACATATAAAATAGATAAGAATCATGAATGAGTAAACTGGCTAATACATTAACAATTTAGGAAGTTTTGCCATTCTAGAAATTTTTTGATATATTATAGAGACTGTGATGATTTAAAAAACATCAAAATAAACAAACCAAAAACAGAACAAAGCAACAAACAAAAAGCCCTTCATTATTCAAATACTTGTGGACTTGGGTGAAGTTAAAAAAAATTCCTTCTCTATGGTCTTCTTAGAAAAAGGCACTACAATTGCTATTACAAAACTTAACCAACTGTTCCCTTGACATCAAATAAGATAAACAAAAATGTTAATTTTTATTCAATGAAACATTGCTTTCACTTAATAAAAAATAATGTACAAAGAAAGTTTTCAATGTACTGCTTAAGGAAGATATTAACAGCAACATATACCAATATAGAAATTACTAAATATCATCATTATTGATCATAGCATATTGGGATTGTGTGGGAATTAAAAGACTATACTGTAAAGTTTTCAAAAGTCGATGATTCTGAAGTTTTGTTCAATTATTTCATGGTGTTTTTTTCTGTTTTTGCCTGTTTCAGATTAAGGACAGAAATCAATGATAATTAAATACTCTTCATCAGGCCATTATTTCATTTATTAAACTTGCAGCAGAACCATTATAATATATATAAGATACAAAAAATTTCAGCTCCAGACAATTCATTTTCCAATGATTCTTTCAAGGATTTGGAGTAACTGCATATACCTGAAGCGGCAGCTCTTTTTCCTCTTTCTTGAGCCATCTGGCGAATTTTTTTTTTCAGATCCAGTCGTTCTTCCTCTAGACTTTCAATCTATAAAGTACAAATTATTAGTATTTCTTTTGGTTCAACCAGAAAATAACTAATTGACTATCACACTTGCCTCTTTCAAAAGAATCTGGTTTTCAGCTCTGTACTGCTGCTGTTTTAAGCTTTTACTATTTCTAAATTCAGTTAAATCAATCATTGTCTTCGGTTCGAGGCCTAAAATAAAAAGCAATATAATTAAAAACTTACCAACATTCAAATGAGCTATAAAAATTCACAAAGCAATTGGTTATCATCAACCAAATGGTTACAATTTATTCAGCCAGCATCACTCAAGAATGAGGTACTTTTTGTGCAAGAATTTCCAGATATTTGAACTATAACCTTATAAGTCAACATAATTTTATCACAATTATTAATAGAAACCCTGACAAAATATATCAGGATCTGTCTTCTTCTCCATGTTAGATTGTCACGAAAGTACTAGAATGTATTAATTCAAAATAGAAGTTATGGAATAAAAGACTTGCGCTCAATTCCCACTTTCAATTATTAACGAAGTTGTAGGAATAATACTGCATTTCTTTTTCTTTCTTTCTTTCTTTGGCTTGTTGTCAAGGTGTTAAAAAATCAATCCGTATAAGGTACTTAGTTCAATGCCTGGGACATAGTAGTCATTATTAATATCAGGATCAACTGTATTACCACATGAGTCTGATGCCGCCACTTTTCCTGTCTCTTAACTTACTATAACTAAGTAGATATGAAGATTGTCTTAAGCAAGTATAAGACAAGATCTGGAAGCTTTAAAATACAAAAGGGACATCTGGGTGGCTCAGTCAGTTAATTAAGCACCTGCCTTCAGTTCAAGTCATGATCTCAGGGTCCTGGGATGGAGCCCACACTGGACTCGTGGCTCCGCAGGGAGATTGCTTCTCCCTCTGTCCTTCTCACTGCTGGTGTGCGTGCTCTTTCTCTCTCTCTTTCTCTCAAATAAAATCTTTTAAAATAAAATATACGAAATCTGGTGTTTGTGGGAGCTATCTAATTGGCTCAGTCAGCTTCAGCAACTTCCAGTTTGAAGTCAGCTGTGATCCGGTAGGTAAAGTTGATCAGAAGGCTAACTTGGGGTATTGGCATGATTTCTGCGTCCTACTTAGGTATGTTTTCATAAATAAATCATCTTCATAAAAATTTTATTTTTCCTTCCTATAGATCAGTTTTCACAAATGATCACTTAACTCTAAGAAAGCATTAATTGGTATTTACCAAGTATAACGAAATCAATATTCAGATTTTTATTTTCACTTCAAAGTAGCAATTTAGATTGGACTGTGTAACCATCCCTCAGAACTACATACTGCTTAAAATATAACCTATGAGAAATTATACTAGTTACCAAGCATGCTTAGATAAAGCCTTAAAAAAAAAACGTACTGGCAATTGGCCTCTGGGGGACAGGACCATACGTCCTTGAAGCCCAGCAGCTGGGGATGCCTGGCTTGCTCAGGGCGAACGCCGCCTGCTTCATTTTTCCGTTATCTCCCCTTCCCCGGAGCATCAGCAGTTAGACAGACAGAATCCTTTCGTTTGGGCTTAGCTCACTATAGGTCATGTACTACGTAACCAGACATATTTCGCCTTTCTTCTTACATATTTACAAGACTCATGGTCAATGTGTAATCTACTCCAGCTTTGTTGGTTGTTACCCACTTTCTAATAAATATGAGACTGAGGAGTTGTTCGGGGCGACAGTCTTTTCTACTGTCGTCCCCTGCTACCATTCTCTTGCAGCTGACTTGTTTGTGCCTCCTTCTTCTTCCATGTTCTGTCAGGAGGCGGCAGGACTGTCATAATTCAATATGCAAATGAGTAACACTAAATGAACTATTTATTGAAATCAATAAACTCTCAAGCTATATTTACTAATTACTTCTCAGAATCAACAGTAGCCTTACAATACTCAACCAAAGTTAAATTTAAGCAGCATAAATCATAAAAGTACTTAACCAGTACTTCCAAATGTCCTCATGAATTCATCTGAATGAGAGTATTTTGCAAACCAAATGGGTCATACAAACCCTAACTTTGTTGAGAAAAAGGAAGGGGGGAAGTTAACTTCTAATATGTAGTATTAGTTTAGTAGACTTTCAGTTTTTAAACAAGGAATTGTTTTTAGGCAGTTTTTAAATAAGCAATTACTTGAAAAGATGCCAGACTGAATAAAGCAGTGCTCCAGGCCAGCCCACCCACATCCCAAACCCATTAAATCCCTAGTCCCACTTCAATCAGAGCAGCTCCACTTTTGTTTTAAATATGTTTACAGAAGGGTTTATTTGGGGGCGGGGGGAAGTACACTCAACTATTTAAAAATAATAATACATGAACAAAAAAATAAAAAATGACTTGACAATTAGGATTGATCAAACTATGGATCGTAAAGGATGACTTACCCACACGCTCCCTAAGAGCCTCATTTTCATCAAGGAAATCATTGATCTTCAACTCAAGTTTATTGATTTCCTTTGTCAATACTTCAAGCTCTCGATCTCTTATTTTAATTTGGTTTTTACAATTCTTTATTTCAATCACAGCATCTTCTAAACCATATATTCCCTGAAAAATATCCAGTCTAAGTATAATGTAGTTTATTTGAATAAATTATCAAACTTATTTTCTTATTAAGTATGAGGGGAAGTACACATATATGTAAGATTTGTGTCATGAAACTGTGCTTTTTATGGTGCTTTTAAAAAACAAATCTAGTAATATGATGGAAAATGGAACTGCTGGAACTTCCCAGTATAGCATCCTAATGACAAAGTGACTCAGAGAATGACATATAAACCATTTAACAAGGGGCGCCTGGGTTCAGTGGGTTAAGCATCTGACTCTTGGTTTCGGCTCAGGTCTGATCTGAAGGTTGTGAGATCAAGCCCAAAGCGAGTTCCACACTGGGTGTGGAGTCTGCTTAAGATTCTCTCTTTCCCTCTTCACCACCACCACCCTGCTCGCTCGCTCTCTCTCTCATTCTCAAAATAAATAAACAGATAAACAGACAAATAAATAAATAAATATAAAATTAGTGAATGTTGAGGGAAATTGGAAGGGGAGGTGAACCATGAGAGACTATGGACTCCGGAAAACAACCTAAACGTTTTGAAGGGGTGGGGGGTGGGAGGTTGGGGGAACCAGGTGGTGGGTATTAGGGAGGGCACGGACTGCACGGAGCACTGGGTGTGGTGCAAAAACAAGGAATACTGTTACGCTGAAAAGAAATTAAAAAAAAAAAATTAGTGAATGTTGACTGTCTATAAGACCATGCTAGGTAATTCTGGGGTTATGAAGATAAAGCAAATGTTCATGCCATCTCCAGGGAGCTTCATACCCACCCCCCAAATAAACAAACTAAAAACACTTAACAAAATATAGGACAGGAATACTAAGAGTGAATCAGTAATAGCATTAGAATATACGAGTCATTAGTTGCCTGAGTGGTAATGAGATTTAAAAATACAAAAAGTACAAAGTAAGTACTGCGTGTTGGCACAGTAGGCAGCAAAACTGTCCCTGAAATAACTTCTGGCAAATAAACCAGTGGTGTCACATCTATAATGCTGGCACAATGACACCACTTACAAAGAAACTGAACGTGTTGCCTCAACAAAGCCGATGGTCTGGGCACAAGGTTTGGATCAAGCGGCCAGAAAACAATTCTCCGGCTGAAAAGTAAATGCTGCTCTGACGTTTGAATGGGGTAGTACGAACCAACCAAGATAACCTTTACCATAAAACACTTCTGGAACGTTTCTGAAGGCAAATGGTAATGGCACAGAACAGTCTAACTGTGAGTGGCAAGAATAATCTAAGCTCCCTGACCGACGAGATAAAAATACATACCGATTCATAATCTTTTAATCGCTTTAGCGTCTCAACTAGTTCTTTATCCTTTTCCCTAGCATCAGCCTCAGCCAGTTCAGCTGCTCTCTCAGCCTCTTTAGTTCTCTCTTCTAACATCTGAACCTTAGACTGAATTTTCCTATAATGAGTCTGCTGGGAAAGAGCTGAAGCGCCTACAGAGTGAAACAAAAACAAAAACAAAACCGCACGAATTAACTGAATGGATTACTTATTCCTTTAAATCCCTGATTCCAATACAAGACGCAGGAAAGGTGGTATGTCACTTAAAAAGTCTCTTTCTTGTTATTTTTTTATATTTGAGAAATAAAATTTGTTTTCATCTTATTGACAGGACAAGCTTAAAAAGGTCGGATTATGTAAGATCGCAAAACACAATGCTTTCCAAAGAATGATCATTGTGGCAAAAACCACTCGCTCTCTGTTCCTACTGTTCAAACTTTGTCCACTGTAACAGAAGAATGCAATTTTGGTTGGACACACGGCCACATGAAATAAAGACTAAATTTCCAGTCACCCCAGCAGCTAGGTGTGGTCACGTGACCAATGGGATACAAGCAGACAAGCTTGTATTTCAGGAAATGTTTTTAAAGGAGAGGAGTGAATCTTTTCTCTTTCCTCCTTCCTGCTAGATGGAATCCAGATATTAAGTCTGGAACTCAAACATGGAGAACATGAGCTGGATACCACATGCTGAGATAGGCAGGGCAGCAAGATACAGGATGCCTGATATCCCATTATTTGGGCAGCTTATCACACCAACCCCAAACTATTCACCTCAACTTTATTTATATCATGGAAAGATACATTTCTATCCTGTCTAAACCACTGCTACATTTGATTTTTTCTGTTGCCTGCAGCTAAACTTAGTCTTAATAGCTAAAAAATCTCTACTTATATTTTTTTACCAAACCGTTGCTAGACCAAAATATAGCATCCCCATTATCAACACAAATCATTCTTATCCAACAAAAGTGTTCAGTGATTTATAGAGCATGTACTTATGTATAGGCATTGAGCTAGTGTGGGAAAGCATGCACATTTATAAGAAATGGGCCCTGTTTTCTGGAGTGAAAAGCCTAGATGGAGCATGTCAGAGGCTCAAGTGTCCCCAGTGACCCCCACTCTCATTTCTTCCATGTGGCCTGCCACAGTATATTTACCTGCCTATCCTTTAGTGTGAGCCATTTGTCTCTTCCTGCCTCCTCCATCTTGCTGTTTGGGATGCAGATGTGAGGGTAAAGTTCCACTTTGGATGAGACAGATGAGGGCAACACCCTGGATTGCCTAATTCTATACTATCACACAAGTGAGAAAAATAAACTTTTTTTTTTAATTTTAAGAAATTGAGAAAAATAAGCTTCTCTCTTGATTTTGCCACCATTTTTCAGATCTCTAGTTCTGATAGCTAAAGCTAATCCTAACCAATGGAAAGAAAACACCATTAGCTGTCATATTTACAAGTTAATTTCAAGTATAGAGTATTTCCTAGTAGCCATACCTTCTGTGGACTTTAGGGATCTATGACTAGGGACTGACTGAAATGTCATTAGACAAGACCTCTTTCTTATCTGATAGAAGAGATCAATGGCCACTTTTTCTCCTAGTGGCTGGAATATGCAAAACCCACAGTATCGGTTACCCTTTTAAACAGTTTAAACCATGTCAAAGTGTAATTCTAATAAATACATAATACACACTTATAGAAATAAGTATAACAAGTGGGCCTCGTTAGCTCAGCAATCATATTACATTTTTCTAGTCTGTTCACTCTTTCAGATGACGATTTTATAACTTTGTCTTTTCTTCGTCTCTCTCCTCAAACTTCTAACACATCTTCCCCTATCCTTTCAGCTAAGAACCTTACTTTCTTGTTTCCTGAGCAAAGAGAAGCAATCAGTACAGAAGCTCCACCTGCTCTCACCATCAGGTCATCTCCAGTCACCTGCATCTGTATCTATGCACTCCACCTCCCTTCCTGTCACTATGGATGGATTCTTTGTGTTCCTAAGACCCACTACCCCACTGGAACACTAGATGCCATCCCAAGGCCTTCTCAAGGATATTGCTCCAGCAGTTCTCTCTCTCTCCTGCTTCATCGATGCGTCAATTTTCTTCTTTAATGGATCTTTCTTTTCACCCAGAAGTATTATCTCTTCCATTTTAAGGAGAGAAATAGTTTTTGTCATGCCCCTTTCCCTTCAAGTCACTACGCCATTTTTCTCCTTCCCTTTATACAGTCCTCCTCAAAGGAGTCTCTAGATTGTTCTGTCATCACTATCCATTTTCTCTTAAACCAAAAGTGACCAATGCTAAATCCACTGGTTAACTTTCAATGCTCATCTTGATTTATCAGCAGCACTGAATACAGCTCTGAACATGATTGCTTATTCTCTTCCTTGATGACATTCCTCATGTGGTTTTTCAGGACCCCACACATTCCTGATTTTCCTCCCATCTAGCCTCCTTTGGTTGCTTCTTTTCATCCCCTCAGCCTCTAAAGTAAAAGCATCCCTGGGCTCAATCTTTGCATTTTTCTTCTTAACATTTGTTCCTTTGATGATCTCAGCCAGCTTCAGGACGTCATTTACCATTTTTAGGCATATGGTTCCCAAATTTATATCTTGAGATATAAATTTTGAGATATATAAATAAATATATATATATATAAATATATAAATCTTGAGATCTAAATCTTGAGACTGGACTGTTATCCTAAACCTCAGACTTCTATATATACAAGTGCCTATTTATTATTTCCATTCAGATGTGTAATGAGCATCTCAAACTTAACATGTCCTGTTTAACTAAGTACCTGATCATTTCTAAACTTGCTGGAAACAGTCCTTCCCAGTGTTCAGAACAAAAGTTCTGGTAACTCTCTCACACCCTACATCTGATCTGCTAGCAAATTGCGTTTCCATCACCTTCAAAATATATCCTGAACTGACTGCAACAACCCTACTGCTACCCACACACTCTAAGCTACCAGCACCTCTTCAGATTACTCCAACAGTCTCTTAATAGGTTTGCCTGCTTCTGTCCTTGCTACTCCTATGATCTATTGCAGACACAGTCTAAGTCAAATTATTTCACTTTCTTTGTGAAACTTTCTTTGGTGCTTCTTCTCACTTAAAATAAAAGCCAAAGTCCTCACGGTGAATTGTTAAGTCGCTATATGACCTGGCCCCTGGTTACCTCTCTGATCTATCTCATCATGTAATACTGCCCCACCTGCCCACTGTTCCAGCCACAAAGGCTTCTTTTTGTTCTTCAACACACTCGGTATATTCCTACTTTATACTATATATGCCTCTCTCTATATATATGTATATAGAGATACGTATATATATGTATACTATATATGCCTTTATACTTATTCCCACTGTTTAGGGACATCTGCTTGGCTTACTACCTCACTTCCTAAAAGTGTTCAAGTATCTCCTCAATGAGGCTTTTGCTTCACTAAATTACAACCACATCTCCAACGACCACCACCATTATTTCACTTACACACACACATTAGCTATTTTCTTTTGTGAGAGTTACATTAAATATGTCATGAACTTGTCATGAATAGTTAGCCTTAATGTGTCCTGCTATAACTACAGTATGTAGTGCTGTGGAAATATAAGACCACTGATGTTTTAGGGGCTTATGTTCAGATGTATTAGGCAAGGTACTATGTCCCAGGGTAGGGAGAATAAGATGAGACATTAAATTGGGTACAGTTCATTCAAATGCTGACAAGTCAAATGACTTCTGAAAACTACCTACAATGCTGCCACATTGATCAAAATTTTATTCTATTCTTTGTTAATTATTTAAAAAGGGGATAAATAACTATACTCAATTATATCGTCATTTTTCATTTCTTTCATATAACTAAGATGGTAATAAAGGTTAATGTAATTTTCATGGCAGAAAAATTACAGAAAGTATCTCCAACACTAATAAATTTAAACACTAGTAATATATGCAGTTAATAATATACAGTTAATATACATAGTCATTTTTTAAAACAATAAAATTCAAAAAAATCAATAATATATCTATTGACATAATTTAATAAAAATAAAATACTTAAAAATTGAATGGTACATAAAATAACTTTGTATGCTTATTTTTTTATTAACATAAAATGTACTATTTGTTTCAGGGGTACAGGTCCGTGATTCATCGGTCTTATACAATTCAAAGCACTTACCATAGCACATACCCTCCCCCAATGCCCATCACCCAGCCACCCCATCCCTCCCATCCTCCTCCCCTCCAGCAACCCTCATTTTGTTTCCTGAGACCAAGAGTCTCTTAAGGTTTGTCTCCCTCTCTGGTTTCATCTTGTTTCATTTTTCCCCTCCCATCCCCTATGGTCCTCTGTCTTGTTTAACTTTATATGCTTATTAAACATTGAATTACCTTTGTTTCTTTGAAGCTCATTTTTCAAATCTTCAATAATGAAAGTATTTTTTTCCATTTCTTTTGTATATTGTTCTACTTGCTCAGTGAGCATCTTAATTTGACTATCTCGTTCTTGTACACCCTATAAAATATTTTTGAACATTACATATTATTTCTTCATGGATATTAACATACAATTTAAACGTAAGGAAAAAAGTAGATCTTATGTTTATATATATATATATAATATACATATGTTATATATATATTTTTTGGGTCAAAACTATGTCCTTTACTACTTTGTATACCTCAACTGCACAACGTTAGACACACTGATGTCACTCTAATACTTACAGATAGATATAAGAGCTAACTAACATCCTGGCAAAGGGAATTCCAGAACTCTCTAATATTCATGGCTTCTTCTGACTCCTTTCATGTTACCCTTCCTCATGACCCACCCATTTCTATCTTCTGCCCTGTGGTACTTCTTTCAAAGTACTGTCTCTTGCAATTGTTCTTATCCTCCAAATACTTCCCAAATTTCCCCCTTTCTTCCAGACTATAACTATAAAGCACAGATAACGGAAGTATAACTTCTACATGAGTATATTTGTACTAAAAATAAAATTTAATGTAATACAGTCAAATTATAACGACACTTTTAGCTTTTTTCCCATTACACAGGATATTTCAGCACCAACATATAATATAATAAATGTTAACAACAGTGTATGAAGATATACTTGTTTCTAAAAGTTTTTAAGTTTCTTATTAAATAATTCCCAATCAAAACAATGTGTCTATTATCTAAATCAACATAGAAAAATACACAAAATAATTCTATTCCTGACTCTAAACTTAATTCTAATTGTTTCTGGTGACTGGACTTCAAAAGACTATTTATATACCCCATAGTGTAAGCCACTAGGTTAGACACATTGTCTACTTCAATAAACCAAATTTTGAAAGGTTTTACCTGTTGTAGAGCCATAACATTACTTTTATCAGCATCAAGCTGGGCATTTTTCAATTTCTCCCTCAGGTTATGTAACATTTGCTGATATTCAATAATTTCATCATCTTTAGAAGACAAAATTAACTAGATATAAACAACATAGGATCTGTTACATAAGAGGAAAATTAGTAAATCACTTTTTACTTATAGCAAATACTCTAATATATATCATTAGCAAGAAAATACAGGAAATAAAATTCACATTGAAGTGAGTAAGTAACAGCAACTATTTGCATAATCATTGTTCTTTTTGGGTGTACAATCTTAAGTTCAAAGAAGAAATGATTTAAAAATATACAGTATAATTTTTGCTGTTTTAGAAATTCAATCTTTAAACAATCTCAAGCTTTCAAAACTCATTCCTAAATAAGAATTATAAATGCCTTCGTGAAACTACCAGGAAGTTTTGTACAATTAATTTTTATGGAGAAAACCTTAAAATGTCACTGAATGAAGGTGTCTTGTGTTCTTTGCTAGAAGAACCAAATACCAAAATCAACTTATAATTTATAAATTTACCACAGAGCTAATAAAATAAGATTTTCAAGAACTATTTCTAAAATTCATATTGAAAAAACATGTTCACAAGTGTCGAAAAACTGAAAAATGAATGGTTTTTTCAAATATTTAAACATAACAATAACTAAAACAAGGACACATGTTTAGAAAATAGATTGATCAATTTAAAGCAGAGAGTCTAAAAATAAATTCAAATCCAACAAGCATGTCAAATGTAATAAAAATGAAACTGTACTTCAGTAGGAAAAAGATAAAATGTTAAATAAATAATGTTTGGACAACAGACTAGGTCTGCTGAAACCATACCTCTCCATGCTAAAACTAATTACATATGCTTCAAAGACTTAAATGTAAAAGATGAAACTAGGAGGTACTAAAAGAAAATAGAGAAAACAACTTTATGCTCAGAACACTAATTATGACACAAAGTTCAAAAGTCACAAAAAAAAACTACAAAATACAAAAAAAAAAAAAAAATTTCATAGCAAAAAATACCATAGAGTCGAAGACAAGTGTCAAACTGGAGGTATGTATTTGGATATATATGACAACTTGTAGCAATTTAATCTACATCTTTGCAAAATAACAAATACATGAAGATATTCATTATAACGTTGTTTCTAATAGCAAACATCAGTAACCTATTAAATATCACACCATATGCTATCTATTAAATAAATATCTACAAAGAAAAATTACAAAGCCACTAAAAAAAACCAAAGCAATACTGTATATACTGATATAAATAATTCTTAAAAATATTAAGTGAAAATGAAGTACAGAAGAATACATATACTACCATCTCTCTCCCCAAAATTAAATAGGATGTAAAAACTTTTTTTTTCCCCAGGGGTCAGTAGACTCAATCAACAGTCAAATTTGGTCTGCTGCTTGTTTTCGTCAAGTTACATTGCAAAACAGCCTTGCTCATTCATTTATGTATGGTGTATGTCTGCCTTCATGTTATATAACAGAGTTTAATTACACCAGAGACCAGATGGTCTAAAATATTTACTCTCTGCACTTCTTATAAAGTGTACTGACCCCTGATTGATTCGATAGTGCATCATTGCCACTGCTACTGCTTTTGTTTAAAATATAGGTTACCTGAACTTCCCAGATAAACAAATCCAAAGAGCCAACAAGATTTATGAGCTCTGTTAGAAACAATGACTACAAAAGTGATAGCTTTTAAAATTAGATTTATTCAGAATTGTTTTAGACTTTTTCCAAAATATACAGTCATCATAATCCTAGCTTCTGACACAGTAAGGTCAGAGAATTTGGTTGGGGTTGGAGAGTGGAGAGAAGCAAGAAAGGTATATTATGAAAAACTTCTCAGATGATTCTAAAGGTCCCTTTCTTTATTCCCATTCCCACTGAAAACTAATAGTTGTATTGGTCTGAAGGAATTGAACCAGGAACTATATATACACAATACATGGCAGCTATGAGTTATGTGAATATATTTTACTTAGAATTATTTATTTTAGATGACAAATAAGTTTTAGACTTAGACTACAAATAGGCTAAAGGACTACACAGGAGAGAGAGCTTAGTGCTTTTCTAACTAGGACATTTAATGCACTTTAAAATTGCCTAATAAAAACATCACTAACTACCATAAGGCCTTTAAAGAAAACTAAGACTTTGAAATCAAAAATACAAATGAAAAACCCATTAGATCAACTGAAAAAAGCACCTTCCATTCTTCTACTTTTGCGTTGACAGCAGCCATGACTGGATCATCTTCTTCATTTTTTGCTTTCAGAAGATCTGTAAGCTCCTGCACCTAAAAGGCAACAATTATTTCAAGAATCGTTGCAAAATAGTGCAATATATGCATATTTACCCACACATTACACATATGCGGCATACATATTCATACACATATGTATGTATACAGTACCAATGCATATTCATTATTGGAGCAATTCTGTATTTAGAGGTGATATTTAGTGGTTTCTGTATCATTACAGATGCATAACTGTCATTACTAGAGAATTATATTTTTGAGTATTATTCTATTTTTTACACTAATTTAATACCAAGTAAAACATGAACAATGTATTGGTTTTCTGATATTTATAGCATATTTATTTTATAGTAAAAAACTTAACTTCAGGTCCACAAGACTTCTAGGCATTTTTATTAGGAAATTCCCCATATTTATGAGTTTTCCAGGACCCGTATCTACACATTAATTCAGGTATCAATTACAAGGTATGCATAAGGGCATTAGAGAAACACATAGGGACAAACCTATCAGCATGGCAACATGTTACAGTAAAGGATATATTACAGCATAAGACAAAAATTCATATCCTAGAAAGTTAAAGTACTTTTTAGTTTCACATAAATAGTAATGATATGATATGAAGTCTGCGTGAATGAGATAATCTAACAGCAATTCTTACTTGAAGCCGGTAATGATCATTTTCTTTTTTTAATTGGTCCATTATGTTATCTGTTTGATGGACGATAGCTTTCATCCTATTATACTCATCAGTCATCTTTTCCATCTCCTGTACAGACTCTTCTAGATTTTTTCTCATTTCTTGATTCTGAACTTCAATTTTTTCATTAGCTTCTGTTAAAGTCTAATGAAGTTAAAGACACTATGGTTAACCTAAGAAACTGTAATTTAAAATAAATTAAAATTAAATAGAGTCATAAGTACCTGCTGGCAAAGAGAGAATTCTTTAGAGATCTGTAGTAGTGATTGCTCTTGGCCAATGAAATCAAATTAACTATCAACAAAATTATATCTAAAAAGCTTAGTTCTTCTCAATACGCAAGACAGACATATGAAATGAATGAATTTGCAAGATTTATTAACTTTAAAGATGCAATTTATTTCATGTTTCCAAATGCATAGTTGCAGATTTCTACTACAGAAGTTAACTGTAGGACCAGATACTAGGTTTACATTATAATAAAATGGAAGTTTTATAAGAATCATTGCCTTGAACCGACTTCTATTTTACCTGAATTTCATCCAGATACTGGACAAGTTCATAGTTTTTTTTAGACAATTGTGATCGGTAGTCACTGTCTTCTCCTCTTCTTGATAAAAGTGTTTCTTTTTGTGAATCTATTTGTTTCTGATAGTCAATAATATCCTGACGAAGTTGCTCATTCTGAAGGCAGAGCAAATACAATATTCAATATCAAGAAACTATGCAGAGAAACAAAATTTCATCATCTAACTAGTTGATCTCAAAACGTATCTTTAAATTCCCAAGGTCTCTCCACCCCTAAACTCTCACCTTTTTCTTTAGACGTTTGTTCTCCAGAAAAGAACAGGAAAAAGATAATTAGAAATGAGAAAGGCAATCCATAATTAAAATTAAGAATTAGAAATTAAAAAAGAGAAATTTTAGAAGGAGATATTATTTTGGATAATCAATGAAAGCAAGAATATTAATTATCAACCAAAACAAAGATTATTTTGGTTATGTTAAAAAGATAAGAGCTTCTATAAGGATAAACAATGTACAAACATTATTTGGCTCAGAAGAACCAAATAATAAAGAACTTATAAGATTTCATGAGAAACAAAACATTTAAAAGAATACTGGGTAAAATAAGAGAAGACAGAAATCCAGTTTTTCAGCCAATTAGCAAAATAACAAAGAATGGCTTATGAAACAAAGCAAAATTTACCCACATAAAGTAAGAGATGAATGTAGTACTTAGTGGCCTCAACTTTCAATTTATTTTCTATTTCCCTGAGACAAATTCATATCGCAAAATTAGGCAGCTTAAAAGCACCAGTTACTTAGAAGATTCCAGTTCTGGTTAGAGTATAAATTTATGAAAAATTTTTAATAGGTAACTTTGTTGAACTACCACAACTACTAACATTTTTTTACCAACCTCTCTTCTTAATTTGCTGTTTTCATTTTCTGCTTCCTCATTTCGAAGAGCCAACTAAAACAGAAAAAAAAATAAGGTTCAGCAGTAATTCAATATAAAACTAGGTTTTCAGCTGATCAATTTAAATTCTAAATTCTCTCCAATGAAGTAGAGAATGATTAACTACTAAGGATTTAGTTGATCATGTTGATCAAACATGAATAACAAACCAAAATTTGTGAAATCTAAGGATTATGAAAACAAAACAGGTTGAGTCTAAGAAATAAAAAAAAAAAACCCAAAAAAAAAACTAAAACCAAAACTCTAACCAAAGGATACAGAAACAAAACAACACACACATTATCCCCCCACCCCCAAACCCTAATGAGTAATTTTCTGTCAAAGACCTTTAACATTCTGCAGTTCTTCTATATCAGAGCTAGAATACTCTGTGCTCTAGTGAGCATTTAAATTACTTAGAAATATAAGGCAGCACAACATAATGGTTAAAAAGAAGCAATCTGAAATCAAACTGGCCCAGGTTTATATTCTTTGTCCACCAATTTCTGGTGGAGTATGAAAAAGTGATTTACCATCTCTTAAATCCAATTTTCCCATCTCATACGTTGACGTAAAAATTAAGTATGATGTATATGAAGTCCTTAGCACAACGTTCAGTGCATGAAGTAACAAAAAACTATGGAGTGTTTTCTTTTCCTCACATAAATGATTTCTTTGTGACTCTTTTGTTTCTCAAAACAGGCAAATACTATACCTATCATCACATTTTTTTTTCATCCATTGTCCAAACCCCATCCTTCTTATGGCCTTTCACTTTTCTCCCTTATTCAAGGAGAAAGTAAAATTCTCAGTGGCTTGCAATTAAAATATAGTTAAATGTCTATAATAAATAAGCAAATGCAGTATGTGATCCTTGATGGAACGTTGGATATTGGGCGAGGGACTATGAAAGGCAGTATTGGGCCAACAGAAAAAAAAATACAATTACAGACTAGATATAAGGGTATTGAATAAATATTAAATTTCCTGCATATGGTAGTTATGTAGCAGTTATGTTAGGGAATACTCCTCTTTTTCAGAGAGACATGCTTAAATATTTTAGTGTACAGTATCATGATATCTGCAGTTAACTCTCAAATGGCTCAGCAAAGAGAAGAAGAGAAATATGTGTACAAAGATACTGATGGAGAGAGAAAGTAAATGTGGCAAAGTTTTGACAACTGGTGCATCTATATGAAGAGCATATGAATATTTATTCCTTATCTTACAATATTTATGAAGGTTTGATAGTTTTCAAAATGAGAGGTTTAGAGAAAGTTTATTAATAAAATGCAAAATGCTATAAATCTCAAGAGTTTACCTATTACTACTATCATCATCAACATGGTCACCTGAGAATTAAGAAATAGTCCCATTATGTTTTGAATTGGAAAATTTTAACAAGACAAGAAATGTGAAGAACTTAACACTGAAGCATTTAGCACTATTGATGCTCTTTTCCCTTAGTTTTTCAAACATTACATTCCTGATTTTTGTATTTTCTTGTGTTGTTCCTTGAAGTACTTCTTCCTATTTCTTTAGACATTTCTCAGAGATCTCCCTTACAGTCATTTCTATGGCTTCATAGCTATGCTCTTAATTCACAAATCTTCATCATCCACCCAGCGTCTTTCATGAATTCCAAATCCAGTTCTCCTTTTTCAATACGCCCACTGTGACCTCAAACTCAACATGTACAAAAGTGAAAACTGAAGTAATAATTACACACCTTCTAACTCCTCTTGTGTCTCTACTTAGTGAATGAATGACACTATCTCCTTATCCAGCAGCCCAATGCAGAAAACTCTCCATTCCTCCCTCTCCTCTGACAACCAGTCATTCACCACATCCAATTACACCTACATCTCTAAAGTGTTTATATCTCTTAATCCCTTGAATCATGCCTTTAATTAGCCCATCATCAGCTCCTGCCTGAATTAACACAAATGTCTCCTTACTCATCTTAGTCCCCTTCAATCCATTCTCTGTAAAGCTGAATAAACTTCGTAAGTATAGATCTGATCATGATATTCTTTATTCAAATTTTTCATTGGCTCCTTTTAGGAAAAAGACCCAGAATTTCAGGAATCAACCTGTGCTTACCTCTCCAGAGGATCACAAATGTTTAAACAATAAGGGCAGGATAGTACAGTGGTTTAGAGCATAAACTCACTGAAAAAATTTGGATTCAAATCCTGGTTTTATCACTTATTGTTTCTGTAACCATGGACAATTACTTATCCCTCCTGTGTCTCAGTTTCCTCATCTGTAGCATGGGGAAATGTTACCTATCTCATATGGTAAGTATGAAATGAAGAATAATGAATTAGTCCATATAAAATATCTGGCACATAGTAAGTATTCTACACTTGCTATTTTTACCTATATTTCAGCCAAAATGAGTAACTGTAGTTCCCTGAACTCACCATGCCATCTCTTCCCTCCAGATCTTAGCAAACGCTTTGTCTTCAGCCCAGAATGCCCTATCTTTAACCACCATGAATGTATACCCCACCCCTTAGCCAGACTAACTCCTATTATAGGTCTCAGTTTATAAATTACTTCCTGAACCTCAAGACTGATTTAGGTATCCCTCCCCAGAATATCCTCTGTATTACATTTCTTATTGACAATGAATATAAAGAAGCAGGGTATCATTGACCTCTGTATTCCTAGAACCTAACAGTTTCTGGCAAGCTATAAATTCTCAGTAAAGTGAATGACTGGTTAAGGGCAAAGAAGAAATTTCCAACAACTCATATTCCATCTCAAGGACTCTAGCAATTGGAATAGTACATGGACCATATATTCAAGTTTTCTGCATTTGTACCTATGAAGAAAGATAGTAGTCTAAGAAGAATAGACAAGGTAGTTCTGATTAGCTAAGGTTACATGGTATGAATGAGAAAAAGTTGATTAATGTATGGGCTACACAGAACAGTTCAGAAAACCAACAGTTCAGAAAACCCCTAACAAGCAATTCTATTACTGTATATCACAGTGATTATTAAGAAATCCATAAGTCTGCTATGTTTTATTGGGTCAACTAAACAGACAATCCTCTAAGAACTTATTTCTAACCTTTAGGTGCCATCAATCCATACTTTTTCACCACAAAAATTGTATGGATAAATCACTTTTACAAGAGTCTTCTAAATTATATTAAAAAAAAAAGATACATAAAGAAAAGGTATGTTTTTCCTTACAAATCAATTTATAACAAATTCTTTAAAACAGCAACAACACCTTATAATCATTGACATCTACTTAAAATTTACCAAGAGAACTACTTAAAATTTCTAAGAGAACAATGGACAAAATAAAATTATTAGGATATAACAAGACATTGACCTAAAGGACAAAAAGGTAGAAAAAGCTTCTGGGAATCAGGGATGGGACAGTTACAACACTTAGGCAGCAGATTTGTGTAAGTTTACTGACAGGTGAGGCAAAATAAGAAACATTGTTTTCTGACAGGAATTAACAAAACCATCTGCGAAAAATTTTTTTCCTCAAACTAAATTTAAGTGACTACTGCATGAATTATTTTATACATAGCAAGGAATAACATAAAAAGTACTAACTATATTTGTATAAAAGATGAAATGTCATACTTTAAAATATACATTGATTTATAAAATGCTGGCATTAACACAACTTGTTAAGAAACTATATTTTTTTACATGTAAGTATTTATTGCACAAAGCAAGGTACTTCTGAAAACAAGAAATTTGATTTAAAGATGTGATGACAACATGAATAGTCATATAAAGCCTTAGCAGTAAGTATACATCAATTCTCACATAAAACATATAAATTGATAGTTATCACTATAAAAAGTATAATCAGGTATTTTTAGGTAACTCAATCAGTTAAAATTCATTGAGGAAAGTGTGCCTTACTTGTTCATTAACCTTCTTCTCTTTCTCTAATTCCTTTTCCATGTCCTCCAATTCTCTATCTTTTTGCTCCAACTGTTTTTCGAGTTGGCGAATTTCATCACGTAAAAACCGAGTGTCACGTCCACCTGCAGACTGCTGGGCCATCTTAAAGTAATAAACCAAAAGTATAAATCAATCCCATTATAATTAGAGAATCAACAACAAATTGACTTTATATTTGTATTAAAATCAGCACCAGATATTTAAAATCATGTTAGCCTAAGAACCTGTTTTTTAAATTTTTTACTTATGCTTTAGTCTGTAGACTGACATGCCCTTAAGCTTTTTCTGAGCCACCCACATCTAGGAATTGAATGTCAATCGCTCAGCCTCAATTATAACCACTATGCCACAGACACCAGACTAAACTGCACAAGCAGAGGACACAGGCAATGAACTACCAAGCTTTGTCTTAGCGTCAGAACTCTGAAACCAGGCTACAAACCAACAGGGATTCCACCCAGTCATTGACTTCTGGTGCTTTTTTTTCTTTTTCTTTTTTTTAACATGTTTACTTATTTATTTGAGAGAGAGCCTGAGTGAGAGAGAGAGGGAGAGAGAACCTGAAACAGACTCTGCACTGAGCACAGAGCCCAACACAGGGCTTGACCCCACAGCCACGAGATTATGACCTGAGCCAAAACCAAGAGTCGGACATTCAACTGACTGAGCCACCCAGGGAACCTGACTTCTGGTGCTCTTTACCTGCCCTTTTCCTCATACTCTATTTAAATCAGTGCTGTCCAACAGGACTTTCTAGGATAATGGAAATGTTCCTGCACGCCTGAATACTGTAGCCACTATCTACAAGTGGTTTTGAGCACGTGAAGTGTGGCTACTGCAACTAGAGAACTGAATTTTTAATTTTTTTGTAATGAATTTAAGTGTAAATAACCACAGGTGATTACTGATACTGTACTGGATGGCTCAGGCTAAGATTACCTTGAAAATCTTGTGCCAGACTGGGGTACCTGGCGAGTTCAATAGGTAGGAGCAGTCAACTCTTGATCTTAGGGTTATGAGTTTGTGTCTCATGTTGAGGGTAGATTTTAATTAAAAAAAAAAAAAAATCTTGTGGCAGATTAAATCCATTTCGCTTCATATTCCTGTTATTTGGGGTCATGGTCCAAAATAAGTCTTTATTATCTACCTGTCTCATATTCATGTCTTTACCATACAGTTGTTAATTCTACATATTAAGTAGATTTTTCTTACTCTTTTCCTCCTTCAGAAAACTTTCCTTTGTGCTCTTAAAAATCTTTCAAGATAAATTAATATTTTACACTCTTAGCTCTGTTACTGGATCATGGTCTCCACCTCCCCTCCTTAGCTGCAATTTGGTTTCCTTAGTTTACTAAATCCTTTGAAACTCTTTTAATTGGGAGATACTCATTCTTTCATATCCCAAGAACTCATGGGCAAGAGAAGATGTTGATTTACCTCAATCTGCAACTTCCAGGCTATCATTCCTCTACCATCTTGTGAAAATTCCAGCTGCTATGAATTCCACATGACATCCAGCTATCCAATCCCTACCTACTCATGGTAACAGCAAACTACTAACTTCCCAATCGCTCCCTCTCAACTGAGAATTCTTGGCACATGGCTCATAGTGTTCCACCAAAAGCCCCCTAAGCAGTTTCCACATCCATAGAACTTTCATTCTAGTCTCTCTCTTTTTACATGCTTCTTGAATTCACTGTAACCTCCCACTCTCATGCCCACATCAGAACCTTGTCCTAGAAGAAACGATTTCTCATGATTCCTTCGTATATCTGCCCTCTGACCTCATAGGACCCTCTGATTCTTTGACTCCTCTCTAACCTTTCCTATCATTCGAATCTTGATTTACCCATTCAGCTGAGATTTCATAATAATCACTTATCACTTCAACCCCTTTCTTACCAATATCTCCCACTGCCCTGTCCTTCTCTTCTACAGTAGCTGCCTGGATAAACACTAACAGAATCAATCCAACTTCATAAGTCATTTAGTAAGTGTATATTTAGAATGGTTGATATTTTTCTAGAAGACAGATATACAGTACAGAATAAAAAATAACTCATCCTAGTTCATTGAGTTAGTAAGCAAAAGAATCAGGATTTATTCAAATTGTCTGAGTCTAGATCCCTTAATCTCCAGTTCATTCCCCACTATATTTCAAGCTTAAGCTTTGTTAAACTTCCTTCAACTTTGACTACACATCTTCCACTCTTATTTTTGGCAAATGGGCCTTCCCTCTAACCTTTCAACTTCCAGGTTCTACATAAAAGCTTCTGTATACATCCATATTTCCTACTACAAAGGAAGAAGGTCTTTTCTCCTCTTAAAGGCTAATTCATTTGTATCACATTCCTTCCCACATTCTCAGGAATGTCAATGTATTCAGTTCCCTAGCAATATATTCACATTTTGGCTCTTAGCTTTCTCAAAAGCTACTTCTTCTACCATATCCTTCCATCACTATTCCTCAAATTCCCATGTGCCTCCACTCCAGCTCAGTTACTAGTAATCTTCTGTATACCTCTCTAGACTCTAAGCTTCAGGTTACTGAATGTTCTTTTTTTTTTTTTAGATTTACTTTTTTTTAATATTTAGATTTATTATTTTTTATATTTATTTATTTGACAGAGAGACACAGAGAGAACACCAGCAGGGGGAGCAGCATGCAGAGGGGGAGGAAGAAGTAGGCTCCCAGCTGAGCAGTGAGCCTGATGTGGGGCTTGGTCCCAGAGCCAAAGGCAGCTGTTTAACATACTGAGCCACCTAGGTACCCCTCCTGAATGTTTTTATTTTGTTCACAATTGGATGCTCAATCCTAAGAATGTATATAACATGTAAAATACATGTTGAACAAACAACTAATTAGGAACACAGTGTCATTCTTGTGATTTTTCCAAGCAATAATAAAAAATTTTGAAAATAGTAATTCATCATGATAAAATTAACAAGTGCACCCTAGTAATACAAAAGGACATACCTCCAGTTCATTTTCCAGTTTCATTACTTTAGTTTTTAATTGATTTTCTATTTAAAAAAAAAAGTTTCAGTTAGATTTATCTCAAAACAAATTTTTAAATAAACTTCAAAGTAATAAAATTGTTATTTTTAAAGATTCAATCATGATTATAATAAGGTAACGTAAGAAAAAATAACTTTTACACCTCATCCATGAAACAAGAGTTCTAGAAATGTCTTTCAAAATAAAGTGAGTATATAAATATTATGGAGTATACTAAACAGAATCTCCTATTTAACATCATGATAAACTTTTCTAGGGCATTTACCAAATTTTGCTTGTTCTTCTCCAGCTTTTTCAACTTCCTCCAAAGCTAGCTCTACTTCTTGAGCTTTCATCTAAACATAAAAAGAAAGGTTATTTCAATATGCCTTTACATAAGCATTGAAAATGAGGATTTTTTTTTTTTTTTTTCATTTGCTTTCCCAGTATTTAGTGCATTCAATCCCTGGGATATGGAGAGTTTCAGTAAATATTTGTTGAATGAATAGATGATGTTCTTACTTAAGGATATAATTCCTAGATTCCTAACAGCTTGAAATATCTTTGATTCCTCTTTTTCCTTCTGTTTTATATCCAGTAGTGTAACTTTTCCCTTTGTATTGTTTTCTACTATTTTTTTCTATTACATTTGTCTTTATTTTAGTCCATAATCTTATATCTAACCTTCTTCACAATGTTATCTCTAAATAGCTTCAATTTCTTTCAGTTTGTTTTATTAACATATCTACTTTAGCCTTGTTGAGCCATAGTTTACCCTAGTTTAGCCATACTTTTGTATTTACCAACTGCGGGTCAAAAACCTCTATCGGATCCTCATTGCTCATAGCATAAAATACACCTGTAATACCCTTGACAGCCCCCTGCAAGCTATACCCAACATTTGTTTCCTCTATAATCTATTAACAATTTTCTGCACGTATCCTCAACTGTAATGAATAAGCATATTTTCTACTCCAAGTTTTATTTAAGGTGATTTCCAGCTTTAGAAGCTTTCTAAAATTTACCACTGACTTTCATTTACCTAAAATTACTCATCAGTCTTTGCCCCTTCTCTCACCTAAACCTTTTCCCCTCCCAATAAATCCCTATACAACTTGTTCACATTTTTCATTCTGACTTCAGGATTATGTTAACATAATTACAAAAGACCTCGCTATGTTATTTTTAAAAATATCCATTCTGTTTCTCTTAAACATTCTTTTAGGAACTTCAGAGCAGAAACCAGCAATGTTTTGCACACTAAAATTTTCAATCCACACTTAAAGAGATCTCATTTTTGAGTGATTTTGATATTACAAAGTATTTTCTTAAAGATTAACCTATTTAAGAACAGTTCCTTAAACGTCCTCTAATAGTCAAAACCATTATTAAAACCTACTGTATACAAACCTTCATTAGTGATTGAGTAATTCTGAAAAGGTGTATCACATTTTCTTGACTTTCAGTTTTTAGCTCACTTATTTCCACCTAAGTAAAAAGAAAAGCAACTATGTTTTATAATCCTCGGGCAAAATATAAAAACTCTTCCATTTGTAACATTCATTGACTTCAGGAACAACTTAGATTAATAATAGTTGTGTGTATATATATGTGTGCGTATTGTTTATCAATTAAGCACCTTGGATAAGGAAATCAATAAATTATCTGCCAATTCTTCTTGACGAGGCAGGTCATCTGGGTCAACTTTTATTATTTCTTTCCAGTTTATATTAGGTGGCATCTTGAAATCTTTCACTGTGCTTTACCTTCTGTAACAAAACAGATGGGTATTAGCATTTTCAAGGTAAACAGCGTTACTATTTTTATAGATTACATCATTATAACTCTCTATGGTGTTAGCAAAGAGTTATGGCTCTTCGTGTAACAGGTAAGGGGGTTAAAATAGCCTTGATCAAAATTATAGCAGCTGGCACAAAACAACAAATACTGAACCGGCTGAATAAACTATGACGGATTCTCTCATACAGCTCATCTAGGTCAGAACTAAGATGCTGAGCCCCCTTCTCCACGCCCCCTTACCACCGAGGCGCGCGAACATCTAAAGGTGCTAAACGCGGGGGTACTTGGAAGGCTGAAAATGAACCCTGATTCGGTGAAGCAGGAACTAAGAGTAAAAAGAAAAGGTGTGTGTGTGGGGGGGCGATTGAAATGAGAGCAGGTAGGCCGGGGAAACCGGGGCTGAAGACAGGAGAAGGCAGACGGATTGCGGACCAAAGACTGAGGGTTGGGGGAAATAGGCTGTTACATTCGGGCCCTGAAGCTTAAAGAACCGGCTTGGGAAGAAACTGGCTGCTCCTGCTCACCAAGATCCACCCACCTAACCGAGCCTGGCAACCAGCAGAGGCCCCTGATCTGCCGCACGGACCAAAGTCAGCCCAGCTGCCACGCCTGACCGCTCCCCACCGCGGTTCCGCCCGGACTCTGGATCCCGCCAACAGCTCCTGTGCAGGCAAGAGCGGCGCGGCTGCTAGGCGACACCATTCCCCACCCAGCCAAGGACGGCACAAGGCCCCGGATGCGAGGGAAGCCTACATTTCACGACCTTGGGTGATGCTTTGCGTTTAGATTCTCCTGCAGTGTCCCTCGGACTCTCTGTTAAAGACGGGGAGAAAGTGAGGGATAAGGACTCCAAATCCCAGAGTGCAGTTCTGTCTGGAGTCTTTTGCATGCTGGGAACTGAAGTCTATGAGAAGTGGAGGTAGGCCGTTCCCGGCGTGCAATGCGGGAGGCTGCGACGGTACAGGGGTGGTGGGGGGAACGACCCAGAGGCGGGAGGCGCAGTGGCTGAGGCGCGTCTGCGCCGGTGACCTGAATGAGGTAGACCATGACTGTGCCTTTGGTGGCGTCACCAGCTGGGCCGCTTTTCCTGGGATTTCTCTAAGCCATCTGCTGGTGGAACCGCTCCCAGGTAAGGTCGGGCTGTGGGTCAGCAGCGGGGGAGGAGTTGAGGGGAGCGGTCCCGGCTTAATGAAGCTCGTGTTGTTGGCGCGGGAGGACTCGGTCCAGGTCTGAAGAGGTGAGAAGACCCCCTTTTCTTGGGCGTTTACATACGTTCCACGGGTGCTGCCCTCTGTAAGAAGAAAAAGAAAGTTTTAGTTCTTTGCTCTCAGAATCTACTCCGTACAGTGGAGTGGGGCCGCACGGCCAAGATCATGGTTTCGGGTTGAGTGAAGAATTGAGAAGAGGACATATTCTCTTCTGCCGGCCTTACCTGTAGCACCATAGCCTTCGCGGATTGGAGGACTTGAAGATTGAAGAACGGGTTTACAGTGGAGGTTCTAGAAAGGAGTGTTAAGAATTTGCCCAACCTAATGCTGGGGTGGAGAGACAAGGGGCCTCAATACTCACCAGCCTAGATGCTGTCACTTCCTTGGTTACCGAGGATGCCCTCATATGAAAGCGTTTCTCAGGTGTTTACAGTTCTTTCGGTCAAGTTTTGTTCATCCCGCTGTGTTTAGACATTCATGAATTCGATACACTACTAGATAACTTTGTTAAGTCGCTGTCGACTTGAAATCTAAATGACATTTTCAACTGCTAAACCAGTGCCTCCAATTTTTTTTTTTTTAAGACTTTTTCTTACCTACAATTGATAGAAGTTTTCCTTCTGAAAATATGGTTTCTTTCCAAACCAAGTATTTGGGTGAAACAAAAAATAAAAGGTACTGATTTAGTGAGCTACATTTTAAAGACATTCATCAGATTTGTAGGAATGATAATTTTGTTGTATCCTTTATTGAGATTATGTGCCACATATTGTTCATTATTTTTTTAACCATGCTGACATTACATCCCCAGAACTTACTTGTCTTGTAACTCTTAAGTTTGTACTTTTTGACCAGTCTCTTTGTTTCTGTGAATTTTGGGGGTGTTCTGTTTTGTTTTTGTTTTTTAGATTTTGCATGTGAGATACATATAGTACTTGTATTTTTCTGTCTGGTACTTAGCATAATCATAATACTCTCAAGATCCCTCCATGTTGTCCCAGATGGCAAGATTTCATTCTTTTCATGGTTTAATAATCCATTGTATGTACCCCATTTTCTTTATTCATTTGTCAATGGCCACTTAAATTATTTCCATGTCTTGGCTACTGTAAATAGTTATGCAGTGGATGCGGGGGTGCAGATATCTCATGCACATCGTGATTTCGTTTTCTTCGGATATATACCCAGAGATAGAATTGCTGGATAATATGATAGTTCTGTTTTTAATTTTGAGTAATTTCTGTAACTGTTTTCCACAGTGACTACATTAGTTTCCATTCCCACCAGCAGTACACAAGAGTTCCCTTTTCTCCCCAGCCTCGCTAACCCTTGTTATCTCTTGTCTTTTCCATGACAGTAAACGGACAGGTGTGTGGTGATCCCTTATGGTTCTGATTCACATTTCCCTGATTTGTGATGTTGAGCACCTTCTCATATAACTGTTGGCCATTTGTATGTCTTTGGAAGAAGTTCCTCTCTCTGTTTTTAAATCAAATTATTTCCTTTTTTGCTGTTGAGTTGTATGAGTTCCTTACATATTTTGGATATTAACCCCTTATCAGATATATGATTTGCAGGTATTTTCTCCCTCCTATAGGTTGTCTTTTCATTTTGATGTTAGATTCCTTTGTTTTGCAGAAGCTTTTTAGTTTAGCATACTACCACTTGTTTATGTTTGCTTTTTGCCTTTGCTTTTGGTTCCAAATCCAGAAAGTCATTCTCAGCGAGCATGTGGCTCTCCAGTTTTTCTAGCACCATTTATTAGACTCTCCTTTCTTCATTGTATATTCTTGGTATTTGGTCTCTTTTGTTCCATTAACCTGTGTGTTTTATGCAAATGCCATTCTCTTATGATTACTATAACTTTGTCACTCTATCACTTAATCTTCATAACAGTCCAGTGAAGTGGGTGCCTATATCATCCTTATTTTCCAACCAAGTTGTAAAACTGAGGCTTGGAGAGGTTAAGTACTGTGCTAAAACTTAAATGGTGTGATTGAAAATGGATTTTTCAGGCTGGAGGACATTCTGTTTAATGCCATACTGCCTCTTCAGTCATGCTAAGAACCAGTATCTGTGAAGTGCTTGTTCTTCAGCCTTGCTCTCTATGGTAAATGTCATATTCTAATGATGAAATTTTGTTTACTTAGGAATTTGAATTACGTATTTTTCATGTTCAGTTTTTAATTCATAATTTAGCAAGGGAAGGAAGATATGAGATCTCATTTCTCTTATCACATGAGTCATATGCTAAAAACTTCATGTTTATTTTCGTCGTAACAATCTGTTTTTACTGCAGCACCTTGTTTTTCTTGGTTTTCCTTTGTTATAACTATCCTATATATTCATTTACTAGTTTTGTTTTGTCTGTATTGGTCTTTACTGCCCTTACTTCCCCTCACCCTGTTGTTCATATTTTTATTCCCAGCAACTCAAGGTACCTGGTATAATGATGAATTTTATTTTCATTTTTCAGAAGTGGAAATAGATTCAGAGAAGCTAAGTTATTTCCTAATAATTAATGATTCCCAATTGTAACCCAGATCTCAATTACAGTCCTGACTTAAATTTCAGTCATTTACTTAATCTAACAGTATTTTTGAGCTTTTACACTGTGCTAGTGTTGGTTCATAACCTCCTTGGGAGCCTCCTAGATAAAATCGGAAACTGGCTACTGAATGTGGAGGGCAGAGAGACCAAAGAAATGGGAAGGCCACTCCAGCTTGGTACATGGCAGTTTCACTAAGCAAAGGGGTCTTGCCTAGGAGGCTTGTCTTTGACAGCCAGAAGAATAATGGATCCCTGCACCCACCACACAAATCTTAAAAGTTTATGTAGAAAGAGGCCTTAACTGGGTTTAGTCAAGTGTATCATGGAAGTATTCTCAACACCATATCATTCTCTCAAGGCTATGTGGTTGCAGCAGCCTTGGGGAGCAGGAAAAGCAAACAGAACCACATTCCAAGGGGAGGGGATAAGGAGACTCAGATCACCTGGGTCCAGTTTATAGATCAACTGGCAGTCTTTTTGTGACCTGCCCCAACAGCTATATGTGGGGGATACAACGGGACACAAGTTTGCAGTGGTCTAGATCCTAGTGCATTGTGGTAAATTTGTACCTAACTGTGAATCAAGAAATTTAATCCAAGTTCTAGTTCAAACACTCACTATGTAATTTTGAGGAAAGTTGCTAAAACTCACTGTTACTTTTCGTCAGATTGTCTTCATCAGTCAGTTTTCACCAAGAGAAGAGATTTATGTGATAATTTTATAAGTGGGCTTATTAAAGGAACACTTGCCTGAACCTGCCTTCTTTCTTCTTCCTGGTTTTATGAGCAGTTTTATCTGACCAAAATCATCTCACAAGAAAGGCTTCCCTTTTATAATTACTACCTTTATTCCCTATATCAGGCAACTTATTTTATTTAAATGTTACTTCCATTCCCTTTTTAGCTGCCTTATAGAGAAAATGAATGGTAACTTATTTTTCCAGCATCTGTAATAAAATATGGCCATGAGAAATTTAGTATCCACTGTGTGTAATAAATGTTTTGTTTTGTTTGTTCTCCTGAAGAGGATTCAGTGTGCAACAAGCAGATACTTGTCATTTGACAGGAGACTGGAAAGATTAGGAGAAACAAGTATGAATGCAGACTTCACAAACTTTATGTGCTTTAAAAAAGTCATGAAATATAGATTATTTTTACTGAAGAAGATAACATCATGAAATTATTTTATGGAGAGAACTTTAGTTTTCAGGCTAAATAGTCCCAGGTTCATACAAAAGTTTCCTATAGGTTTATTTTTTCCACAATTATACTGTTGGATTTTTAGGAAAAGGGGTTCATGGTACAGTTTTGCTGAAGGAAGTATATTAAGTTTTGTATCTCTATGTTGTAGCTCTTAAGTGCTCTTCCATTGCATTTAGGTTGTTTGTGTGTATGTACAACATACATGACATGCCATTGTTGTAACACAAATCAGTAGCATTCACTCAGACTGTGAGCCTGTGTTGAATATGTTTATATGGCTAGAAGAAGTACTGGAATTTGCCTTAGTCTATTCATATTGCTTTAACAGAATACTCTGTGCTAGGTGGTTTATAAAAACAGGAATTTATTTCTCACAGTTCTGGAGACTAGAAAGTACTAAGATCAAGGCATGAGCATTTTCAGTGTCTCATGAGGGCCCACTTCCTGGTTAGTGGATAGTGTTTTTACTATTTCCTCACATGGCAGAAGGGACAAAAGATCTCTCTCACACCTCTTTGGTAAGGGCATAATCTCATTTGTGAAGACCCATCCTTATGACCTAATCACCTTTCAAAAGCCCCACCTTCAAATACCACATTGAACATTAGGATTTAACATGAATTTTAGGAGTACACGAACATCTACTCTATACTATTCCCACAGCTAACATTTAATACTAATGTGGTACGTTGTTATAGTAGTGGCCCCCAGTGAATCATGCCTCCCTCTATATATTCCTTTATGTAAACCTTTCTGTTTCCCTTAACT